GCACTCCATCAAAACGTGTTCGTATTTTTGTTCTTTTTTACACTGCTTTAACTGTTATTATCCGGTTATGTAAGGACGTTTCTAATACATAAATTTCACGTGGACAAACACCCAGATCGGAAACAACTGTCTGGGTCACACAAATAGTTGTCCCGTGGGGGAATCGAACCCACGCCCCGCGGCGCCGAAGCCGATACCTTGGCAACTGCGCCACGGAGTCGTCCATTCATGATTACGGAGTGATGTTCGCGCTTCCAGCCCCAAGTTCTATGGAAGTCCGTCTTGGGGAATACGAAAACTACGTTCTCTCGGGCTATTTTCTTTACAAAATTTGCAAGAAGCACACGAACATGAACTGAATGTACGTTTTGGCTACGTGCTATTGAAGTAGATTCCTAACTAGCTGCGCGTAAAACTTAGTACGTCGTTGAGTGAGGTAGCCGGGGCCCACTTTATTAAAAGGTGATAACGCATCTGCAACCCTACTGGTGTTGCAAATGTCTATCAGTAAGCAGTTATCACTTAAGAACAGGTGAACCGCCAGCTCGTTTGCCACTCTCTCACATAAGAAAAAGAAAAGTAGTGATAAAACATAAATTATTCATACTTTCGTCCAAATCATTTTGCATAACACACTCGCTTTAAGAACCAAGGTCAATATAACCGATGATGATTAGGTATCTAATGAGGACCTGCAGATGTAATAGCCAAATACTTTATATGAGTAAGTTCACTAAATTTAAAGAATTGCAATATTGACGGCGAGAGTAGCAGGTTTACATCTGAATAGATTAATATCTTATAACTAGGCACTTTGTGGAACCAGTTGCCGCCAGCAGTATTTCCGGACTGATACGAATTAGAGACCTTCGAGAAGAGAGCCTACTCCAAAGGCCGGTAAGAAAATTGTGACTCCTCCGATGTCCTCCAGGTTAGCGGAGGTTAGTCCTTGCGACTAGAGTTCATACTGGTCTGAACCCCATTCTCGGCCCGTACACGTAGACAAATAAACATACATCGAATGCTTCGTATAACTTAGGGAATGTAAATCTTAAATGCTAATAAGGTACAGATTAACATTTACATAACTTAAATTATTCGGATCGGAAGAGATGTTTTTTTGGGAAGTTATTTTTAGAGTCGATTCGTTAGTGCTTCTTTGAAACAAGAGGATAGACAATTTTTACCCTTTTACATTTAAACTACACACGCAACAGATGTGTTGTTATGGAAATTGGATTTGTGCCACAAGACGAAAACAGCCGATAAATAATCATAAGAGATTAAAATGAAGTTACTTTTATACGCAGAACATAAATTAAAACGAGTTTAGGTGCCGCTTCCTGGAATTTAAGAATATTTTTATGTATGGTCTTACATCTAGTTTTTAGGAAGTGGTCAACAAATGTGTTGCAATAAATAAACTATAAAAAGTGATGCTTTTAGTTATTTGTGTTATTATTTACATACATCGAATATTTTTTTTAATGCTATGCTGTAAGACTACGACATATTAAATCAAATTTTACAATTGATACCAACAGAGGTCTTGATACACACTTTATATATTATAAAATACATTAGCGTGAAGCGTATTGCGATTGAATTATTATGTATTATTAACTAGTTATAATATTAAAATAACTATTATCGGCCGTAATTGGTGTGCGAACACACGCTTGTCATCATCATCATTTCAGCCTGTTTGAGTCCACAGCTGAACACACGCCCCCCCACAACGTATGAGCACAACTATAAGTATAAAGGTGTACAGATGTTTATCGATACCGTATGTTAGAATTAAATATAGTATGATAGTATTGAATATAGTTAATTCATCCATTAAGACGCGTGCAAATTTGTTAATTTACTAGCTTTGCAGATAACCTCTACATAAAATTACCAAAGTGACAAATTCCGTGACACTTCGACGAGATTTTAGTTAGATGAGAATGTTGACTGGTTAAGTACGCTTACCCTTTTGCGTAGCGTCTGGTGAGCCGGGGCCCACTTAACAAAAGTTGGCAACACTTGGTTATCACTTAACATCAGCTGACGTGTGATACTTGTCAATTTTAAGTGCTGTCTTGTCACGTGATCCACGGTGAAGGAAAACATCGTGAGGAAACCTGCATATTTTGGAAATAATAATAATAAAAATATTTCGAAGATATGCGAGGTCCGCCAATCCGCAGTGGGCCGCGTGGTGAACTTTGCTCTCAGAGGGCCTTTGCCCAGCAGTGGGAGATTTATAGGCTGTTATTTTACTTTTTTTTATTCACAAATTATGAAGTTTCATCTAAGTGCTGAAACTAACACTATTAATTTCAAATTTCACTGTATCTCATTGTGCAATGAAAGAGATCGGTATGTTCCATTTTACCCAAAGATTACTTTCACTGTTCTGCTCTGTTAATAGGGTCTTATTTTTTATGTGAGAAAGCAAACGAGCTGGCGGTTCACTTTATGTTAAGTGATAACCGGCGCCCAAGAACATTTGCAACGCGCGTAGCAGATGTGTTGCCACCTTTTAATAATGGGCCCCGGTTACCACACTCATCAGACGAAACTTAAACGAAATAAAATCTCTTAACTTAGACGAAATAAAATAAAAAAAATCGCAGAAGTGTAACACTTTTAATACGTGCCGGTCTTCTGTGAAGCCGTGATACTAGCCCGGACGGACCTGCCCATTCGTGCAACAGCGAACACCGTTGCGTGGTCCTAAACACAGTAAAATGATGTAGACAATAAACAAATACTTAATTTTTTTTTGCTTTTAATTTAACTGCGTACGATATTGTGCGTTAATGCACTGTCGGTGATTAATTGGTAAGCCTGAAAAATAAAATATAAATACCTCAATGTTGGATTGACACCGGATAATTAACGGACCTGACAAAAGACCACAATTTACCGTAACGTCCCTTGACATTTCGAACGTGACGTCCTACCCCTTATACTGACATTAAGGAAACGTAAAAAAAAAACAAAAGAGCATTTCTCCGAATTAAGCCGATTCAACGGAAGCATCAGATCTTCAACCGGCTTCCTTGTATGGCGCCTTTATAAGTTTGTCGATCGACCCGAAGAGATCACGGTCGAACGCTGTACTAGCGAATCGATTAATTAAGCGTGTTACGTCCGCACCCACAGCCACAGCCTCATTAGCGTCAATTAGCACTCGAACACCAGTAACGAATTCGTCGATGTCAAGTGCAGTCTCAATGGGGCTGGACTTGGCAAATCGATTTATGACGCCAATTAAGACCGCCGGTGTCACAGAGTAATTTTTTGATTACACGTCACAATTCAATGTACTCGAGCAATCTGAGTATCTTGTATTAACTGATGTTTTTGCTTTCAGTCCCGAGACTATTAAAGCTTCGTCGGACGCAAATCTGAGTTCGATCCCTAGTGCTGACAGCAATGAAATTATTAATTTTAAGTGCTGATTTATAACGTGCTCAACGGTGAAGGAAAAAATCGTGAGGAAACCTGCATATTTGCGAAATAATAACAAAAAATACATATATCGAAGATATGTGAAATCCGCAATCGGGCACAGAGGAGGCCTTTGCCCAGCACTGGGACATGTATAGACTGGCACTTTAATTTTAGATAATATAGGATTTAAGGTAGACCGAGTAAAGGGAGACCGAGAATGATGTCTCTGAAAGAGATGAGTATTGAAATGACGACAGATCGAGATGATATGTTAATAAGAAGATGAAAGAAGAGAGTACGGGATATAAAAAGGACGATCCACTTTGCATGTTTCGAAATAATTTAATGAGCTCAATTTTTTCGTCATGAAAACGATACATCCCTCAAACATCATTATTGAAACAGCAATAATCGTTTGAGTTCTTCATTATCCCACAAATGTTTTCCTAATCAATCATAATCGACATTTTATTAGGAAATCGATTAAGGCCTTGAGAAACATCTTGTTTTGCTTGGAATCACTGGTACTTAACGTTGTTTCGCTAAGAAGGGATTACCAAAAAGAACAGTATATTTTTGGAGAAAGAATATTTATTCGCTCGTTCGTTTCTTAGTACATTAAATAACGTCAAAGTACAGTCTAGAAAATCTATTTGTAGGCTGTTTTGACTTAGAAATTAGCATTGAGGGTAGAATATAGAATTTGGTTTACATACGATTTTCCCCATTCTATCCTACATTCTTAAAGTGTTACAAGTTTTGTTTTATCGGGATGCCTAAAAAGCAATCGAGTTGCTGGACGATAGTTGACGACCAGCGCCCGTGAAAACTCGCCTGTGAAAACATGGGTGTGGATATTTTGCCGGTATGAAAATATGAGATCTGTTCTCGAAGGTCCCAATAGCCACATCGGTCCTATAATCCCCGCAAATAACATCGCACAGTGGTTAACACGACATAAACAGTCAAAAACAGCATCGATAAAACTGTAGAATGCAGTTCCACGATGCTCGGTGATGAAGTTAACTTAATTTGAAGGCTATTTAGAAACGTTTTATTCATCCTTTGATTTTTTTGGACACGAGTATAATCAATTTAAAAAGAAATTTAACCAAAAAAATCTTAAGCAATCATGTTTCCATCATGCACTCTGCCTACCAAATTTTTTATATAAAATATGTGTCAATTTATTAGTGAAAACTTATTTGTAACTTATAAACGCTAGCTGTAAGTTTTACGGAAATTGTAAGAATAAATAAAATGGATAAACCAATCGGCGTAGTAGATAATATCCTGGCTGCACCCTCTGGTAAGGTCGATTCACAATGCTGGTGAAATATTCTGTGATAGCGATAGTGTTTTTCTATTGTCTGGTTATTTATATATCTATAATTCGTATTTATTTACAAAAACGTACGTATTATGTTTATCAGTCACCTAGTCCTCATAGTACAAGCTTTCCTTGGTTTGGGACTAGATGACGTTGTGTAAGAATATTTATATAAGGAACATCTAATTCCATCCGTAGTCACAGTCCGCACTAAACATTACAGCCGCAACTGATCACCGGAGCGGGGTACCCGACCGAGAGGCATCGCGCAACTACTCCTGACGGGTACGTCCTGCAGATGCACAGGATACCAGCCGGGCGGCGGACTGCTCGAAGAACGGGCCCCCGGGCCAAGGGCAAGAAGGCCGTCCTGTTGGTGCACGGCCTGCTCGGCAGCAGCGGAGACTTCGTCATAATGGGCCCGGAGAGGAGCCTAGGTAAGGTGCCCTCAGCCCCGTAGTTCCGGGCTCATAGAATAGGACTAAGGTACCTCCTGCCTGTCGTAAAAGGCAACTAAAAGGGGACACGAAGTGGCCTCGAGCGGCTGCAAGATGGCGAGGGATGCGGAGTTTACCCTTCTTCCGAGGCGTGCTCACGCCCAGTACCGAGGGACACCGGTGCGTTCCATAGGAGATCCTGGGGTCCGTCCAACGGACAGAAGGTGGCCACCGGGGGTGTTTTAGAGGGTAAAAACCCCACGTAACCCTGTCATGTAATATGACAGGGTATCTAATGAAGATACCAAAAAAAATGTAAGGTGTCCTAGTTTTTGTTTTAATATGTGAAAACGAGTATTGAATCTCAAAAAGAGTATTGAATCGAAAGATATTGAAAAAAAATCTTCAAACGATCATCATATAATGTAGCCGTTTTGAGATCATAGTTATAGTGTACTCAGGGACAGTCGAAAAGTTGCAGGCGGTTCAACTGACGTTAAATTAATGATTACAGCTGCCAATGGAAAACTGCGTCACCCGAGGGCTTGTACATGTGTTGACAACCTTGACAACCTTGTTGACAACCTAAAAAGTGCGCTACTATTTCCTCACACACCGGACGAAACGCGAAAGCATAATACTGTTACGTGTTAGGGGTTCGAAGGATTTGGAGAGAAAGACCTGCTGACTCTTTTGAAGACTTTATTCAATAGCACTAGGTCCAACACAAAGCACTAGGTCCAAACACTAAGCACTAACGATGTCCTGTTTTGTAGCCAAGTCGTAAGTTTCACTGGTATCGCTCTTGATCACTAGTTTTCGCTCCGAAGTCGCCTCGAAGGTAGCTCAAACTGAACTGTCATCGCTCGCCTCCCTGCGGCTTTTTATATGGGCCGAGACCGGTTCCGGACTAATCCAGAAAGATCATTCCTGGAACGTAGCCGACACGCACGAACATGTTCGTGATTCCGCAAAGTTCGCGAATGTACCCGGTTTTCGAGACAGCAGTTCCTCTAACGCCATCTAGTGTTGAATAGGGGGTTTTATGTCGTCTTTGTTCTGTAGTGGTTTTGATAGTTGACGCTAGATGGCGTTAGTTCCTTTGTGTGTTCATAACAATACTTTCACTTCCCGCCGGTTCCCTAGGGGTTTGGGGTCTGGGTTGTTGTGTTCTGGAAACACTAGAAAGGGTACGAAACGTTCGGGAATTTAAAAATCAAATTAAAACGCGATAACATCCGTAAACTAGTTTCATTTAAACGTGTGTAATATTGTGTAACATTCGCGTAAGAACAAGAAATCAATATGCAAACGAAACATTTTCAATGCAAGATGTAAATTTTGGACGACGATTTTAGACAGCTCTGTCTGTCATCAGTCTACGTTTCATTGCAGTCGAGTAGTGACGAACATTAATTGAAGAACACGGGTCCATGTCTGCCAATATTTCACGCAATAAACAAGTGTAATAAAAGCGAAAACGAGAATTGAAGAAACATTAATGCAGACATAATTTATTCAAATGTTCTTGAAAATGACAGGTTTATAAGTATAATTTATAAGTATACATATATAGATATAGACGACTCCGTGCCGCATTTGCTAAAGTATTCGGTATTAGGGTTCGATTCCCACACGGGACAACTATTTGTGCGGCCTACAGATAGTTGTTTCGCATCTGGGTGTTTGTCCTCGTGAAATTTATGTTTGTAAAACGTTATGACATAAAACAAGACATTGCATTCAAAATAGACATAAATACAAAATGCGTCCTAACTATGTAAGACTCGTACACACAGTTTCCTAAAAATACGAACTAAGCTGGAGTAAAAACTAAACAAAATAAACGATACTCTTTTTTTTAATGTTTGAAGGCGACAAACGAGCTAGCGGTTCATCTGGTATTAACTGATAACCGCCGCCTATTGACATTTGCATCCCCCGTAGGGTTACAGGTGTGTTGTCACCTTTTAATACAGTGGGCTCCGGTTACGGTCACCAGACGAAACGCGGAAGTGTAACATTTCCACTTCACGCCGGTCTTCTGTGAGGTCGCGGTACTCACCCGGACGGACCTGCCCATTCGTATGCCTAGCGAAGACTGCTGCGTGGCCCTACCATCTATTGTAATACAATATTCGTTTTTATTCAATCGTCACCTAACGTTAATCGTACATTCAACTAAAGCAAATTCAAGGTCAATTGAGGTCACTTAAAAAATATAATTTTTATGGACAATTCTAGGGCAGAAATGGTTGTTGTCGTGTATGCGTCATAAGTAACCGTCGAATTTTGTTTCTGCGTGACTTTTTGTGGACATTAAATCACAACGTTTAAGTAGTCAACGGGTTAACATGACTTACAATAATTAGTCTTGCTGTACTTAGGCTGATTTTTAACGTGTAAAAAATCCTTAATGGATGTCACCGGGTCGGTGGTTTTTAATCTCACGTATTATGGTACGAGAGTTAGCAACGTCGGGGAAACAAGAATTTCAGCTAGTCCAGTTTTTAGATATGCTATCTCTCTCACTCTATGAGTGAAAATGGCTATTTCAGTACCTTTAGTTAGTACTAGTTTTTCGCCCGCGGCTTCGCTCGCGTTGAAGCCCTTAAATAAATATTTTTCAACCCTTGACAACACTTTTTTTACAATTAAAAAATAGCCTTCTTTCTCAGGCTCTAGACTATATGTGTACCAAATTTCATTTAAATCGGTTTAGTAGCTTTGGTCTGAAGCGAGACAGACAGACAGAGTTACTTTCGCATTTATAATATTAGTTTGGATTGAAATGGGACTTCACACAGGTTTCGGATACGGTCACAGAGCAGATACTTTGCGAGTTGTTTCTCAAAAGTAAACGAACTAATTTGGACAAAGTAAAATTGAATACGTGTCGAAATTCAACCATAATTAATCATACATGTATATGTAATTTAATGATTTTTTCGTTAATTTAATGCATAATTAAGAAAAATCGCAATCTGTAAGTACTCCTGCCCTATATAAACTATTGAATTGGGCAAAGTAAAATTGAATACATATAAAATTGAAATGAATGAATATACTTTATTGGACATCAAAAATAAAAACTGTGGTAGCGCCACGTAACAGTCTTCTTTGTTGCACGAATGGGCAGGTCCGTTCGGGGATATACCACGACCTCGCAGAAGACCGGCGTGAAGTTGAAGTGTTATACTTTTGCGTTTACTCTTTTGAGTGAGGTAGTCGCGGTCTACTTTATTAAACAGTTGCAACGCATCTGCTACCCAACGGGTGAAGCAAATGTCAATGGGCGGCGGTTATCGCGAAATTTATGTCATATTCGAATGATATTTTTCATTCCCTGAAAACAGGAATAAAAGGACATTTTCTAAAAATGAAACCTAGCTAGATCGATTTTTCGCCCCAGAATCTAAACGCACATACTAAATTTCATGAAAATCGCTGGAGCCGTTTCCGAGATTCCGATTATATATATACAGCGTGTCGTTACCATCGCGACAATAAATGAACACACTTCTAACGCTACTTGCCAAAAATCATAAAAAAATATTAACGTTAAACAAAATCCATAATTAAAAAAAAAACATTTTTCAAACAAACTAATTAAGTAAAAAGAATTAAAATTTGTAACATCCTATACAACTCGCACCACAGCGTCGTATTACAAGCCTCTCCTTCTAACAATATGTTTTGTCTCTTTTAAATTCATTCAACCCATTCATATGCTTTGTGACCTTTACAAATGAACTTTACGTTACAGTTTTATAGGTAAGGGTGTTCTTAAATTCTTTGTTTTGGAAAATTTTATAACTCTGTAAACATTGATGTTTAAAGAATGTAAATGTTTAATACAATTTTAAAAATTTATCCCCTATATGTGTGTTCATTTATTGTAGCGATTGTAAAGACACGCTGTATACAAGAATTGCTCGTTTAAAGGATAAGATAAACAAAAATCAAAACCTAATATAGAAGAGATGGGTGCATTATTACTAAGAGTTATTTCTCCCAGACCACCTTAAAATGATATGTCACATAATTGGGTATTCCAATATGGTTTCAGGGTATATATTAGCAGATGCCGGATACGACGTGTGGCTGGGGAATCTAAGAGGCAATGATTATTCTACTCATCTTAATTTAACGAGGGACGATTCCAGATTTTGGCAGTTCAGGTGAGTGTAGAATGCTAGAGCACGGGCACTTAAACACAATAAAGTATTTAAGTTAAGAATTTTTAAGAAGAAGAAGAATTTCGGGGATCTTCTAAGAATTTCTTGTACCAAATCTATATAATAACAAAATGGTAAAACAACACGTATTTAATGTCCCTTTCGTAACTGCATACACAGATAGTAAAATAAAGTAACAGCCTATGTTTGTCCCACTACTGCATGGTTTATCAGGACATAGTCCACCACGCGACCCACTTCACATATCTTCGAAAAATAAATAATTCTTATTGTAATTATTTATTAAAATATTCACTTTTCCTCACGATGTGTTTCTTCGTCGCTGAGGACGTGATAAGGCAGCACTAAAAATCAACAATTTCATTGATGCCAGAACCGGGGATTGAACTCGAGTTGCAAGAATATATTGAATTAATATAGTGCGCTCTCGGACAATGAGCTGTCACGACTTACACATAGATAAAATATAATTAAATAAAAAATTGTACAACGGGCGGCCTTATTACTTAGAGATAATTTCTCCATCTATCCTCGAAAAAGCGTGCTTCCATACAGAATCCCCATCGCAGATACAGGGGTTCTATGATGGGGATTCTGTATGGAAGATTTATTAAACTATGAAATGATTGTCTTCCTTACAGTTTCCACGAGCACGGCAGGTATGACATACCGGCTCAGATTGACAAGGTCTTGAGCGTTACCGGTCAGCCCAAGCTTCTGTACGTAGGGTACTCTATGGGCACGACCAGTTTCTTCACGATGATGTCACAAAGACCAGAGTACAATGACAAGGTGTTCGCGTTCGTGGCGCTGGCACCCGCCGTGTTCCTGGATAATGTGAGGCCGCTGGCGGAGCTCACGCTCAAGACTTGGAACTTGCCGGTACGTTTATCTTTTCAATTGATAAGATGGCAAGCGAGCAGGCGGTCCGCCTGATGTTAAGGGATAACCGCCGTCCATTGACATTCGAAACACCCGTAAGGTTGTAAGGTTGCAGATGCGTTACCACCTGTAATAAAGTGGGCCCCATCTACCTTACCCTCCAGGCGAAACGTATAAGTATAACACTTCAATTTCCCGCCGATCTTCTGTCAGGTCGTGGTAGTTACCCAGACGGAAGAAACCACATTACATATAAAGGAGTGCAATTTAAATTAAATCTAAGCATCTAATTTACCGTGGTAAAGCCACGCAGGAATGTCTACTGTTGCACGAATGGGCAGACTCGTCCGGGGAATTACCAGGACCTCAGAGAAGACCGGCGTGAAGTGGAAGTATTATACTTTCGCGTTTCGTCTGGTAACCAGCGCCGACTTTTTAATGGTTGGCTACACATCTGTAACCCCCAGGTTCATGGGAGATGGTAATCATTTAACATCAGATGAACCGCCTGTTCGCCACCAAACGTTTCAAATAGGAAAGTAAAGAATCAGATCCATCCAAAAGCTTCTGGGGTAGCCCATTTACTAGCTGTCTTCAACAGTTTTATTTCCTTGTATACGAGCTGATTATTTAGACAAAGTATAAACTTTGACATATTGTTAATTGAGCACTCCATAAATAAAAAAAATATTAATATTTTATTTTGACAAGAAATAACCATAAAAATATCAATTCAAACATTGTTTGTTTATCCCGTTAATAGGGTGTCCCTAATGTTTAAAAAAAATAAAAATGATATTTGTAAAAAAAATTAGGTCACAAGTACGTACCAGATTTAGTTTTAGAATCAAATTCTGCATATGCCCTGTTAATGTGTTCGTCGTCTATAAAATGTTCACAGAAAACTATGCGTGCGCAAGGGATGTTATCGGTGACCTTCAGACCTGAGCTTCTAGAACTGGTGGTCAGCAGCCTGTGCCAGGTTAAACAACCGGAGCAAGACATGTGCATGCGACTGATCTACGGCATCGTTGGCGAGGACTACGAGCAGAACGACTGGGTAATCTTAGGCTGCTGCCCGCGACTACGTCTGCGTAGTATACTACGGCTGGAGGCATAACATTCAGACAGAAAGACATATTATATATACACATAAAATATGCATATAAATTATGGCCTATGTCTTATTCTGATGTATAAGCTATATTATTGTAAAGTTTCATTAAAGTCCATTTAGTAGTATTGGCGTCAAAGAGTAACAAACTTCTATCCATACATACAAACTTTCGCCTTTATAATACTAGTAAGGATAAATTGCTATTCGTTAGTCTCGCTAAAACTCGAGAACGGCAGAACAGATTTGGCTAATTTTTGTTTTGAAATATTTGTGGCAGTCCAGGGAACGTTTAATCGATGAGAAATTATGGAAAAATTGCATGGAAAACAGAAATTGCAATAACAATTTTATTTTCCCATACAACCAGTTCCTACCTGTCAAACATTTTATGCGTGTGTTACCTAAATTTAATTTTTCTATATGTTCACTGATCAAGGTGGTCCACCCAAAACATTTTTTTCTACCCTACTAAGTAGTAGGGTCGTCCCTAGAAATAATTTATATAGAAATGAAAGGCTAAAGTTAATATGTTTTTTAATATATCAACGTATTTATTAACAATTAATTTTACGGTGGTAGACCCACGCAGCAGTCTCGGCTGTTGCACGAATGAGCAGGCTCGTCCGAGTAAGTACCACGACCTCACAGAAGACCGGCGTAAAGTATATCACTTTCGTGTTTCGTTTGGTGAGTGAGGTGGCCGGAGCCCAAATTTCAAAAGGTTGTCAACGCATCTGGAACACTCGGGTGTAACAGATGTCCGTGAGCGGCGGTATTCACTTAACATGAGGTGAACCGTCTGCTCGTTTGGCAACTTTTCACATAAAAAAAGAATATGTAAAGACAATCAACACTTACTATTGTAAATTACAGGACATGATGTCTGTCATATTACGCAGATTTCAACCAGCCTCGTGGAGGCAACTCGAGCATTTTGGAAAAATTGCCATGACGGGTAAATATAATCATTAAGCCTCCTTTGTATTAGAGCATTTGGCTTTGGATTTGCCAACAACGCGCCCTCACTATGTCAACTGGAAATTATATTTATACTACTAGTGTTAAATTGGCCTCAATAAAACCTAGAAACTGTTAATGTTACGGCAAAGTTATAAGAACAATATAAATAGGGGCCAAACTTAACATCAGGTGAAGCCATCGCCAGCTCGCTTGCCACGTTCTCACATATAAAGACGAAAAGAATTACGAGAAAAATCTATTTAGATCAAACATTCACCTTAACAACTCCATATTCAGCTTTAATACCAGTATCATTCAGCCAAAGCAATCACTTTCATATTCTATAAGTTATCTAGTCTATTTTTCCGTCATGTTCACCGTTCAAATTTCAGGTGTTTTCACGTCGTGGGAGGACGGTTTGTGGGGAGATGTCAAAGCCTACAACCTTTCTAATGTCAAAGTACCCGTCACTCTGTTGTACGGAGAAAATGACCAGCTGACAGAGAAGACGGTAAGTGGTCTCATCAGCTGATTGTCACCCATTGTATTGTATATCGTGTGGAAGGGATTGAATAGTAAGTCCCAAAGGTCAATTCGACCTAGAAGATCTAACGTAGTTTTCCTTTCGAAGGCACTGCCCTTTACTGTAGGATAAAATAATCCTGATTTGTAAGGACGTTTTACATACATCAATTCCACGTGGACAAACACCCAGATTCGAAATAAGTATCTGTGGGTCACACAAATAGTTGTATCGTGTGAGAATTGAACCGACTGACGTCGACGCCGAAGCCAATACCTTTGCAACTGCGCCACGGAGTCATCACTGCCACCCTTTCTTGACAAGCGTTCCATGCGCATATTATAGAAAGTTTGCAAATAAAATTTAAGAAAAAAATAGACAAAACTTCGAATACATTACTAACTTCGAAAAATATAGGTATCCGTGCAGGTAACGGTGTAACCGTTCCATTTGTCACAAACGATACAGTATATTTGTTTAAATATGTATATTTATTTAATTTCTATATTGTCCCTAAATAGTAACAAAAAAAAAAAGGTTAACAGCTTTAAGAATTACAAGCGTACAGTGAATTAACGGTCTATTTATGTGTATTAATTAGGAGGCATAATTATATAACAGGTAAATAAAACAGGTATCTCGAGATAACAGACTGTACTGTTACGAACAATCTTAAATAACAGTTCCTATTCCCACTCAAATTACTCCTTAGCACGCTGTCACAAGCTTTCTTTTATTAATGCTTGCGACTTGTCTTAGTTAGAAAGAGAAAAACTGTTTCACCTTTCACAGTTGTAACTGAACACTGTCACCGTTACAAGCCTTACAGCTTATTAAGAAAGAGAAGTACGGGCGTTACTATAAAGTAACATACTGTAACAGCTGTTACTTTGGTAACAGTTACACAAATTGTCACAACATAGTATGAAATAACGGGCTGTTATTTTGTAACAGGTATTTGTCACTGTTACTTTTAGGAACAGGAACAGCTCACTCCTAGCATTGATAAGGCCATAGTGTAACCACAGTAGTCTTACATAAATACGTATCATTTAGTGTTAGAAACATGCAATTAAGGAAATAAAAAAATTCAGGCGGAAGTTGGACCAGAAATATTAGTTTTGTTTTGGAAATAACTAATCTCAGCTTATGTTTGCGTATTTCTGGCATGTTTTGAAGAAGAGAGCCTACTTCTACGTCAAAGTCCGTAGACGCTATTGTGTTTCCTCCTTGTCTGTGAATATCACAAGTGTCCATGGGCGGTAGTGAGCGCTTACCATGGGTGACCCGCTTGCCCCTTTGAGTTGAGTTGAATCAAGCTATAGCCGAGATTATCATCATGTTCCTTCTGCCCCTATCCCACCTAGGTGGGGTCGGCAAAACATGTGAGCGACGTCGTTAGCGTTTTTGGCTATGTTTTTTTTACGACTGGCCGCCTGCCTGACGTCAACCCTTCTTGGGAAACAAACCTGGATCCGGAACAGTTATCTATGGGTCACAAAAATACTTGTCCCGCGTGGGAATCGAACCTACGAGTCCCAACACCGATAGCTTAGCAAAGGCACCACCGAGTCATCAGCCCAGTATAAATAAATTGAATAAATAAATTTATCTAGCCCTCAACTAATAGCTTGCACAGCAGTAACGTTAATTAATGAAGTAAAAATATTACTGTAATGGTTTAATGTTTTTTGAAATTATAATATTATAGTTTTATATTATTTGCTATATAAAGTAATACGTAAGTAGTAGTAACGTGCATAATATTGGTAAAATAGCTCAGCGGAGATTTAAATTTAAATAATTTATGAGTATATAAAAATCTCGATGCTTCCGCTTAATGAATCGCATTATAAATTATAATTATAAATATTTAGGAGCCGTGATAGCTCAGTGTCCGGGCGCTCGCCTTTAATTCAATATACTCGAGCAACCTGAGTTCGATCCCCGGTGCCGGCACCAATGAAGTTTTTAACTTTAAGTGCTGACTTATCACGTGCTCCGCGGTGAAGGAAAACATCGTGAGGAAACCTGCATATTTTCGAAATAATAACAAAAAAAATATATTTCGAAAATATGTGAAGTCCGCCAATCCGCAGTGGGGCCGCGTGGTGGACTATGCCCTGATACCCTCTGTATAGAGGAGGCCTTTGCCCAACAGTGGGACATGTATTGGCTGTTACTTTACTTTACTTATAAATATTTTTAGAGATGCCGCCAATATTCGCTATTATTCGGTATTATTCGAATTTTTTGTACCCATACCGAAAAATAGTTTCTACTATTAGTAATCTCGAATAATAGTAGAAACGATTACTCGTTATCGAGCTAGTTGTCTGTAATAAATTTTTAATGAACAAGCACCGAAGTCTTAAAAGTTATTAGAGTTAATAATTAACTTTAATTTCTCTCGAAAACCAAAACACTACACGTACACGTATTGAATCATTAACATAAAAAGTTAACGGAACCGTATTATATATATACAGCGTGTCGTTACCACCGCGACAATAAGTGAACACACATATTGAGGATAACTTTTTAAAATTGTATTAAACATTTACATTCTTTAAACATCAATATTTACCGAGTTATTAAATTTTCCAAAACAAAGAATTTTAGAACATCCTTAAGTATAAAACTGTAACGTAAAGTTCATTTGTAAAGGTCACAAAGCATATAAATGGGTTGAATGAATTTAAAAGAGACAAAACATACTGTTAGAAGGAGAGGCTTGTGAGAGGCATGTGTTGTCTCTTTTAAATTTATTCAACCCATTCACATGCTTTGTGATCTTTGAACAAATGAACTTTACGTTACAGTTTTATACGTAAGGGTGTTCTAAAATTGTTTATTTTGGAAAATATAATAACTCGGTAAATATTGATGTTTAAAGAATGTAAATGTTTAATACAATTTTAAAAATTTATCCTCTATATGTGTGTTCATTTACTGTCGCGATTGTAAAGACACGCTGTATATCTCGAGAGATAATTTGATATGTCTTTTATTGCCCCTGTGAGTAAATTTTACTGTGCAAGTTTTCAATATGTGGTTTCCAGGTGAGCCGGCTATCCAAAATCAGGATACTTCTCAGTTTTTACTTTTGTAAATATTTCACCGTTCATACAAAGAGGATTATTTTTTAAGTTTATTCGTATTTGAGACATTAATACTGAATAAGTTTGTCTGTAGTCAAGTATGTAGTTTATTTAGGCCATATTGCGCTTGGCCTATTATTGAATAATAGTTTTAAATTGCGGCCAAAGTCAACCAAGCTAGTATCGTCTGCATGTAAAGTGATGTCACCCGTTAGACCATTTTCTTGAATATTATTTACAGTAATAAGGAACAGCAATGACCGTAGAATCGATCCTTGTGAAATTCCACATGTGATCAGTTTATTTCTTACTTTGTAGTTACAGTATAGAATAAATGATTGGTAAAGTTATAACTACTAAAACCCTAATATTATTATATGATAACAAAAACATATATTATATAACATATAATAAAAACATTATAATGACAAGTACAGCATCTCTATTAAATAATCTAATAAACGGTACAAAAAGTTACGACGCAATGATAAAATGTAAACTAAATAATAATCAAACACAAAAAATAAGCGCACAAGGAACTGGTCATCTTATCTCGAAGACAAATTACTAGACCGCTCGCACAGGCTTAGCACGTAGGCAAATCCATTTATTTTAATTTCATATAGGAAAAATAATTATAAGACAGATAAAGTTATATGTTTTATTACGACGAGAGAATATATTTATGATAGAGTATCGCAGCAGCTTATGTAGCACAAGTGGGGCAACTTCTCCGGTGAAGCTTCACGGCTTCATAGGTGACATAGTAGGAATATCTAATCTTTCTCATTTGGTAAGTAGGTAAGGTAGGGTAACACGGTGTTAAAGATTAGCAGCAATGCAATGAACGGACGCAAAGACGTAAATGCAAAAAACAGCGTCCACTGGTGGCTCTCAACATCAGGCGAACCAGCTGCTCGCGATCCATCTTTTTGTGCGAAGGTGGCAAATGAGCTGGCAGTTCACCTGATGTTAAGTGATAACCGCCGCCCATTGAAATTTGAAACACCCGTAGGGTTACAAATTCCTACCTTTTAATGAAGCGAGCTCCGGTTACCTCACTCACCATCAAAACGCAGAAGTACACTTACACTTCATGCCGGTCTTCTGTGATGTCCTGGTACTTACCCGACCGGCCCTGCTCATTTGTGCAACAGCGCTGATTGCTGCGTGGCTCTACCGCAGTTACAGATCAACTTTTCTGTCTGCTAATTCTGACTCTAATAATATTGAACACTAGCTGTGGCCGTGACATATGTGAAATGTTGCCAAGCGAGCATACGGTTCACCTGATGTTAAGTGAATAGCGCCACCCTGGGGCATCTATAACACCCGAGGGTTCCAGATGCGTTGACAAACTTTTGAAAATTGGGCTCCTCACTCAACAGACGAAAGTATTATATTCCCCCTTTACGGCGGTCTTCTGTGAGGTCGTGGTACTTACCCGGACGAGCCTGTCCATTCGTGCAACAGCCGAGGCTGCTGCGTGGCCCTACCGCCTTTTAAAAATTTAAAAGAAATAAAATTTCAAAAATAAAAGTAGCCTAAGTTTCTCCTTATTTCATCAGCTAACTGCCAGTGAAAGTCCCTTCAAAATCGGTCCAGCCATTCCAGGTTAGCCGGAACAAACAGACAGACGGACAGAAAAAATTGTGAAAAATGTTATTTTGGTATATCCACCGTGTACATTTAGCAAAAAGTGAAAATAATTCAGCCAATTAATAGAACGTCGGAAGCTGCTTATGCAGTAAAAGTAAATAGTTGTCAACGTGGTAATAAAAAAAATAGTTAATCCACTTTCACGCGTTACAGCAAATAATGCGGCTAGCTGAGGAGTTGAAGAGCAGCGGTATGCTGGAGGAAGTGCGGCCGGCCTGCAACTGGCCCAGGTTCAACCACTTGGACTTCGTGTTCGCGAAGGACGTGGGCGCGCTACTAAACCGGCCTCTCATCAAGCATATCGACAACATGTTCAATAAATATGGACCCACCTAAATATGTGTTGCATTTCTACTTATTTTTATCCCAATCATCCAATTCGAGGATATTGGAGTAAGACCGTTTTAGAAGAAGATTAAGATGGAGATGGGGTATCGATATAAACGCCTTAGTTCTGAGTGACTTTCTGAGATTAACCAAATCGCAGAAACAGCTATAAAAGTAATTTCATTTGGTGTAGTTGTATCTGACCCTAAGATTTATATCTTCTCATCATCAACATGTCGATAAAAAGAGTTAGAAATAAGGAAAGAAAGAGAAAGAGAGGAGAGCGACATAATAACGTATTCTATGTAAGTGTCTTTATATGAAGGGCTAAGGCACCACGCAATGAGTAGTCATTTTTATTTTTGTATCTAGTGCACGGTTTTTCGAGAGATTATACTTCTACGTTCCTTCTGGTGAGTGAAGTAGCCAGGGTTCAACTTATTAAAACATCATCAGGCAACGCATCTACAACCCGTCAATGGGCGGCGGTTATCAGGTGTACTCACATAAATTAAGATAGAGAAAGAGAGAGCGAGAGGCAGATAGGGCGTTACAATAACATAGTATGCCTACGGGTGCATTTTTTCACTATCGTAAAGCGGACGTATCACACGACTGGTCCAGAATAAAGCATTGGGTAGACTTATTCAAATAGACGTATCGAATACCTAATAAACACTTTATATACGTGGTTAATAGAACCAGTTCGTTTTAATTGAATTTATGAATAAAAAAAACGAGAATGAGAAAAACACCGGGAAGCTACATTTCGTGGTTTAGAACGGCTGTGCGGTGATCAGTAGGAAAACTATACTGGAGTTAATAACACGCCCTTTCTTGATTAACTCCGATATTCATACTTTGAGCATGTAAAAGATTTTGGATTTGCCGTAGTCATTCCTAGATTTGCATCGTGCGTACTTAGTTGCTGTTAAACACTTAAAATTTTAAATTCTTGTCATTCGGGATTTGTGTATTATCAGCATAGAATCGGTCACTCTACTTGTCGGTAGAGCCAGTGGTTTAGTATTTATCAAGGGTTTAGTATTTATCAACAAAATGAAACGGGTCACATTAGCTCTAATTGTTTTATACATAAACGGAATTGCTGAAAGCGAATGCCGATCAAGGATTCAGGACGGTCGCTTATCCGTGGTAAGTTCTGTGCTCTTTTTATCTGTGATCTGTTTATATATATATATATACAGCGTGTCTTTACCATCGCGACAATAAATGAACACACATAAAAAGGAAAAATTTTTAAAATTTTATTGAAGATATTGTATTCTTATTGTATTCTTTGAACATCAATAATTACTGAGTTATCAAAACAAAGAATTTTAGAACACCCTTACGTATAAAACTTTAATGTAAAGTTCATTTGTAAAGGTCACAAAGCATATGAATGGGTTGAATGAATTTAAAAGAGACAAAACATGTTAGAATGAGAGGCTTTGAATGCGGCTCTGTGGCAACGAATGAAAAACTCTCAGAATGTATGAATCAGTCAGTTGTAGTTGTATAGGATGTTACAAATTTTGTTTGTTTTTTATTTATTAGTTTGTTTGAAAAATATTTTTTTTCAATTATGGATTTTTTTAAAGTTAATATTATTGTTTGATTATTGGCAAGTAGCTTTAGACGTGTGTTCATTTATTGTCGCGATGGTAACGAGACGCTGTATATATCTTCGTTTCATATTTTAAGACATTGACGGTCAGCTGTCAAATGGCTTTTCAAATGTCATTTGGGTTGCCAAAAGGATGGTTAAACTATTTGAATTGATCATTCTGATTATTAAGAAGATCATTCTGAGTTCTTTTATGTAGTATAATTTTTACATTATTTAATGATAAAAAACACACGAAGCAAACAGCTCCAAATAAGAATGCCGATTACAACAATCGAAATTATTAACTTTTGGGATATACGAAAAACATAAATTTCATTAAATATATACTAATATTAAGTTTTCCCACGTTACCACTTATCCGTACTAAGTATTCACACATTATCCTAATCTCATCGAAATAATGTTTGAAATTGTCAACAACAGACAAGCAGTCTAAGAACCAAAACTAAAAAAAAGGGAGGAATAGTTTGGTGGTAAGATTGGTTTGTGGTGTGAGCTATACCACCATAACTATTTACAGAATTCATCACCCACATGAAATAAGAGCATTTACATAGAACTGGTGGTAAGAAGAAAGCGGAAACTGTCGTTGAAAAACCATTTGAATTCGCGACACGATTGGCCTATACATTAAAAAGAAAAAATTTTCGCTCGTTTATTAGCATATGTTTTTAATCTCTAAATTGTTCAATTAATCCAAACTGACGGATGTTTTTTTTTATGTGAGAATGTAGCAAGCGAGCTGCCGGTTCACCTGATGTTAAGTAATAACCACCGCCCATAGACATATGCAACACCCGTAGATTTGGAGATGCGTTGCCAACTTATAAAAAATTGGCCCCGGCTACCTCACTCACCAGACGAAACGTATAAGTGCAAAACTTCCACTTCACGCCGGTCTTCTGCGAGGTCGTGGTTCTAACCCGGACGGACCTGCCCATTCGTGCAACAGCGAACACTGTTGCGTGGCCCTACCACAGTTCAGTCATTATGTATTAAAAAAATTATTTTACATTTTTGAAATGAATTCTTAAGTATGTTGTATGAGTGTTATCACACAACGATCGTGAACAAAAAGTTTGCAAAAAATATTAATATTTTGCAAACGTTTTTTTTTTGTTATCACATAATTTAAACGTAATATGTGATTAGAAGCAAACAAAAACAGATTTTTCGCCTGCTGTGAATTAGCCAGCGAGGATCATAACTTCCTAATTCTGGTATAAATTATGAAATGATATGGTATAAATTATCTAATTGAAAAAAAATCACGATGGTAGGGTCACGCAGCAGCCTCGGCTGTTGCACGAATGGGCAGGCTCGTCCGGGTAAGTACCACGACCTCACAGAAGACCGGCGTAAAGTGGGAGTATCATACTTTCGCGTTTCGTCTGATGAGTGGGGTGGCCGGAGCCCAATTTTCAAAAGGTTGTCAACGCATCTGGAACCCTCGGGTGTAGCAGATGTCCATGGGCGGCAGTATTCACTTAACAACAGGTGAACCGTCTGCTCGCTTAGCAACTTTTCACATAAAAAAAATTTGAAATTATATATAAGTGTCACCTCCAAAACTGACATATAAAAGTAAAGTAACAGCCTATACATGTCCCACTGCTGGGCAAAGGCCTCCTCTGTACAGAGGGTATCAGGGCATAGTCTACCACGCGGCCCCATTGCGGATTGGCGGACTTCACATATCTTCGAAATATATATATTTTATATATTATTATTTCGAAAATATGCAGGTTTCCTCGCGATGTTTTCTTTCACCGCGGAGCATGTGATAAGTCAGCACTTAATGTTAAAAACTTCATTGATGCCGGCACCGGAGATCGAACTCAGGTTACTCGAGTATATTGAATTAAAGGCGAGCGTCCGGACACTGAGCTATCACGGCTCTGAGACATATAATGACACCATGTATTGAAATCTATCAAAGGGTAGGATGTATAGCGCCAAAGTATTATACATGCATACCTAAATTCATACACACTCGAATAACATTAACCTCTTTCGGCAGTCGGTTTAAAGGGCTCAAGGGTTTCCATAACTTTTTTCTGATCAACAATTTCGTTCAACCAACTGGATCCCTAACACAAGTTAGCGCCCCGAAGTAGTACTAAGCACTGGTCTTCACTGTTTAACAAGATTTATTTGACTACATCTACAGATAGATTTTGTTACTAGCGATAGTTATTTGACATTAGCTCGATAATACTTACGTCAAAATTCTATCTCCAGTAACCAAATCTATCTGTAGATTGCAACCGACCGTAAATCAAACTGTATAATAAGGATGTGTATTCGACATGATTTATTTCCTTATTCCGCAGCGATACCAGAAAAAAAAAAGCATTAAAAATATTTCGGCCTAATCCGCGGCGGCGTTTCCGTGAGTTAATAAACTGGTTCTTTAGCAGAGTGCTCCGTTTATTGTATTTGTGTGAGTGTAGAATACGGGCGGATCACTGATGATAAGTGATTACTGTCACTACCACAGCACCAGTGGGGTTGCAATTCATCGTGGTAGGGTCATGCAGTGAATTCCGCTGTTGCAAGAATGGGAAGATGGGAAGATGGAATTAAAAGCGCCCTGGGCACTGAGGTATCGCGTTTTAATTTGATTTTTAATTTCCCGACGTTTCTAACCCTTTCCAGCGTTTGTTCAAAGTCAAAGTCAAAATTTCTTTATTATCTTTGTCTTATTGAATATAATAATAATAAATATTTTTGGACACATTTTTTACACAACGTTTTCTAGTCCTAAAGTAATTAACGCTTGTACTATGGGTACTAAATAACTGATAAACATACTTTTATTTTGTATATAAATACATATTATACATATATAGACTTCCAGACATTAGAAAAAGACTATGTTCATCACACAATATTTTTCCAGTAGTGGGGATCGAACCCATACCTAGAGGGTATGGGTTCGCAGGAGGCAGGTACCATTATGTAACCACTACGCCATTCAGGTCGTCTAATTCGTCTAAAACTTCGGAACCTCTAAAACTAGCACCGGTTCACTAAACCAGACCTGCTAGAGAAGAACCGGCAAGAAACTACGTCTTATGGCTTTTTTAAACGGTGTTATTTAGCTTGACCTGTTTGGGTCACATCTAGTAATTGAAATTGATGACAATACAATTTAATACATTCTGCATCATTGTAAATCCAAGATGGTCGCCGCAACATGGCGGATTATACATTTTATCACTACTTCTCATCATGGTAAATCCAAAAGCATGGTCGCCGCAACATGGCGGATTCATTTCTCTTTTCGCAAACCCTTCAATATGGGAATCAAATAAAACGTCTTGACTACTAGAATAAACTAAAAACTTGAAAATAAAATAATGAGTAAAAAAGTTTTAAGTTAAACGGTTTTATTGGAAATAAAGATTAAAATGATGTATACAATGTACTAAAAGCTTTTTATTCCCATCTTTATATACGCAAAAGAAGCTTATGGTATCTTCAAGCCTAGCAGTATTCGTGCGCATGGATTTATTTCATAAAAAAAAATAAAACGCGGAATAAATCCTTAAAATCCATTTAACTAGGTATAATATTCGCGTAAAAAAACAGAAATCGTGTTTATGCGGGTGGTCCAAACAGAAATTCCGTTCACTGCTCACTACCGCTGACTATTTCCAGCCTCAGCTCATACGGAACGCGGGCTACCCAGCTGAAAGGCATCACGCGAGGACTGCCGACGGTTACGTGCTGCAGATGCACAGGATACGGGCCGGTGGACGCGCCAAGGGTGCCCGTGACACCAAAGCCAAGAGGGCTGTGCTGCTAGTCCATGGCCTGTTCGGCTGCAGCAGTAACTTTGTCATCATGGGACCGGACAGGAGTTTGGGTGAGTAATATATAGGGACCCCATTACTAAGACTCCGCTGTCTGTATTTCATGAACCGTGATAGTTAGACAATTGAAATTTACACAGATGACGTATTTCTATTTTAACGGTGGTAGGGCCACGCAGCAGCCTCGGGCAGGCTCGTCCGGGTAAGTACCACGACCTCACATAAGACGGGCGTAAAGTGTAAGTATAATACTTTCGCGTTTCGTCTGGTGAGTGAGGTGGCCGGAGCCCAATTTTCAAAAGGTTGTCCAACGCATCTGCAACCACGGGTGCAGCAGATATCCATAGGCGGCACGTATTCACTTCATATCACGTGAACCGCCTGCTCGCTTGGCAACTTTTCACATTAAAAAAAATATTTAAGAGATAATTAATTCACAACATACATGACTTTTTTTGTCGTTTTATAGATAATGGTACGGAACCCTTCGTGCGCGAGTCAAACTCGGGCTTGGCCAGTTTTTTTTAAGTTAAATAAATGAAACAAATATTTCAACGCACATTTTTACACGTTAACAAAGCAAAGCTTAAAGGGTACCAGTTATTTCAATGTCAAAGTAAAAATTTCTTTATTGAACGTACGTAATAACTACCACCGGTTCACTTAACTAGACCTGAACAGAATAGAACCGCCAAGAAATTCTGCGGTCTTTTGAGATTTAATGGACAGCTCGCCAATACCCACCTGTTTTACATAACTGATCAGATTATTTTTAAGTTTTCAAATAAGGTCGCGAGTTGGAACGAGTTTTAAAGAGCCACTTGTTTTAGGGTACATTCTGGCGGACGCTGGATACGATGTTTGGTTGGGAAATCTCCGAGGAAATTTACACACTACGCATCGGAATCTAACCAGGGACAACCCTAAGTTTTGGGACTACAGGTGATAACTACTTCTCGCTAACAATAATTTACCAAACTTCTAAAGAAAAGTTAATCGACTTATAGGGCAACGCAGTAGGCTTTTGTACGACTGGGCAGGCTCGGCAAGGGAGTGAATGTATTATTCTCTCGCATTTCTTCTCATGTATCATCCCGTGGTACATCTCCGTTGACACGGTGATCACTGAACATTAGGTGAACCGTATGCTCTCTTATCAAATTTCACATAAAAAAACCCCAGTAAGCAGTTCTCTTACGCCGAAGCCTTGAGTAATCTCACAGTAGCTTTTCTAGACAAAATAAGGTATATTATAACCAAATTGATGTTTTTTCTGAGTCTTTTTTGAGCCGTGATAGCTCATTGCCCGGGCACTCGTTTTTAATTCGATATACTCGAGGGACCTGAGTTCGATACCCGGTGCCGGCACAAATGAAATTGTTAATTTTAAGTGCTGACTCATCACGTGTTCAGCGGTGAAGGAAAACATCGTGAGGAAACCTGGATCTTCGAAACAATAAGAAAAAAGGCTATCGAAAGGTTATCTAATATGAAGTCCGGCAATCCGGAATGGGGCCGCGTGATGGACAATGTCCTAATACCCTCTGTACAGAGGCCTTTGTCCAGCAGTGGGACAATAACATAGGCTATCACTTTACTTTGATGTTTTTTTTATTAATTTTATAATCAGATATTGTTGTTGCAATCTTTCGTTATCGCATTCGTGCTTAAAGACATCCATTACAGTTTCCACGAGCACGGTAAATACGACGTGCCGGCGCTAATCGATGAGGTCCTGTCCGTCACCGGTCTACCGCGGCTGCTGTATATCGGCCACTCGATGGGCACCACCAGCTTCTTCGCGGCCATGTCCCTAAGGCCGGAGTATAATAAGAAAGTGCTGGCGGCCGTGGCCCTCGCACCGGCGGTGTACTTGGACAACATGAAGCCATTGGCCGAAATGCTGATAAAGAGGATTGAGTTGAGCGTTAGTTGTGATTCCAATAATAGTTTTTAATGTGAGGGTGGTAATGATAATCCCCCTGATAGTGAGACCCCGAGCGGCAGAAATGGGGGTGTCTGTCGCTCAATATGGGGCTCGTGACGTGTGCCAATTGCACCAGCATATCGCCATGTAGTAGAGGAGGCCTATAAAGGTCATAGTCGCGGCCATAAAAAAAGGGTGGTGGTGATAATGCCGAAAGTCATTAACACTAATAAGGATAATAAAGATCTGTACCGTGTTCAAAAGCATTCTCCGTCGGCAAATAAGCGGCCAATACTAGCATTGATAACCGAAGCTTCGGAAGGTGTTTTTATCAGAAAACTATTCCAAAGGTGATTTCAGACGTCGAAGTTGCACCAGTGATATTGTATACAAATACGAGGTAGGTTTGACATAAGCGAACCGAAACTGAGGCACTCAAATTACGCCAATTGGTGTAATTAGACTGCAATTCTAATTCTTAATACTGATATCTCTTTCCATATCATACGTTCTATATCATCTATCACATTCACTTATGTTATATAATGTAAAGCGGAACAATTTTTAAACGTCGCGCAGTATGGGCAAGCGTCATCTTTATTAAGCCATCTTAATATTAAGACGATCACAGATCATCCCGAAACGATGGACGCTTCAAACGGTAGGAGTTATTATCGTGTGAAGTTCGGAGCAAAAATTGGAAAGCATAAACTAATGGACTATATTTTGACATATTTCCGAACGTCCAGAAGTTGATGCGATCGCACGGAATCATATCTGCGTCGCTGCAGCCCGAGCTGCAGGATCTCGTGATTTCGAGCCTCTGCTCTTCGAAAGACTTGAGGAACAACATCTGCGTCCAACTGCTGCAGGACATCGCCGGAGAGGACTACGAGCAAACAGACCCGGTGAGACGGAAGCCAAGCTAATTTAACTTGTTAGATCTTATAGCGAGCTGGTCTATAGGGTTTGTAGCCCTATAGACCATGGTGTAACCAAAAGGTTAAAACGGGACCCTGTTACTAGGACTCCTCTGTCTATCTGTGGGTATGTATGTCTATCTGTCCGTCTGTATCTCGTGACCGTGATAGTTAGACATTAGGGGCCATTATTCACTTGAGGGTCGAAAGGGGGGAGGAGGTTTGGCAAAAAACATGAAATATCACAAGTGGGGAGGGGGATGTAGTAAGTTAATACGTGTATTAATTTTTTCGTCATATGATCGATTTCTTCGGTCGAAGTGGGAGTCAATGGGGAAGGCCTATGTTCAGCAGTGGACGTCCTACGGGTGATATGATGATGATGATGATGAGCGATTTCTAAACCGAAAAGTGGCGTGTAGTTATCATGGTCCATAATTTCAGAATAAAACTAGATAGACTATACTTTATACCTGTATTTAAAGATAATATGCTAAAAATTTTAAGATTCTTTGACCACCCTCAAAGTTAAAAGGGTTAGTCTTAAACCTCACCGCGTATCACCTAAGGGGAAGAGGGGTTTAAAAATGCTAAAAAAACTATCACGTGATTAATGGACGACCACTTGAAATGTTCACAGATGATGTATTTCTCTTGTCGAACATATACAAAAAACAGAATAAAAATATATTTATAGTAGGGCTCCCATAAAAGATACATGATTTTTTGCCGTTTTATAGATAATGGTACGGAACCCTACGTGCGCAACTCCGACTCGCAGTTGGTCGGTTTTTATACTAGCTATTGTGCTATTTAGCACAGCATCGCTATATGAAGCTGAATTTCAATAGACATCTCTCCGTAATAATAATACGCCGAGATTCAGGCTAGGCGCCTCGCGCGCCAGGCCACCTCAAGCCCGTCGGAACTGTAAAGGCCCCTAAGGCCAACAGTGGCTCATCCAGCCCAAAAAAAAAAAAGATCTCTTTACTTCTGAAATATTCACTGTTAAATTTCATTTGTGAAAATGTTACTTGACGTAAACGGAGCACACAAGATGCCGCCAAGCATTGCTACAAATGTAAATACAACGAAGTAGATACGTGTATTTGCGCGGTGATTATATTGACCGCTTAGCTCAGTGGTTAGAGCCTCTGAGTAGGTTCAAGACTAAATTGGATAAGAAAAAAAGCTTTAAGTAGACTTCGTACGTAAGTAGACTTCGTTTTTTTTTTAAAAGGCCTAAAGCGCAGGGCGTTTAGCGTAGGAGAGTTTAGAAACAGTGAGAATAATATAATATAAATGCAATTATCATCCCATACATTTCAATTGTACACTATTTAATATATATAAAGATGTAGGTTTCCTCAAACAATAATAATAAAAAAAAATATTTACTTCATATGTCAAGCCTTGCAATCTGCAGTGGGGTCGCGTGCTAAACCTAATCTAATTATGAATGATCGCGCGTAAAACAAATGAGTTGCGTATAAATCACGCACTATTTGAGATAAGTTCAAATTAATGTAATTAATTACTTCCGACTGATTTAAAATATTTATGATAACAATTTTTATATAACATTATTTATGTCTAGAATTTAATTAAAAAAAATGGATACACTTAGAAAAGTCTCCCTGGTATAGGGGTGACCCTTACTTTTTTTTGGGTGATCTTTACTTTTTAATATATTTATAAATAATAATGATTCTAGACTGAACCGAGTGATGCTCGGTAGAAACTGAATCACGGATCGAATTCTCCTTCAAAACAGATTCTGTTAAGCATTCAAATGTATGCGTCACGGAAGCCAGCAGCTTCGTTTAAAATACACATTATGTTACGTTCCGAACAGGAAGTCATGATGGAACTGATGAGCAGACTTCAGCCCGCGTCTTGGCGGCAGTTGGAGCACTTTGGCAAAATCGCACTGACCAGTAAGTTGCATACGAAAAGTGGAAGCATAAACTGGGGGATTGTTGTCTTACTTTAAAGGTTTACACTTTCATTTTAAGAGACGACAATAGCGAACAATGGCTTCAAAAGTTACGTGATCAAAACCAGAATCACCTATTCGTTGGAATAAGAAACATGAATTTCATCAGGCTATAGTCACTTTTTTAAATCCAAAGCCGTGAGGTTCCTTTAACGGAGAAGAAACAGACGAAAAAAACTCCGTAGTTATCTTTTTTTTTCTATTCCTTCAAACATTAAAATATTAAACACATACCTACTTTTTTTAGAAACAGCTTGAAAGCCACCAACTCATTCCCAGGGGTTATTACCATTAATATGTTCGTATATGTTTAATAACCTTTTTTATAATTTTTTCCTTTAATAAATTTCTTAAACCTGTTAATAGGCGCTCTACCACAATTTAACTGTGGTAGAGCTACGCAACAGTGTTCACTGTTGCACGACTGGGCAGGTCCTACGGGTAAGTACCACGACCTCACAGAAAACCGGGGTAAAGTAGAAGTGTTACACTTCTGCGTTTCGTCTGGTGAGTGAGGTAGCCGGGGCCCACTTTATTTAATGGAGGCAACGCATTTGCAACCCTACGGGTGTTGCAATTGTCTATGGATGGCGGTTATCACTTAACATCAGGTGAACCGCCAGCTCGTTTGTCACTTTCGCACATAAAGTAAAAATAATAATCTTATTATTATAATGACATTGTTTCGTTTTATAAAGTTAATAAAGTTAAGGGAGGTTTTTTTAGACGAAGTACATACTTTGACATAATGTTAATTGAGCATTCTATAATTTAATATTTTATTTGAACAAGAAATAACTAGAAAAATATCAATTCAAACATTGTTTGTTTATCCCGTTACGAGCGGTCACCCTATTGATAAGCGGTTTAGTAATTATGCGTTCAGCGAACGGTTTGAGTGCTCGTGCATAGGTTATTGTATTGAGACGGTAAGTAAGAAAGTAATGTTTGAAAAAATTAAGAATAATCTTTGATAAACAAAATGAGGTCACAAGTACGTACCGGATTCAGATTGAGAACAAATTTCTGCATATGCTCTGTTAATATGTTCGTCGTCTATAAAATCGCCCTGTATACTTCTTACTAATTAATGCTTTCACATAGAATTATTTTATGTGCACTACCAGCAGTCTTTGTTATAATGGCGTGACGCAGGTGTGTTCACGTCGTGGGGAGACGGGGTTAATGGCATGCCGAGACCCTACAATCTGACCAGCGTGAGAGTACCAGTTCTGTTACTTTACGGTGAGAATGACCGGCTGACGGAGAAATCTGTAAGTGCGATGTCTTTTCTTTATTTTAGAAGTCGGACAGCGATCCGGCGGTTCTTCCGGTGCTAGGTGGTAATCACCGCCCGTGCACATTTGTGTAATAAGACCAATAGCCTCCGGTACAAAAGTACAATTTTATCCAGGCTTGTCGATATTATTCCACAATTTGTTCCTATTTGGGCGCTCGCCTTTATTTCAATATATCCGAGCGACCTGAGTGCGATCCCCGGTGCCGGCACCAATGTAATTGTTAATTTCAAGTGCTGAATTATCACGTGCTCAGCGGTGAAGGAAAACATCGTCAGGAAACCTGCATATTTTTGAAATAATAATTAAAAAAAATTCGAAGATATGTGAAGTCTGCCAATCCGCAGTGGGCCGCGTGGTGGACTCCTTCCTAATACACTCTGTACAGAGCAGGCCTTTGATCATTAGTGGCACATGTATAGGCTGATACGTAACTTTTTTTTTGTTCCAATTCTATTTAACTAACTTTACTTTGTAGAATATACTTAATTGTTAAGATTATATGTTTACGGTTCCAAATCTCGAACCCAACAGGACAGGCTCACTCTAATGCCATATCTCGAGGCGCCAGTGCCACTCTGGTGGCGACATCTATAATTAGTTGGAACTAAGATATTGACCAAGCGGAATAAAGTTTAGTCACTTGACATTTAGAATTATAAAGATTTACATTATTACTTCATTTATAGCTGTAAATAGATTTTTTTATATATTTTTTAAAAACATAGCCCTTACTAAAGCGTATTATAATCATAAAATAAATATTAACGTTAAACAAAATCCATAATTTAAAAAAAATATTTTTCAAATAAACTTTTCCTTTTTACTTAATTAGTTATATATATATATTAAAATGTCTACGTGGTTCATTGCTATGTTAGTTCAGACAGGCGTCATATACGGACGCAAACATCATTTAGCTACAGCGGGGTCCTAGAGCACACAAATTTGGGGCCCTGATGGAAAGTAAAAAATGTGAATGACAAAAACATTTTTCTAAGCTGTTATCTTATCATCATCATCATTTCAGCGTGGTTGAGTCCACTGCTGAACATAGGCCTCCCCCATAGACTGCCACGAAGTACGATCCTGAGCCACCTGCATCCATCGACTTCCCGCACATTTGCACAGGTCGTCACTCCATCTAGTGGGGGTCGTCCCACACTGCGATGGCAAGTACGAGGCTGCCACTCGAGAACCTTTCTTCCCCAACGGTTATCGGTTCTACGAGCTATATGGCCGGCCCATCGCCACTTCAGCTTGCTAATCCTCTGAGCTATGTCGGTTACCTTGGTTCTACTGCGGATGTCTTCGTTACGAACTCTATCACGCAGAGAAATACCGAGCATGGCCCGCTCCATAGCTCGCTGAGCGACTTTGAGCTTCCTCATACGGCTAGCAGTGAAGGACCACGTCTCGGTTCCGTAGGTCATCACTGGCAACACACATTGATTGAAGACTTTAGTCTTCAAACATTGAGGTATATTTGACGAGAAGATTTGCCGTAGTTTCCCGAACGCTGCCCATCCGAGTTGGATTCGCCGATTGACCTATTATCTTATATTTTTCATTTGTTCTATAAACTTATTTCGGAATATATCTACCAAAAATAGAAAAAATATAGTTTAAGCAAATACGTACGCCATGCGGGGCCCCTGTGGCGACAGGGGAACGGGCCCCGTGTGCCCTTATGGTAAAGACGGTACTGCCTCAAAGACTATAAAAGGTATTGGGACAGTATTGTTTTTAACAGAAGGTGGTAAACGGAATGCGGTTCATGTTCCGGTAAGTGTATTTTATCAATTCCGTGATGTAACTGATACGATTACGGGAACAGGCGTGGCGGTAATTATTGGAAAAAATACAGTAAAAATAACATGGTGCCGGCACCAATGAAACTGATTCACCGGACGAAACGCATAAATATCGGTAGCTTTACTTAGCGACTATACCATTCTCGATGACAAACGGAAACGTAGTATTCCTCTGCGATCCTTCATTTACCAAATAATCTCAATTATCGACAGCGATCCGCATGAGAATGAAATAAAAAAAAATCTAACAAAAGAGTAATAACTAAAATGTTATCCCCTGTGTAAATACTCTTTGTTTGTGAAAAAGACATTACTAAATGCCAGTGATAACGCTTTAATTAAGTAACTTGAAATTATAGGTAAGTGTCAAAATTTATAATTTTTCCAAACGCGTCAAAATAGGTGTAACTTCAAAAACCGTGTCAACGCGTTCAGCCGCAGGGTTTAGATATTCAGCAGTGAATGTTGCCAGCGCATTCGTTACGCGGTAAATATTTGGCACCCTCGCATAACCGAGCGAATTCGCTGCTGATGTCTTGAGGCAGTGAAGGCCTGGTAATCTGGGCATCGAATCTACGACCTAGATCTTCCAGTGGCACGCAACTGGCGTTCGTTTATAGTTTTAAGTACAAAATCACTGCCCCCAACGTTTCTGCTTGGTGACAAGCGAAGTCACGCATCAAGCTTGCCTTTCTGTGTTTGGGGTCCCAAACGCGAAAGGGCAAGTGTGACATTTTTGTCCCCATTGGTACAGAAAAAGAGTAAGGATAAAATATTTAGGACACATTTTAACACAACGTTCCTAAACTAAGTAACGCTTGTACTTTGGGTACTAGATAAATGATAAACATCCTTATACATACTTTTCTTTTATAAATAAATACACAATTCTTTTACATACAATGTTTTTACACTTTTTACACTAGTGGGGATCGAACCAACACCCGCTGGCGGAAGCGGGTGGGTTCACTACCCAATACGCCATTCGGCTCGTCAAAAAAAAAGAGTTCATTCAGTTTGGCTTAAACTTCAAGTTCCATTCGTAGCAAGTGATGCGCCTAGCCGAGGAGCTACAGGGAACCGGTATGCTGGAGGCCGTTCGCCCGGGCTGCACCTGGCCGAAGTTCAACCACGTGGACTTCATATTCGCGAAGGACCTCGGCACCCTACTGAACAGGCCTCTACTGAAGCACATCGACAGGCTGTTCAAGAAATATTCCGCGCCGTGATACGAGATTCGCAATGGCTCGGAAAGTGATGTTCGGTGATTTTCCTCAGACTGTGATTGTTAGCATTAAAAGTCATTTAATATTAGAAAAAAGCAACGACATTTTACCTCGCCCGAAAGACTCAGATCCGGGACAATTATTAGTATGTCATACAAATATCTCTCTCTCTCAAGGGAATCAAAACGACAACCAACAGTCCCCCAGACTATCGCTTAAAAAGCAACAACTGAGTCATCAAATGATGTTCTTTATTAAGAAATAATGTTACCAAAATAAACTTGCACTTACAAGATATTGATTTGTATAATAAGGTATTACCTAAATATATACAAATATTGTAAAGTTGATTTTACATGTATAATCCTAGTGAGTATTTCCTGAGATTTCATATAAGTTAGAAATTTTGGGAGATACTGGAGCAACTGCCATAAACTCAATCAACCAAAAACTCAATTGCTATAAGAACTGCAGGAGCAGGGATTATTTGCGCACCAAAACAATGTAATAAGGAAGTTCTTTATTTTCATTTTTACAAACTAATGAGACCTATCATTAATTTGAATAGCTTAATTTAGATTAGTACATGCTATAGTAAATCATATATTTCTATATACAAATATAAATATATGAACATATACATATTACTTTTATATCCCTATAGCACTTGTGCCGTAGGACAAATAAAACACATATAAACGCTTTTGCATTCATAATATCATTAGGATGAAAGAGAAATTTAATTATGTTATAATAAAACTGTTATTGTATAGTTTCGTGTTCTTGATGAACTTAGTATATATGTTGGTTTAATATGTAGTTACCTATAGTCATTATTTTAAATTTGGTTGTTTATAACATTTATGCATAAAATATACTTTTCTTTGTTTACATGTTATATTGTAATTATTGATAATAAGCATATTATATTTTCGTTAGCTGTTCATGCTTGTTTTAATTGATTTTCTCCTTATTAAAATACACCTAAATTTAAAATGAAACAATTTATTTTAAAAACATTTGAAACACAAATAGGTTTGCCACTGGTACTCTACAAAAATTAGTAAACTGTAAAAATTACCCTATGCTTCACTTACCTTGTTCATGGATGCTTTAGGAGTCACTACTGCAACTTTGCTACCTCCATGTTGGATTGGGCTCCCTAAAACTTTTGGATCAGCAATGGTGGCCCTTATAAATTCTGAAAGTTAAGCATTCATTTAGGTTTACCTAATGAGGAATTTACTGAAAGTACTAGGCATAAAAATAATAATAGTAATATATCAAAATATATTTTCTTCTGAATAACATTTAATAGGACTTATCAAGCAAAATTTATATAAAGTTTAGTCTAAGGAATGGACCTTAAACACCTTATTAAGATGATTTAAATAATTGTGAAATAGGTTGGATCAATAAATTTCAATTAAATAAGATTGGCATTGCACCATTTCCATAGCAGATTTTATGGTAGGTTATGCATACATATAGCAGACCATAAAATCAATTTTGAGACATATATTGTTACATACTTAATGGATTGAGAAATGAGAAGAATGTAAAATAAGTCCAACGGACTCGTCTGAGTATTATTTTTGGATAGAAAAAATCTCACCTTTGTTCGGCATTAGAAACTATAATGCAGATTTATGTTTATGCAAATCTCATTAAAACATTTATCATCATCCAACTTTAATCCAACATAGTCATTACTCATATATTATTATTCACAATCACAACTGTTAATTTTTCATGTTTATTTTATCACCGATGTCCGATACATAACAATGTCACTGTCATTGTCATATGTCATATTAAGTGTCATATTTGTGCCATTTGCTGTTGAAACGTTAGGTCCGTGGGGTACACGCACATCAAAACTTTATGTCATAGGCTTAACGCCGCGGCTGGTGACAAGAGAGCTGGTTCTTTTCTCGCTCAAAGGTTAAGCATAACTATTCAGCGAGGAAATGCAGCTAGCGTTCTTGGCACCATGCCGCTTGGATTAGGTTTATTAGATAATATGTAATTTTAGATAGATTTAATCTTGTAAATATTAGATCAATAAAGATGGAATTATAAATTATTAGTGTCATTGACAACCTAACCTATCTTATTTGACTATATACTTATATATTAGTATATACTTAGTATACACTTATAGCAAGCTTCGTATTAAGCTTTTTGAAGTTATACTTCTTCTGCCACATTTGAAAAAATTCTGAGAGTAAATTTTTTACGATGCACACATATGAATAATTTATATGCACGCATCGCAAAAATAATTGGTCTTACAATATAGTAATATTTCTACCAGCAAAGTTCAAAGGAAATCAATCATCCCAACGTGATAGAACGTTACTTAAAGACGTTTTCTATAGAGCGGGCCGTTATAATTTAGTGCGCAAAATTGCATGGTTCCTACATGTCTATGTCTTCTGGAAATGCAGTCCTGCTGAGTCACGGAGAATAGAACAATCTACACTACCATGTCATATTCAAATGCATCATTCTACCTTGAATCGGCGGCAAGATGGTGAACAGTAAAGTCTCGCTTGGCGATATACACGATCTTCGAGTAAAATGACATTACGATGAAAAGTTACTTTATACAAATATTTATGACTCCCTCGTCCCTTGTATCAAAGACAGAGGTATCCTTGAAACGTTTAAAATGATCCTGCGATAAATTATTGATAGTATTAAGCAATATATTTCTCTCGCTACTTTCCGAAAATGCATCGCCGCAAGGATGCGGCCATATAAACTCAAATCGGTCGATTACCAATTTTGCCTTCACGTTTAACATACACCAGGCCCTAATGCCTAGTGTGTATAGTTTGCTCGTTACGTAATAAGATGGTGCCATACTTTAAACGTTTAAAACGATCCTGTGATGAAATACTCTCACTGCCTTCCATATTTGCCCGTTATTTAATTAATCAAGAAACTTTTAGTTTTCTTTGTGAGTTGATAATTTTCGTAGATCTTGTCTTGCATAAATACATTATCTCTCCTAAACGAGTTGTTTAGGTAAAGTCTATGTATTCGTAATTTAATATAATGATCATTCGACTTTAAACCTCTGTTATATCTCGGATTAAATACGATTTATTTATCATATCTTTTTTCTGTGGACTGGAGAGCACTGTCACTTTGACAAAAGATGGCAACGGCGAGTTGAGGTTGCACTTTGCGTAGCTTGAGTTTAAGATATCGGGGTTGTTGTATTAACAATAATCGAATTATGTAAATATTAGCGATTAATAAGTATAATATTACCAAATCAACAAGAAGCGACTGTCGTAATATTCACAATCATGGATCTCCACCGGCCTGTTGACCCGAATAAGGTAATCATGAAACTTATTCTGATTTTTTTTTCACTTTCCTAGTTACTTTTTAAGGTGATGTCTTTTATATAATTCTGCCTTTTGTTTCAATAAAAAGAACAAAATTCATTTACTACATGAAAAGGTAATGTAAACATATTGATATAAAATTATATTTCATTTAAACATGTATGTTCTTATTATATGTAATCGTCAAATTTTACATAAAAAATTATACATAGAGGTACCACCGGTTCGGAAAGCAGTTTCTGTTGAGAAGAGACCGGTATTGTTGATGAAAGTTAGCTCAGCTGTGAAATGTTAATGTACAAGCCTTACTTAACTAACAAAGTAGTAAAATATTGTGTATTCCTCTATCTGTATTTAATTACTAATAATTTACTGTCATCTTGCATCATATCATGAAAATCAACCATCCGTTGCGTATGCTATACATGTTCTATAAATTACCTTAAGACGGTTCCAATTCACTGCCTGTTGACCTAATGTACTTCTCACAGCTACTTATATAATTGTTAGCTGATGTTATATAGTTATGGGTTAAGATAATAAATTAGTAAAAGCAAGTTGTAATTGGTTAGTTGAAGACCACAACCATTAATTAATTGTTTGAGAGATCATTAAACATCATTTTATCATACAGACTCACTTTTCTTGTTTGCTATTGTATCATATTGAATGTGTAACTTTAGAGTAGGTACATCCTTACTAATATTATAAAGGCGAAAGTTTGTATGTATGGATGGATGTTTGTTACTCTTTCACGCAAATACTACTTAATGGATTTTAATGAAACTTTACAATAATGTACCTTATACATCAGAATAAGACATAGGCTATAATTTATATACATATTTTATGTATATCTGTCTTTCTGTCTGAATGTTACGCCTTCAGCCTATTCTACGCAGACATAGTCGGGGGCAGCAGCTAGTATAAACTAAATGTGACATAGATGTCGCATCTTTAATACAATGAAGTAGATCTATATCCTCCTAGACAAATAAAATTCATCAGCATCACAAAGCCACGGTGGGAGACATTTTTACAGTTTTCTTCTTAATTTGAGCCTCCAAAATCTAGGGCTACATTCGGTCTGCTCGTTTGACAACTATTCACATAAAAAAATTATGTCTAGAATGAGTCAACATTTAATTTGTATTTAAATATTGACCTAGAATAAACATAAATGTCTGCATGATAAAGTTATGTTGGAACAATTATTGTTGTCTTCAATTTATCGTTCACTTACGTCGGTTCCTAAGCTATGTTAATAGTTTTATATATAGAATGAAAACTGTCACTTTATGGCAAGTAATCAAGAAGTAGATTTGTGTTATATTATTACGTGTTTAGTTTTAACAACTTATCTAAAGAACCGCCTTCGACGTTTTTCCGTGTAATAATTTAGGGCATATTTACTCTGAACATCGTGATATATCTATCACGATGTTCAGAATCATAGATATATCTATCGTCACTTCACCAACTAACAGCCACATTACATGAATTTAAACAATTGTGACCAATGACAGGCATCAATGGTGTGAGAGATCCATCTTTATGTTCTATGCCATCCAGTTTTTATGTTAAAATTTGGTAAAGAAGCCAGCAGTTCACCCGAGTGTGACTACCGCCGCCCATGAATATTAATAAGAAGAAACAAGAAAGAAAGAAAGAAGAAATATTTATTCGGCGCATTACATTACAGGAAAAAAAAAAGAAATAACATTAGAATTGTAAAAATGTATGCACCAAAAAGGTCTCCGCTCAGTATATTGCCCTGGCAAACAATACCACGGCACTGGTTTTCTGCGGATACCTTGTAAGATTGGCGTTCAGCTCCATGCATACAGCCAACAAAAATAACAATGAAATAGACTAAAAACAATAAAAAAGGAATATAAAAGTTAGGAACAATAAAATCAAAAATAAAGTCTAACAAAAAAAAATTATTAACAAAAACTATAACATATCCTCAACACAATACGAGTACCTATATACCTATGAGAGCTGAAGCTTTTTGTCTCTTTTTAATAACACCTCATGGGTTCCGGATGCGGTGTCAAAAGTATAAAAGTGCCCCGCCTACCTCACTCACCAGACGAAAGGAGCCAAGCAGCAGCAACTGCTAATGGGACAGTTGGTTCAGGGAAATTCCCGGGACTCACAAGACCTGAGTGAAGTGGAAGTGTTATACTTTTGCATTTAATCTGGTGGGTGAGGTAACCGGGGCTCACTTTTTAATTGATGGCGACGTATTTGCAACCCGTAAGGTGTTGTAGATGCCCATTGGTGTCACTTAACAATAGGCTAACCGCATACTTGCTTGCCAACTTTTCACTTATGAAGCAATATTGATAACCCAGTGGCGTAGTCGCCAAGGTATTGGCTTCGGCGTCGGGGGACGTGGGTTCGATTCCCACACGGGACAACTATTTCAGTGACCCACAGATAGCTGTTTCGCATCTGGGTGTTTGTCCACGTTAGATTTATGTTTGTAAAACGCCCTATAACGTAAAGCCTAGGCGTTTTAAACACACGATAATGTTAGGCTAAAGGTAGGGGTAAGGGCAATGATTTTTTTTATGAATAACAAAAAAATACATAGTTACTCACTACCCCTACTCAGATATGACCATCAGAAGATACACGAGATGCACCGCGGCCACGAATCTATGCACACTACGATGGTGATGATCCTCGTGGTGACGCTGATTGTCGCTCAGGTCATCGTGGTAGAATGGAAGAAGCGCCACTACAGGTCTTACGCGGTGAGGTTCAAATTAGCTTTGTACTGCAGGTGCTGTTTGAAAAATTTAAGGGTGTGATTAGACGACTGTTTGTGGTTGAATCGACCGATCATTTACGTGAAGCAATTAGATTTGAATAGTGGGATTATTTATTGAGATTTAATGGTGGGACTATATGGTGGCACGGCACAGTCTGCTGTTGCACGAATGGGCAGCTCCGTCCGGGGAAGTACCGCGACCGCACAGAAGACCGCCGTAAATTGGAAGTGTTATGCTTCTGCGCTTCGTCTGGTGGGTGAGGTAGCCGGGGCCCACTTTATTAAACGCTTGAAAATGCGGCAACGCATCTGCAACTCTACGAGTGTGGCAGGTGTCCATGGGCGCCAATCTTAGTATCATGTGAACCGCCAGCTCTTTTGCCATCTTCTCACGTAAGAAATAATAATGAGAGTGGGATTTTATGACGATGACTCAGTGGTGGAACTTGTTAAGCCATTTCCGATCATGCGGGTCGAGGGTGTAACCCATAGAATGAAGGCAATGCCTTCATTCTATGGTTACACCCATTCTATGGGTTGCACTAGTTTAACACTCCCACTACATGCCTGTCTTTTTTGAAGTTGTGGTACTTCTTCGGACGGACCTGCCCATTTATGCAACAGCGAAAACTGTTGCACGAATGGGCGGGTCTAACCCTACCACAGTTTTGCAACAAGCACGAATGCGGAGCGTCCATCTGTCCACCTATACAGTTTTTCTACTATTCTGTGGAATACAGACTGATTCAGCGTCACAAATTTTTTCAAGTTCACTATTCAGAATAAGTGATATGTCAAGAACAACAAGTGTTCGTCACTCGCTTGACTGTCTATTCACGCAATATCTTACTTTGGCCGATCGCACAAAAGAAACGGCTATAAATAGTCTACTTATTAGGTTGCGTGGTTGGATCGCGTGACTTGTGATCGTATGCATGTGGCTTGCCTACCTTATTTGTAATCCACATTTTTATTTTTTTATCCGAGGTCAAAGTTAGACTCTCTTATTAGTCTCAAGATCATCTGAACGTTTTACCTAAACCCTTTGGCATAGTTTAACCCGGTCCAGAGAATTGTAGAATCGTGTCTTCAATGTCGAGAATTTCGTTTTAAATTGTTAAATGTACGGTTTTCTACAAATTTTAAATGTACGGTGTCTGGACTGTTGTTCCAGTTCTTCACGATGGTGGCGATGTGGTCGATACCCGTGGTCTTGAGCGTCAAGAACGGCTGGTACAGGTTCATCACCGTATGGAGCATATTCACGCTGCTGACAGCAATAGTCATACGGAAGTCCACCACCAAGCCAATGTCGGTGACGACTCCTCGGTAAGTATATTGTTGGGCGGCTTTCCCTCGTCTCTCGTCTCTATTTCACTCTCCGTTTTTTAAATACATATGGATTGTTCTGGATCCAATTTGCAACAGTACAATGTATAATTATAAGATGAAAAGAAGAAAATTTCTGTATTAAAATTAAAGTCCACAAAAATTCGTAAAAATATCGCTTAAGATATCCAGTAAAATCTAATGAAAATATTTTGACCATCTACATGGTCAAAGCATTTTCAGATGTCTCAAGAACGCTTTTGAAATATGCTAATACCTTACGATTTGTTATACTAGATTCGGTCATTGGTATATCTCTTCTGCAAGGATTTGGAACCCAAGTCTACTATATACTGTTAACACGCTCAGTAACAGATACATTAGCAACTACTACTTGTATTGTATGTTGAAATTACAACCGTGTCATTCAAAATTTCTAGAGCCGAAGAAAACCAATATTTAACAATTAATTGATTGATTATCATTTTTAAGGCTATAACGGAAAAATTAATTATATTTGCGATGGCTTTCATTAGCGATAAAACATATCTAGGTTCTTAAATTTTACACTTTACACTGACGAGAACACAATGAATTGAACATATATTAGGCGCCGAAATTCGGAAAACACATTTTTAGTTTTCGAGATTTCTCTGTGGCGCACAGTCAACAATGATATTTTTTTATTTAGTAAACAACGTAGACAAAATACCTTAAGATTTCTGCCGCTCAGCATAGTGCTTAAAGCGAATGGGTGAGATACCCGAAGCCGTGGGTTCCATTCCCGCAGCGGAGAATCTTGTCCGTTTTTTACAAATTTTAAGATTTTTGATGTAATAATACCCAGTTTGGCGGGGCTATTATAACCTATTACGATTTTCAATTTTGTTTCCAAAATTGTCCAGTACATTACTTAGGTTGCATTGTATATAATCCACTTGATATATTGGAATAAATGGTCAAATAATATGGAATGGAATAAATGGTAGTTTTGCTTAGGCTACTCAGTTAATTATAATACAATTAAGCTTAGCAAGCCTATGTGGCATAGCCACGTAGTAACTAGAAACCTATGCTATATGGACCAGCCTGACCAATCCCGCCTCGTAGGCGACGTGGCTGCGTCACAGATGCCGCTAGGTCCACCACTCATGGGGTATGGCCAGCCCGACCAATGAATTATTCTGGCCTCAATTGTGCGTCATCGCGTTTACAAGTATCCCACCTGGGACGCCACGTGGTCGCATCACAGTTGCCGCCAGGTCCACCACTCATGGGATATGGCTAGCGAGACCAATGAACATATTCTCATCTCTATTGCGCGTGATCGAGGTAACATGTATCCCGCCTCGAAGGCGACGTGGCCGCATCCCTGATGCCGCCAGGTCCACCGCCCATGGGGTGGGTGAGTGCCAGAACCGAACGCCCCCGCACAGGTTGGTGTACAAGTGGTTCTACCTGATATACAAGGTGAGCTGCTGGCTCGGCGTGGTCGGTTACGTGGCGATGATGCTTACCCTCCTCGGCGTGAACACCCTGTTCGGGGAGAAGCCCCAGCGCTGGATGGACTTCGCGCTGATGCTGCTCTTCTACGGGCTCTACTTTGGCGTGCTAGGGCGCGACGTGGCAGAGTACTGCACGGACAAGATGGCCGCCACCATCGGGGTGAGGGTCGCGTTATGGCGCCGTGAAACGTTGAACGTGAAACGTTTCACCGGTTTCATGTATTAATGCCGCTGATGTTATTAAATTTATAATACAGATACTTTATACTACTATTTACGAGCTGGTGGTTTTTTTAATGTGAGAAAGTAGCAAACGATCTCTCGGTTCACCTGATGTTAAGTGATAACCGACGCCCATGGAAATTTACAATACCCGTAGGGTTACCACCTTTAAATAAAGTGGGCCCCGGCAACCTCACTCAGCAGACGAAACGCTGAAGTGTAACACTTCAGTACTTTACGCCGATCTTCTGTGAGGTCGTGGTACTTACCCGGACGGACCTGCCCATTTGTGTGACAGTGAATGCTGTTGCATGGTCTTACCACAGTTAAACCCGAAGTGAAGTTTTTACCGGCTCCATTTATTATTGTCTCTGGTGTTTATCAATTTATATTACAGAGTGTTAGGGTTGGCGTAAAAATATACAAAAAGTATATTAATGTGAGAAGGTGACAGGCGGCGGTTCACCTGATGTTAAATGATAACCGCCGCCCATGGACAGTTGCAATACCCGTTAGGGTCGCAGATCCGTTGCGACCTAATAAACCCTTATACCCGCCAGACGAAATGCAGCAGTATATACATATAACTCTTCCACTTTACGCCGGTCGTGGTACTTACTCGAACGACAACGAAGTCTGTTGCGTGGCCCTACCACAGTTAGATATTCAGGTTTTGAACAATCAAAATCATCATCATTTCAGTCCGTCTTAGTCCACTGCTGGATTTATGGCCGTCCAACTGCATCTACGAAGGACGAACCCGAGCCAATGATGATGAATGAAGGCCAATATGGGGCTGCCATTCGAGACCTTTCTTCCCCATCGGTTATCGACTCTACGAGTAATTATTATCGTATATTTCGTCGGCCCATTGCCACTTCAGTTCTTCCAAGTTGTCGGTCCCTTTTGTTCTACTGCGAATTGACATACATTAATATAGCAAATAAATCAATATTTCAATCATGCTTTCAATTTCAGTATTACACAAAGGAGGGGATTCCCACGCGTCAGCTCGAGAAGAACGTGTGCGCGGTGTGCGGTAATCAATTGCTGGTTGACGTTAATGAGGAGGGCGTCATAGGTTAGTAGGCTGTAGACAAGCACCAATATCCAGGGTCTGTTCTGACAAAACAAACCAAAATAAAAAGAAAATCAAAATCATTTATTGATCGAAATAGAATCATCGAACTAGAAAATCAAAATCATATTTCATCTAACGGAGAAGAAACAGACGAAAGAAACTCCGTAGGTGGGGATACCTTTATTTCATTATTTTTATGTCATTATTTTTTGATATAAATATTAAAATATTATACGTACAATATATATCTCATATCATTCATCATTACATATATCTTTTATTAGAAATAGCTTGCGACCGAACAGACCAGAATGATGACTAAAAGTAGTCGAGTCAAATACAGAGTAAAGTAACAGCCTGTCCATGTCCCACTGCTGGGCAAAGCCTCAAAAGCCCGAAATATTATTCGTTTGTTATTTATTATTTCGAAAATATGCAGGTTTCCTCATAATGTTTTCCTTCTCCACTGAACTCATTGTTGCTCACTTTGAGATTTGAACTCGGGTTACTCGAGTATATTGTATATAAAAGCGAGTGCATAGACACTGAGTTATCGCGGCACCACCTTTGAGACAATTTGAGACAACTGGTCATCTTACATCTCAATAGCTCCTACCTCCTTTTCCAATTCAATGGCTGTGCCACCGATTTGACACAACTGGTCATCTGGCATCTCCCTCTCCCCTGCCCCCGTCCCAAATTGACGGGCTGTGTCGCCAATTTGCAGAGAACACATACCAGATTGCCTGCGGCCACGTGTTCCACGAGTTCTGCATCCGTGGCTGGTGCATCGTCGGCAAGAAGCAGACCTGCCCCTACTGCCGGGAGAAGGTGGACCTGGCGCGGGTCTTCACCAACCCGTATCCTTTACAGAGATCTCGACCGTTACAAGACTCCTGAATAATCGTCACTTCTAATTTAGTGGATTCTGAAAACGAATTAGTTCGGCAATAACTGATCAAGACGAGCTTATAATGAAAAATGGCTGCTTTGCAAGTCATTTACAACGCAAAGAGGAAATCTGTGACATCAACCCCACCCCTTTGTTGGTGTCGGTTAGGGATTACGCGTGAGGGTGTGTTCCAAAATTGACTCGTTATTTCTTTTACATTCAGAATCTGTTAAGCGACTTAGCTGGTTTTAAGTGATCACCGCTGTCAATGGACGTTTAAAACAAACCAGGTCTGGAAATGTTGTGCCAATCTTTAAAACATTGGCCTCCAGTTACCTCATTCACCAGACGAAACGCAACAGTACAAAAATTCTACTCCACGCCGGTCTTCTGTGGGGTCGTTACTTACTAGCACGTACCTCTGTCCATTCAATACACCAGCCATTAGTATGTGGTGTTGGTGACAACCACAAGACGACCGTATTTTCCCACTTCTTACGCGTTCACCGTTCAAGTGTACACAGCGTACTGCTTAGAAACCTTAACGCTGCCCAGATGGGACCGCCCCCACATCCTGTACGGGCAACTCCTCGACTGGATCAGGTGGCTGGTGGCCTGGCAGCCGCTGATCCTGTTCCTGGCGCAGGGCATCAACTGGCTGTTCGGGCTGGAGTAGCCCCGGACCCTGGACTAAAGGCCATCCGCTGGTGGCCAGTGCGGACAGTTGGGAAACGCGGCAGATGACTGATTGTTTTGTGTTCTGTATTATGCTTGACGGTACTGTTGTATACAAAGGCGACTCCTAGCAGTCGTTTCCTCGATAATTTGTTCTTCTAGTGTTTAATCTATTTATTGACATCGGAGGAAGGTTGTTGGTGGTGTTGGAGGAATGTGTTGAGGCATTTTGAATGAAAACTGAGGTACGATTCACAGCGGACGGGACGCGTAGCGCGGATGGCGGTCAGAGTTGCGCGTCGTGCATAGGGCATTGCTATTTGATTATTCCACTTTCGTTTAAGTAGACGTGGCATTTTGTGAACAACGTTTTTTTTAATGTGTAATGTTGACACGCGCGCTGGCGGTTCACCCAATGTTAAGTGAAAACAAAAAGGACAAAGAAGTAAAGTGTGTAAGTTAAGTGACGGTTGCATTTATGTTGCCAACTATTAAAATAAGTCGGCCCCGGTTACCTCACTCTACAGCCTAAACGCTAAAGGGTAATTATTTCTCTTCACGCTGGTCTTCTTTGAGGACGTGGTACTATCCCGGACGAGTTGTGAAATTTCAAAAGTGTGTCAACGCATCTGCAACCCTCGGGTAGCCGATGTCGATGATGCGACAGCATTCACTTAACATCCAAAAGTCACCACACTCTGCCCATTAGTAATTAGTAACGTAGTATCAGTCTATGGAACAGCTCCAATGTAAAACCATAGCAAGAACCTCAAACGAGACCAGTGTTTAGTGAAAATATTTAAAACGCGATTCAAATAAGAATAGGACCGCCATCTTGTGACGTCATAGCAGTCGTTCAAACCAGCTATGTAGGGTGAGCAAAAGAAGCAGATATTTTGAATTAATATTTACTTATAAATAGAGTATGTAATAAAAACATGAACATAAAATATTTTAATTGGAATCTAGCACTTCAATTCCCCTAATATCTACATAACTTCTACTACTACTGCTCTCTTCTTTATGTCTCATTAGCAATAATTGTTTTCGCAGTGGTTGTCTGGAAGAAATCGCTTTCTGAGCGATAAGACCGCCTATTGTACCTTTTATATTCATTTGTGATTTGCTTTTAATATATATTTTTATTTTTTTGTGTACAATAAAGTATAAATAAATAAATAACTGTCTGTGTAGCCATCATCGGCATCATTATCATCATCGTGATGATTATCGGGCAAAACGGGCAATCAATTAAAGCATCTATACTTTCGTCTATAAATATAGAATAATATATTTATGTAGGTATTTATATTATTCCATTGACTGTTATTTAAAAGATGCATTTTATTACCTGTGTTTAATAACAATGAAAATAGAAAAAAAAACAGGATTTTATATTATTATATTTATATATTTTATATGATTTTATACAGCGTGTCGTTACCATCGCGACAATAAATGAACACACATATAGGGGATAACTTATTAAAGTTGTATTAAACATTTAAATTCTTTAAACATCAATATTTACAGAGTTATTAAATTTTCCAAAACAAAGAATTTTAGAACACCCTTACCTATAAAAGCGTAACGTAAGGTTCATTTGTAAAGGTCACAAAGCATATGAATGGGTTGAATGAATTTAAAAGAGACAAAACATACTGTTAGACAGAGAGGCTTGTAATACGACGCTGTGGCGCGAGTTGTATAGGTGTTAAAAATTTTGTTTCTTTTTTAATTAATTAGTTTGTTTGAAAAATTTTTTTTTTAATTATGGATTTTGTTTAACGTTAATATTTTTTTATGATTATTGGCAAGTAGCGTTAGACGTGTGTTCATTTATTGTCGCGATGGTAACGACACGCTGTATATAGGAATTATGACTTGAATACATTTAGTAATCATTTTCCTAAGTATAATATAAAGGAAAAGTTTTTAACTTTAAGTATAAAATTAAGTTTCTTTCCAAGCCGTACTTTGAAAATGACGGTTGACAGATCGCGGTCAGTCGAGGTCATTGGCGTTCCTATTCTTGTTTGAATCGCATAATATTCTCTTGCTTTTCGCACTCGATAGAATTAAAACGAGATTATCACTGACTTGTGACAAAACGCCTGCAATCGTATATTCAAAATCTCTATAAAACGTATCGTTTATTAGAGTTGCGACTAATAGTATATTCGGCTACACGTTGAATAGCCGAATAGCCGAATATAAAGCCAATATTAACTGCGCCACGAAGTCATCAAAATCTTCACATTCCTTCATCTGACGCTACCCGTTAGTTGTGAATCGTTCTTATACGCTTCTTCCGTGAATGGAAATTAAATATTGGTTAAATCGACCACAAGTGGCCGCCATGTCTATAGATTAATTATTATTGAATTATATAATTATTATTTATTGTTCGTTATTGTACATTATGTCGTTTCGAGAAACCGAAGTCCAAAATACAAAATGTTGAAATGTAAGAATTTAAGCTGCCATCTCTTTCAGTCTTCGACTGCTATCCTTTTCACTCACTTCTTATTTTTGATTCCAACTTCGATAAATTTACGCAACGGCGTGTATATTTTCTTAGTACTCGGTTTTTTTTTGTGAAATATTTTTTATTTCAATAAATTAAATGAATTGATTAATAAAAAGTGTTTTTGATGTTTTCTTTTCGTTATCGCAAACTTTATTACTTGGAAGCTATGCAGTTTTCCGTACTATTATTACATAAATCCAGTGAATGCAAATAAAACATGGTAGCCGCACCTTCATACAAGTGATTGTTAATAAATAGCAACTGACAGTAATCAGACACATATATTTACACAGGCATTATTATTTAACTGTGGACCACGCAATAGTGTTCGCTGTTGCACGAATGGGCAGGCTAGTCCGGGTAAGTACCACGATCTCACAGAAGACCGGCGTAGTGATAACCGCCGCCCATGGACATTTGCAACGCCCGCAGAGTTGCAGATGCGTTGCCACCTTTTAATGAAGTGGGCCCCGGCTACCTCACTCACCATACGAATGCAGAAGTAGTATAGCAATACCATTGCGCGCCGGTCTTCTGGGTAGTCGTGGTACTTACCCGGACGGATCTGTCCATTCGTGCAACAGTCTTCTCTGTACACACAATCTAAATGTATAGTTAACATGATAATAAATTAATTTATAAATCAATGACAGTTCGAGCTTAGATGAACTGGTTAGATACTTGAAGAGTTTTACCGTTTTTTTTTAAATGGCAAAAAAAAAGATTTGCTTATTTCACCAGTGCACAATCTACCGTAATTTTTAATGTTATGTGTGAGCGAGTACTGTATATGGAGAATTAAAACTTTGTATCGCTAATAAAACTAGTAAACAAGTTTGGAGCAAGGGCTGGTGAGTATGATGGGTGGCGGAGTCTGTTGTAACTCATGTAAATTAGAAACGTAAGTGCCGTCTTAAAATAACCTTCGTTGAGCGTTGTTGTTTACTTCTTTCAAAAGGAGTAATATAGAATAACTGACAAGTCGGTTGTTTCGAAGTGGGCTAATCCATCGTCATTTTGATTTCTCCGTACCCTCAGCAGAGAACACCTTTGCGCAGAAACAGGACATAGATGAAGATGGGAAGATGGTTATAGGAGAGTTTTAAAGCTAAAAGAAAAAAAAAACTCTGAAGATATTAATGTCTTTGCAAAGAAATTATTTGCATTTATTTAGCTACTATTATTCTTATACTAATTATAATTTCCAGCGCGCGACTTTTTAAAGTAAGCAATAAAGCCTTCACAGATGTAAGCAAAAGAAGCGATCGTCACAGAAGAAAAAACAACACCACGTTCCATTTTCCAACATACGTCACAGATCATTCATATGCAACCAACACCAAAATTTGTTTCTGAAAAATAATGTAAATTATTAAAACACCATACAAACGTAAATTATCAGTGTTATATAGTAAAACAATGGGCACTTTAAGATGTTGCAATATAAAAAACATAAACAATCTTTTGAATCTAAATCGCAGTCAAAATATTGGACATATCATCACTGGATTTGGTAACGTGTTATGTTTTTATTCTTGTATAATATAGGTACTATTATATATTTCAGATTGAAACGAACTTATTTCGTTTTTAAACCAAACGAAAATCATATTCGATATATCTCGCAACTTAGTCCTCATCATTATCTGCCTGGTACGAGTCCACTGCTGAACATAGGCCTCCCCTACACACTGCCACGAAGCACATTCCAGAGCCACCTGCATCCATCCGCTACACACACATTTGCACAGGTCAGCACACCAACTTAATAATCTGGTCATCCGTCATTAATATTTGCTGAAGGGTGACGTGTGTAGGAGCTTTCCTTTCTAATGACTCCATCATCGATTAACCGTCCAAACTTTTTGTTTAGTCTGACACAACTTTACCTTTAAAAGGTTAGGTAGTTTTGTTCCAGACTAAGGTTATCGTAATTTCTTCAAATTCATAATATAGTCACAGGATAGGGTGTAAATCATCGGACAGATTGACCTGTAGGAAGGAATAGCTTTTTAAACTTTATTTTTTATGAATTGACTAAGACTTAAGGGCTGACATAATGAGAAATTCTTCCACTTATTTTTTTTTAGGATTCCGTATCCAAAGGTAAAACGGGACCGTATTACTAAGACTCCGTCTGTGTCTGTCTGCCGGTTTGCCACCTGACTGTATCTCACATACCGTGATAGTTGGACAGTTGAAATTACAGATGATTTATTTCTGTTTCCGCTATAACAACAAATACTAAATAACAGTATAAAAATATTTAAGTAGGGCTCCCACAGAACAGACATGATTTTTTGTGTGTGTTCATGTATTTATAGACAATGGTATGGAACCTTTCATGCGCGAGTCCTACTTGCACTTGGCCGTTTTTTGTATTTGCAGTCCGTAGACTATAATGATGCTCGAAACAAGATACTTACTACTTAATGGTCGTTGAGCATCTTAAGATTATATTGCGAAAATATAGTATTGCCATAGCGAATGAGGGTTAATAATAAGTTAATAATCCAATGTAGAACCAGTCAACAATACATTTTGCCATTTCCACTTGTGGTGTAGACTTTACACAAATGTTTGATCTATTTTAGGATACCAAATGAACTACTCTAAAGACAAAGGTAGTTGCTGCAAAGAAATATCACAAACCGAAGGCAGAACAGTGGAACCCTGGCCCAAGACTCAAATGTGGCCTTGCAATTATCCTCCAGAGCCACAACCGCCAAATTACGATCCCTACAAAATCCGGTCGCCAGAAGTCGTGGTGCCACCGCTTGCACCGAGTAACGCTAAGGTATATTGTCTACATTTACGTTTCACACCACATGAACATTTTATCACACATGTAACGGAAAATTCTTGTTCTATTTTAATGTAAAGACAGTTTTTTCGAAATTCACTTTATTCGCTCTTCTGAATGTTCATCAATTCTGTTCGGAGAAGTCAACGCTACATGTTTGAACTCGCATTTATCTGGTTTATCGTGCCCAGGACCTCGACCTTCGCGAGACCACACACTTTCTTATTGCTATGCACCCGTTATTTAAGTTTCCAATATAGTGCGTTAGACGAAATCAGAGCCCTTGCGCGGAATGAGATCACTAATGACATCCAGCTTGTGCTTTCTCCATCAGTGGACTGGACTCGTGTACACGACGTCTGAGGAACAAGGCGCGCAGCACGGCCACCACCACCGACCGAACCCGTATGACGCGCAAAGCGGCGAGAAGCAACCGCAGGAGGAGTGCCCGAAAGAGGAGGAGGACTCCAGAGGGTTTTTTGGAACGCTGAAAAACATCTTCGGATGGGGGAAGAAGGGAGGAAGCGAAAGAGACGCGATGATTGACGTCAGATACCTATAGAGGCGATGATCGAAAGCAATCCCCGAAATCTTGACGGATTCAATTGTGAAAAGGGTAAACGCGAACGCGGCCGCGCTCGAGTCACTGGAAATTTCGTCCAACGCACTAAAACTGATACCAACGGATGTCAACACTACAAACTTAAATTTCCTCGACAGGGAGCCACTTACGGTGACGCGCTAAATTCCGACAGCGCCGGCTCGGAGTACGATCGAGGTTTCGACGCGCCGTCGAGTGCGATTCAGAGTCTGTTCCACAAATCTCAAATAGTCCACCCGGACAACTGGAAGCCGAAGTCGCTGGATCGAGCGCAGAAGTTTGACAGTGACCCGGGCCCGGAGATTGCGCCGCGGCTGGGCTATCACGGGCGGAACAAGTACAAGTACGCATTCCACGAGCCCTGGAACCCGCTGGACAGGTTGACACTGCTGGCAAAAGCCGAAAAGGACGAATCGCCGCAACCCTACACTCCCGTCTGCGCCGCCGATAAGGGGTCGGCGTGACATGGGCTCTGGTTTCGTGTTCCGCTAAACACTTCAATAAAAACCGTTCAACGTTCTCGTTTAGCGTTTCATTTTGCGGTAAACACTTGATAGTTCCAAAATCGAGTTAATTCATTAATTCAACAGTTAGTTTGATGTAGATAGGTTTTCTCCTCGCTTCCTGATAACTTACAGGATATTATCATATAGAATGCTGTTGACTGCTTTCAAATTGTTTATTAGAAATGACCCGGTTGTTTTTCTAGTATTAATGTCGGGGAAAAAGTTTTGGCCATCGATTCTTATTTCTATCGGTTTAAGACTGATTAATTTATTTTCGGGATTGAAACAGAATAACAAATCACGTCTAAACAATCAGTCCGTAAAAAACAAATGCCTAAAAGCTTTTCGTGTATAACATATTAAACATAATTGGTGCGGTAGGGAGGTTACAATAAAAGTTGATTGGTGACAATAAAAGTTGACCTACTAATTGGATTCAACAGAATTTAAAAATTCATTGTCTTAATGCAACGGTTATGAATGAGTACATTGTTTCTGTAATCTATACACACAATGGCGTAATCATATTGAAGTTAAAAAAAAAAACAGGCGTACCCTAAAACGTGGGCGGGCGAGTCTATATCATTGGCGTATCTAGGGCCATTTTCCAGGGTGGGCCTAGGCCATTACTACTACAAAAAAAATCAACCATTATTCATATTATAGTAGAGAATTTCAATATCTACACCCGTAAGGAACTGGGTCGGGTCGCTAGTTTCCTATATGAAGAAGAGTAATGCTTGAACCTCTCTTCTCCCATGGTAGATCTTAACAGATTTTTTTGGATAGTTACATAGGTCCAGCCTAGAATTTCGAATCGGTAACCCAAAATCCTGGGGTGGCCACTAGACGATACTAGGGTGGGCACGGCCCACCCGGCCCCCCTGCTATATACGCCTATGGTCTATATTGAAAAATAGTATGGGCAATTCACTTTTTTCATAGGTTAGGTCAATTAGGTTTTCATCCGCGCGGCGGGCTCCCTCTTTTTTCTCCATATCACTAAGACAGACAAAGATGAACATCGATAAGGAGCACGTAATGATTGAGGTGTAATATAATGCGCCGGCACCAATGAAATTGTTAATTTTAAGTGCTGACTTAAGCTTAATCACGTAAGAAAACATCGTGAGGAAACCCGGATATTTTAAAAAACAAACGTAATATGTGAAGTCCGTCAATACGCAGTGGGGCCGCGTGGTACACTATGCCCTAATACCCTCTGTACAGACGAGGCCTTTGCCCAGCAGTGGGACATGTACAGGCTGTTGCTTTTTTTATTTTTACTCATTCTTAAGTATTTGTTGAATTTTCCCTCATTTTCGAAAACTTGTTGCCAACAGGCAGGTTTTATTTCGACTTTGATGACGACATTGCCAGATTATAGATTAGAAAGTAATCCGACACAACTGTTTTCTTGGCCAATATTGTACTAGCGTCGCTACGCACCAGTGCGAGTGTTAGCGTAAGGCTACAAAGGCATAAAAATATCGACTTTTTAGAGGCGAATAAAACTATGGCCGCTTTGTATATCGCAATAAATTAAACCATTAAATTCTAAATGTCTCGTTTTGTATCCGCACTGTCGCTAACCGAAGATTGCGGCGATGTGAATCCGGTACTGTTGAAACTCTGGTGGGTAGTAATGTAGTGAACACTACATTACTACATCAGAAAATTTCAACATGAAACATTCCACAACTTATTCGAAAAAATTTCTGGATCATACGCAAATTCGGCGTTGTTAATGAGAAATGTATTTACGGATTTAGTTGTATACACCAAGAGTTTGAGATGGCACCTTCGCCTGCTGCATCAAAGATAAAAGACACGAAAGAGTGCACGTGCGAAATTTTTATTTTTCTTTCATTTTATGTGATAAGGTGGTAAGCGAGCTGGCGGTTCACCTGATGTTAAGTGATAGCCGCCACCCATTGACATTTGCAACACACGTAGGCCACCTTTTAAAAAAGTGGGCCCCGGCTACCCCACTCACCAGACGAAACGCAAAAGTATAGCAATTCCACTTCACGCTCTTCGGTCTTCTGTGAGGTCATGTTACTTACCCAGAAGGACCATTAGTGCGACAGAGAAGACCGTTGCGTGGCCCTTCCACAGTAAAAAAAGTCTTATTGTTTTCTTTTGACTTATTGACCTATTCATACGCTAATAAAGTATTCAAACATGCTATCTATACTATAACCAGCATATATTACAGCCTATGCTAGAGTGCGCTCGCGTGAAGGGTCCGTGTTCTGTGAAGACTGTTCCTGATCCGCCGCCCTGTCCACCACCACCGCCACCACCGTTCCCTTGGATATATGTTTGGAGCTTGGCTTCTTTCTTTGGCATAATGGGCCTGGTAAGAAGATTCCGTCTTACTAATTACGAATAACCGGTTACCGCACAGTTTTTACTATACACGGACAAACTGAATTTTCGTTTGACAGATTTACAAGTTTTATCTGTGGAATCAAGATCGCCTAAGCCAAGGGGAAAATGTTCCAATATGTGAGTCAAATTTGCTATCTAATTTCTCCCTCTTTTTCATTGTATAAAGTAAATTAAAGTAAACAGCTTATATTTTTAAATTTGTTGAATAAGTACGAAAAGATTGCCGCTCTGGGAATCAAACCCACGTCTTCGGCATTCGCGGCCTGACGATTTAGCCACTAAGCGAAAACGGTTGATTGCCACACCGACGAAAATCTTAGTCTTTTATCTACATTATTTTTTATTATTTGAAGCAATGCTTGGCGCATCCATTATTATATCTTTTCCAGTATACAGACAATTCCAAATATCGTTTTACAACGATAGTTCGAACGAGAGATGTCGCCATTGCTTTTTAGAAATTGAAATTTTTTATAGTGCTAATATCTGCACTTAAGATTAAACATTAAAATTTGCAGAAAAAGATTGTCGATGTTTTCTCACACCCGCTGACAACATGATAAGTCTGCACTTAAAATTAACAATTTCATCGGTGCCGACGCCGGAAGTTGAACTCGGGTTGTTCGAGGAATTAAAAGCGAGCGAGCACTGAGCTAGCTCGGCTCTACAAATAGCTACTTTAGATGTAGGCTTGTTGAATTATTCCCTATCAAAACGGTGGACACTATATTCCTTTTTTAATACGTTTAAAGATAATAAAACACTTAGATGGATGGTAATGAAACATTTAGAGATTCTCGAGCGACTTTTTTTTAGACTGTGTTCTTCACCGTAGTTTAACATTTTTCTGTGCTGAACATATTCTTACCTAAAAATACCTTGTAAGAATCGATACCAAAACCAGCGGTGCCAATACCACTTACTTAGCAACTGTGCCAGCGACGCTGTCGAATATCTTGGGCATTCGACGCACAGAGATAAGAATTTCTGAAAGTTATTCTCAAAACAGGTCAAATAGGGCGGATGGTTGACTTGCTTAACACACATAGGCACGTCATGAGGATTGATGAAAGTCATATAACTGGAATTGTTGAGTGTGAATGTAATTAGACCTTTCTCGGTAGACGGTTTTAACTGTGGTAGGGCCACACAACAGCCTCGGCCGTTGCACGAATGGGCCTGCTCGTCCGGTAAGTACCACGACCTCATAGAAGACCGGCGTGAAGTGGAAGTATAATACTTTCGCGTTTCGTCTGGTGATTGAGGCAGCCGGAGCCCAATTTTCAAAAGGTTGTCAACGTATCTGCAACACTCGAGTGTCCATGGGTGGCGGTATTCACTGAACATCAGGCGAACTGCCAGCTCGCTTGACAACTTTTCACATGAAATAAAAATAAATAGACGGAGAAAGGTTTGGATGGACTGTGTGAAGAATAACATGAGAAAGTTGTGCCGAGATGACGGTTCATAGAGGAAATAGGAAGAGAATGACATGTTGTACCGATTCCACCTAGAGTGGGATAAGGGCTGGAAAAGAGAAGAGGCGATTATTAGTAACGAAGTGTAGTATTGGGCTGATGGTGATGACACGTTTTAATATCATTTCTTCCCAGGGCGGCCCCGTCGCATCATCAAGCGACCATACCACGAACAGGACTTACCGCCCTGTGTTCAATATCTTATCATCGGCGCTGGGGCGGCAGGCTGGGCTGCTTACAGGGCCATCATGGAGCACGACAAGAAAGCGAAGGTCTTATTGTCTTAGATTGTCTTAAAGAAACATTGCCCTTACTTTAGGATAGCATTATCCTGTGTTGTAAGGACGTTTTACAAACATAAATTTCACGCGGACAAACACCCAGATGCGAAACAACTATCTGTGGGTCACACAAATGGGTGTGCCGTGTGAGAATCGAACCCACGCCGAAGCCGATAACTTGGCACCAGCGCCACGGAGTCATCTGAAGGTAGAAAGTTTGTACTTAAGGAGATAAAAAGCGGTAACGGTGGTGGGACCGCGCAAACAGACCTGCCCATTCGTGCAACAACGAATGGGCAGGTCCGCCCGGGTAAATAACACGACCTGTCAGGCCTCGCCATTCGTGCAATACAGAACTGTTGCGTGTCCCTACCACAGCTAACTTCTCAAAACCAAATAGAAAATGTATAGAGAGTTAGATGTTTGGAGTCGCCTTTGTTTTTTGCTACTGAAAATGTACTCGCTTATTGAAATGGATTTATATGTTACATCGCCAGGTATTCTTCATATCCAAAGAAGACTGTTTACCGTATCGGCGACCTCCAATGTCAAAGCACATGTGGTGGAATCCAGAGCCGCCGGACATAAAAAATCTGTACTACGTTGAGAGTTGGAAGAAGAAAACGTAAGGTTCACTCTATACGATTTACAGTCAAAATCATATTTCTTATCTATTTAATGCGATATATGAGTGCGGTAGCCGGGGCCCACTTTATTAAAAGTTGGTAATACATACGCAGCCGGTGTTGCAAATGTCCGTGGGCGGCAGTTATCACTTGACATCAGGTGAACCGTCATCTCGTTTGCCATTTTCTCACATAGAAAAAAGCCCGTCTCCTGTGATCCTATCGAGGTCGTTGCTTCCAGCATGTACGAGTCGGAGTGCCACAAGTTCATGGATCCGGTGAAGTTCTACCGGCAGAAGAGCGGACCGGCCGTGTCCATCGCCACCGGCTGGTGCGTGATCCGCGTGGACGCCGACGACCACGTGGCCTACGTCAAGACGCTGTGCGGCGAGCAGCCGATATACTACGAGCGGTGTCTCATTGCGCCGGGTGAGTGAATCAAAATCAAAATCTAATCATTTAAGACACTTCACAGATATCAAAGTAGTTAACAATTTAGTTCAGAAGTTTATATACAAAAGAAAAGACATTAAACATAATATTTACAAGATTCTATCTATCTATTATTATCTATTCTATTATATCTAGAAATCTATCTAAATTACATATTATCTAATAAACCTAATCCACGCGGCATGGTGCCAAGCACGCTAGCTGCAAATTAGTTGCACTATTGGTTTCGTTTGTGACGCACTCTTGCCAGGCTCGAAGCCGAAACTACTGTCGATGTTCAAATCGGCCCCAAAACCTGTGCGGGATCGCGTCTGCACTCTGCGCACCATCCGAGACCTGGAGGTGGCGTATCGGAGCGTCAAGTCGGCCAAGCACGTGGTGGTCATCGGCGGCGGGCCGCTCGGCTGCGAGCTGGCCTGGCATTTGGGCAGGATGAGTGAGTGTACATCTACTAGGGACGCTCTAAAATTCGGCTACTCTGCTCTTCGGCTATCGTTCTATTCGGCTAATTTTTGAATGTAAAGTGTAAATTTTTCTGCGGGATTCGATTCAGCGTTTTATCATTGCTTGGCGCTATCGACAGGAAAAAAATCACATTAGGCTTCATCCAATTACGCAGAGACTTAGTACTGAAAATAATTAAATACTTTTTTAAAATTTGCCATGGACGTTCACTGTTTCGGCACGCAGTATTCAGGGTTCGCCTAGATTTTTCTGGATGTGTTTTTTGCCAGCCTTCAAAAATTTGTGATGAATTAGACCAAACTTAACTCGAACTCTTCGATTCGTATAAAAAAGTAATAGGTAAACTCTCAATATCAAGTGTTGTTCTGTACCTACTATCTGTTTGTAAAAAATAATACTACTTAATACTTACGTCAAAATTCTATCTCCAGTAACTAAATCTATCTGTTGATGGAATATTGAAACCAGCCGTAAGACACAATATACACTCTAATTTTATGTCGGAATTGTGTTTGCCGCGTTAGTTTGAGTTGAGCCAGCCCATTCATTGAAATACAGCCAGAGCTTTGTGACGCAAACTCAAACACAAACAAACAACTTGTGAAACAGCAAAAACTAAAAACGCTATTTCGTTTAGACAAACTGGACAAGGAACTCGACCCTGACAAGGAGCCCATTAAGATTATACATCTGTATAAAGACAAGGGCATAATGGCGGGCGTCCTGCCGGAGTACCTTGGCGAGTGGGCCGCGGAGAAGATTAAAAACGAAGGGGTCGTGGTCAAGCCAAAGAGTGAGAGATCTGCTTTACATCTCCATTAATAGTAACACACACGTACACAATTCAACATCTTCCCGTCCTTGTCGCACTTAGATGACGTCGGCAGGACATATGAATTATATTTGTGGTATTAGCTAGGTTTTTTACGGCTGGCCCCTATCCGACGTGAACACTTCTTGGTAGCAAACGTCCAGATCCTACATTTATCTGTAAGTCACACAAATACTTGTTTCGTGTGGGAATGGCACGCCTGGTGCCTAGTCTAGTTCCTAGTTCCCAGTTCCTAGAGCCTGGTAGCCTAATTCTGCAGAAAAGGAGTCGTCACTAGTTGCAAAGTTTAGAGTTTGATTAAGGTTCAGTATTGGATTCTTTATGGCTAAAATAAGGAATTAGACTTGTGAGGTGATACTTGTTACTTGTGATACTTGTTTCATGTAACTTTGAATGATGCTTTACAGCTTGTTTTGCGGTGAAAATGGCACACGTCACCTAGGTTTTCAATATTATGTTTAGAACATTAGAATTATATATGTTACTTTAAAAGGTATGTGAAGACCGCCAATTTGTTTGGGAGCAAATCGTGGCGGATTTACTTACAGAGGACTGTACAAAAGTTGCCCGGTAGTTAAATGTTTCTGCGTACGGTCTTTAATTTTATACAAATTAGCGCTATCTATACTAAATGTTACTATTTTACATTTTATAAATTTAACTCCAAGCACACCAACACTGCTAGACCTCTAGATACCATTAGCTCCTTTTGCGTAAATCGGAGTAAAAATAAATAATAAAATAAAAAATAGGTAGCCCAAAACGTTAACTTCGTCTGTCCCGTGACGATGAACGCTGGAAAGGGTTCGAAATTTCGGGAATTATATTTTTTATTATTAAATCAACAATAAAACGCGGTGTAGAAATCGATATCTCTTTCTATTTTTGTGTGTATTACAGCCCAGGTATATGACGCCTACCAGTCCTCAGATGGACGGCTGGAATTGACGCTTTCTGATGGGTCTTCTATAGTCACAGATTATGTAAGTATTAAAACGATTTATAAATATTGAATGATTTTGGCTTTTTTGTGTAAACTAATCATGTGTACGATGACTTACCTACTGCTAAGCATAAGAAGTAACCACTGGAGTTCAAGTAGAGGTTTCTTTTTTATTTTTTTATGTAAAAAGTTGCCAAATGAACAGACGGTACACCTAATGGTGAGCGAATACCGCCACCCATAGACATCTGCTACACCCGAGGGTTTACAGATGCGTTGACAACCTTTTGAAAATTGGGCTTCGGTTATCACACTCACCAGACGAAACGCGAAAGTATTTGTCATACTTCCATTTTACGCTGCTCTTCTGTGAGGTCGTGGTACTTACCCGGACGGGCCTGCCCATTCGTGCAACAGCCGAGGCTGCTGCGTGGCCCTACCACCGTAAAAGGTATTGCCATTTTCCATTTTTCCAGCGATATTCGACTTCTGAGTTTTATATAAGGTTGCACCAGTGACTAGTATTTGTGTGACCTACGTTTTTGGCTACGTTCCATTTGTATTTTGAATAACAGGTAACAATAAAGCGAAGTTTTTAAACAGAAAGTACTTTGGCTTCGGTTATCATTATTCGGTTAGATATTCTTGATTGTTTGCACACTCATCATCTTCTCATTACTTTGCCACCCAGGCCTTTGTGGCGGTGGGGGCTGAGCCCCGAGTGGAGTTAGCGAAGCCCTCATTTCTGGAAGTGGACGAGGTGAACGGTGGCTTCCTGGTCAACACGGAGCTGGAGGCGAGAACCCACCTCTATGTCGTAAGTCCGGCACGTTTTTAAATGTTCTTTTGGAATCGCTGCAAAAGCTTAACAGCCGATATTTTTTTCATCTTAAAAGTTGTCAAGCGAGCAGACGGTTAACCTGATGTTAAGTGATTACCGCCGCACGGACAGCTACAATACCAAAGTAAGCATTGCTTGTACTATGGATACTAGATAACTAACAAACATATTTATACATACTTTTCTTTTGTAAATAAATACTAAGTATACATATATGAGTACTGAGACACTAGAAAAACAAGGATCGAAATTGTGTATTCGATTCTTATAGTGGCACTATAGATTTCTTGAGCTTATCCCGCTCTTTTGAGACTTATGCCCTGATTGAACTCTGTTCTCGCGTTAACTTACCCCCTTTAGGCGGGCGATGCGGCCAGCCTGTACTCGCAGTGGAAGGACACCCGCCTGCGAATGGACCACTACCTGAACGCCGTCGAGCAGGGCTACGTGGCTGGCGCGAACATGACCGGCTACTGGGCGGCCAGCAACATGGAGCCGCACTACTGGCTGAAGCTCGAGGACGAGCTGCAGATGGAGGTAGACGATCCTCGATATCTTTAGGGTGACGTACCCAAAGGGCAATAATGGACCCTATTACTATGCTAGCAAAGGCTTGCGATGTTTTAGGTTTCCGTATCCAAAGGGTATAACGGGACTCTATTACTAAGACTCCGCTGTCTGTCTGTCTGTTCGTCTGTCACCAGGTTGTATCTCATGACCCGTGATATGGTCAGTTGAAGTTTTCACAGATGATGCATTCCTGTTGCCGCTATAATAACAAATCAGAACAAAACAACCAAACTGTGGCAGGACCCCGCAACAGTGTTCACTGTTGCACGAATGGGCAGGACCGTCCGGATTAGTACCACGACCTCAAAGAAGACGGCGTAAAGTAGAAGTGTTACACTTCTGCGTTTCGACTGGTGAGTGAGGTAGCTGGGGCCCACTTTATTTAAAGGTGGCGACGCATTTAAAACGCTACGGACGTTGCAAATGTCCATGGGCGGCTGGTATCACTTAACATCAAGTAAACCGCCAGCTCGTTTGGCACTTTCTCACATAAAAAAATACTATAATTTTTTATTGTTAATGGTACGGCTTGTAGTCGAGTGACTACCGCCGTCCATAGACAGTTCCAACATTAGTAGGGTTGTAGATGCGTTGCCACTTTATAATAAAGTGGGCCCCAGATACCTCACCCGCAAGACGAAACGCAAGCAGAAGTGTAACACTTCTACTTTACGCCGGTATTCTGTGAGGTCGTGGTACTAACCCGGGACGGACCTGCCCATTCGTGCACATTGTTGCGAGGCCCTTCCACGGTTATATCTTCGTCTTTATCACAATTTAAACTTTAAAAGTTTATCTTGGGTGCAGAAACTACCATTAAAAATAAAGATTTATCAAGAAAAAATTTAAAACAAACAATATATTTATTGTTTTTTTTTTATGTCAAAAGTTGAGCGGTTAACCTGCTGAACAACATCTGACGTGTTGCAGACCATTAAAAAATGGGCTCCAGCTACCTCACTCATTATACTATATCTAATACTTCTACCTTGCGCCGGTCTTCTGTGAGGCCGTGGTCGTTAACTGGAAGATTCTGCCCATCCGTGCAACAGCTGAAGTGGGACCTTTACAGTTATGCTGGTAAAAGTATGAACTTTATTTTCCAGGTGGTTGGCGAGGTGGGGGCGTGTATGCCCACTATTGGCATCTTCAAGCAGTGCGCCTCCGACGAGGCTGCCAAGCAGACGCAAGCGGCCGAGAGTGGCGGCGGTGACAGGCCATGCTACAAAAGGTAACGAATCTATTAAACAGTTTAAAAATAGACAAGGAATGCATTCTCCAAGGAGTTAGAATCTTGTGTCGAAAAAAATAATCTTATTTCACATGATCTTTGATTAACCAACTAAGAAAAGAGTTAGTACGACTTACGTAAGTCCTCACTCCATATTTACTATGGATACAATTGGACACTTAGGGCGCAAGATGGAGTTATGGTTATAACAAAGGTTATTGGTGGAAAATTGTTTGTACCGAATATACTCACTTTCTTTAGAGCCACAGACGGCAACAGTGATAGAATAATGTGTATCAAGACTGCTTGCTTTTTGAATATCTAATTACCAATTCACCCTCAGATCGGACTAAAAGCAATAATTTCAGAGATGGCAGTAGTACGAATGAAGTAATATAATAAGTTCCTTCCGTGAACGCGAATTCTCCGAACATCGAAATTTAAAATTAGTTTCATTCAAAAAGCTAAGACTTTTCTTTATTATCGTTAATCATTCGGCCATAGGACCGAATAGCTTTGCCCGGGCCCTTGCTTTCAATTCATTATACTCAAGGAACCTGAGTCCAAATTCCGGTGCAAGTACCAATGAAATTACTTACTTATTACGTGCTCGGCGGTGAAGGAATATCGTGAGGAAACATGTATATTTTCGGAATAATAATAGAAAATATTTTCAAGATATGTTAAGTCCACCAATCCGTTGTGGAGTCGCATCGTGGACTTATGCCCTAGCACCCTCTGTACAGGTCTTCTTCCTTTCGTGTCGATGGCAATACCTATTCACGGTATCGGCCCAAAATTCAGCCACATAAATTGCACTGTCTGCAGCAATCATCAGGTCCTCCAACTGCACGCAGGGCATGACGTCAAATGTTCCATGGCTTGGGGACAGCATCACATTTGCACTCCAAGCTGGAACTGTCTGAGAATCCCCACTTGAACAGGTTCTCTTACTTCGGCCAACTTTCGTCCGAAGTCTGTTTAGTGACTTCCAAGTCAGCCATGGTAACTCATGTCCAGGCGGTAGTTTCTCAGACAGTGGGACAAAGTGGCTAGGGACGTTGACACTTTCTTGCCACAGCCTGCATTTTTCCTTCGATCGGTCACTATCGTGAAGAGGAGACGCGCACTTCATGAAACTTCTGTGGCTTTCAGTCTTTGTATAACGGGATCGTGATTGAACAGTGGATGGCGGGTGTTGCCCAGTATCTTGGTCTTTTCGTAAGAGCTTGCCACTGCTCTGCGCACCACCGGGGGGGCTATTCCAGCTAGCGGATACAGCATTTGTACCGGATTCGGTTTTAGGCAACCTGTAATAATCCGACAGGTTTCGTTTAATGCTGTATCCACCAGTTTTGTAAGGACTGAACGGCTCCATACTGGACCAGCATATTCGCCTGCAGAGAAGGAAAGTGCCAGATCAGTGGTTCGAAGAACTCCAGGAGAAGCTCTCCAATTCGAAGCAACCAGACGGCGCAGAAGGTTGTTTCTAGGGTGCACCTTCTGCTTGATGTTCTCGCAGTTTTTCCTGTACGTTAGTGACCTATCCAGAGACACCCAAATATTTAGGAAAGTCGACATGTTCAATGAGCATTCCTCACCATTGGATATTGAGCTTGCGGCCCGCTTCTTTGTTGGGTGGATGAAATACGCAAGTTCGAGTCTTTCTCGGATTCGAGTCTTGTTCGGGGGGGACGTAGTAAGCCTTCCCGTAGAGCGTCACCTTTGCTCGGGTCCTCCCCGTGAGTAGCGGCAGAAACTGTGAAACTAATTACTACGACACATTGGCAAACCCAATATGTATAGGGTGATACTTTATTTTAACTTTACATAGGACCGAAGAGTATAAGAACAGATATCTTCGAGGAATGCTGATGTACATGCGCGACGACACCGTGGTGGGATTTGTGTTCTGGAACATGCCACCGATCGAGGATAGGAGCGCCGTTGCCACCGAGGTAACTCGACCACACGTTAAATAATTCGCCATTGATTTGCTTTTTGTCCATTAATAAAAGAAATCTTTTTGTCCATTAATAAAGTTGAGTAATAATTTAAATGGTAACACACTCTGGATTTAATTAATCGCTCCAGGCTGTTTCTAGTCGACAGTACATATTTAGTTTGTTTCTCAGGTCCGTGGCTTTTCTTTTCAGAACCGGTAGTACTATTTTAACAAACAATAAGTGAGTGCAATGCTTCTATAAAGATGATAGAATAAAGACATTTGAATTTTAATTAAGGAAATGAAACGCTCCACGCTTCGATAGCTGGTCACTCAATTTCTCTTACTGTGCTAGTTCTAAGAGATGTGGTGAACATCTCGAGTACCAGTGACTTGCCAATTTTCTATACCACCATCATCTGTTACATGTATGTATATACGTCTTAAAGTAAATTGTACTTATGCCAAATCTATCGATGTAATAATACATCTTCCAAAATATCTCCCATGTCCAGTCCGCAGACCTGCTGCGGCAGGATCCTTATACGACAATTGCATAAGGATAGCCTTATGCGATTGTCGCTTCCCAATATCAGCTTATAGATAAATTCCGATCTTTAAGATAAGAATTAAAATTTAGTTGATAAATATAACTTAGGGTTGATTAGGACTTTTAAAATAAATTTAAAAACCCTATCATAGTTATTTTTACTAAGCTTTTTTAAATCTAGATCATCAAGAGTGACGTGTCAACAAATCCATGTATCTTAATTATTTGGATAAGACTATTCAAATCAAATCATATCAAATACCTTTATTCAATATAGAAGCATTACACTTACTTATTGATTGTCAACACGCTACCACCGGTTCGGAAAGAAATGCCACCGACCTGAGAAGAACCGGCGAAAGAAACTCAGCGGGAGTTTTTTTTACCATTATTTATCAAAAAAAAAGGCATGTTTACTTGTATTGAAGGTTATGATAGGTTGTATTGAAGTCAACTTGAAAGAGCCTGGAGTGATCACTTCATTTCCAGGGTGTGTTATCATTAAAATAATCACTAACATTATAATAGCCTTCAACGCACAAACGTTCCTTTACAATTTTTTTTGTATTTAGAAATTTATACATTGTGAACGTTTTCTGGGATTCCCATAAAAGAATTAGTAATTCTACGGAGTCTAGTTGTGGGTAGAATTGCTATCTGCTCTCGATTACTGGTGATATTCTTACTATTATATATTTATACATAAATGAAGAATAATTAGAAAATGTTCTTTGTCAGATATTGCGCGCAAAGCCATCTTATAAGGACATCGATACGCTAGCTGATCTGCTCGGATTTGTTGGCACAAAATGCATCTACAGGGAGGATGAGAAACTGATCGAGCCGGGGCCTTGTATCAAGAAGTACGTCTATTCAATGTTGTTTCTAATTGAGCAGAGTGGTAGAAAGAAATTTATTTAAATTCCTGGCAAAATGTTAAGTTTTAATTAATAGAAAAGGAATAAAAAAATCGGTCAAGTGCGAGTCGAACTCGTACACCGAGGGTTCCGTACCTACCCATCTATTAAACCGCCATTATAAAATTGGTAAATAATCACCACCAATCTTCTCAGGAACAGGTGGACCTAGCAAGTTGAAATTTAAATTTAACAATATAAATTTCGGTCTACAGTCCTCAGTTGATTTATATTAGGTGTCTTAAAATAAAGGTCCCGATCACCCGTTTCCAAGAAAATCGGTGGTGACACACGGACAGACAGACGGAAAAAGGATCTTATAAGGTTTCCTTTTATACCTTTTAAGGTACGGAACCCTAAAAATTAAGATTAAAGATTTCCATGTGTAAAGTTGGCAAGCGAGCAGACGAATCACATGATCAAGTGATTACCACCACACAGAAATATCTATAACACTTGAGGGGTTGCCATCTTTTAAAATGGTGGCTGGTAGAGAGAGACAGTTGATGATCGTTCTTGCTTCGCACCACTTAATAATGAAAACGTGGTATGTTTCTCGAACATATTCAAAATTACGCTGTTTTTTTTTGGCATGAAAGAATCTTCCGATAGTTTCTCTTTCTACAAAACTAATTATTATCCTTTATTTTTTCAGTTGGAGAACGTTTTAATAATAATCGCAGCAACATAGACCTGACGACCTGACGACCTGTCGCACCGAACTCTTTATGATTGTTTATTAATAAATAATGAAGCTCTTGAATGATGTTTAATTTATGATAGTATTTTTAGCTACAGAAAATGTTCTCTTATAAATTAATAGCTGCTGCACGCGATTACTGTGTAGAATAGGCCGTAGGCGTAACATTCAAAACAGAAAGACAGATATACATAAAATATGTATATAAATTATAGCCTATGTCTTATGTATAAGCTATATGATTGTAAAGTTTCATTAAAATTCATTCAGTAGTATTTGCGTGAAATAGTAACAAACATCCATCCATATATACAAACTTTCGCCTTTATAATATTATAAGTAAGGATAATCCAACTGTCTTAACTTTGAACTAGAAAATTCAAATTTGTTAAAAAAGTATTAACAGTCACTTTTGTTTCCTATAGCATGCTTTAAAACTTGCTTTATAACATTACTTACGTAATATCTCTTCTGGTTCGCTTTACTTATTACTGTAACCAATTAGCAGATAATCCGATTTTGTAAATTAGAGCATTTTTTTTGGCCTGGCTCTCCGTCAATAAGGAAGATGGCTGTAGAGACATTGTTTGTCTAAACTTTTCTACCAACTAAAGTTTTTACAAAATTAAAGGTAAATTTATAAATTACCTACTCTAAACATTGATCTTACAAAGTTATTCTTTGTCGATATGTAACAATAAAGTACTTGCCCCGAATGTACCAATAGAGGTCGCAAAAATCGCACAATTATATTCAAAGTCACATTTATTTATGGTGCTGAGGCAAACGGGATGGTCAATGTCAATTAAATTTCTGTAAACGATATTATCGTACCAATAGAACAATAAATAGATAAGCGGCTTCATTGCTTATTGATTTGATGACTCCGTGGCGCAGTGGCCAAGGTATTGACCTCGGCGTAGGGGGTCGTGGGTTCGATTCCCACACGGGACAACTATTTGTGCGACCCACAGATAGTTGTTTCGTATCTGGGTGATGGTCCACGTGGAATTTGTTTATAAAAAGTCCTTACAACACGGGATAATGTTATCCTAAAGTGAGGGCAATGTTTTAAAAAAAAATAATAAAAAAAATTGGTAAAGCGTCTGGGTGCGAAACCAGAAGAGTCAGGTTCGGATCCCGCAGCTTCGAAAGTTTTTCTTGATTTATCAACAAATATTTACAATTTAAAGTTTTATCTTGAGTGCAGACTAGCACTGAAAAGTGAAAATTAATCTTACAAAAAAAAAAAAATTCTATTGAAATTTCACGATAGATGGAAAAAAACTTTCTTCCTCACTTCTTTTAAATTTCTCTGACATCTTAAAAGAACTATCAAAACTGTCTGGCTACCGAGGAAACTTGTTTTGTTGTTATTATCCCCTGTAACGTATAAAAAATCCGCTTTTGTACTATATCCTAAATAGAATTCCATTTTATTAGAGAGGAGGGCCGTCTCGATTATCGTCGTCGAAACGTAGTGATTACATTCTCTTTGGGCAGGAGGTTATCTACCAAAAATAACGTGATTTAAAAGTTACGCTTTACGACGGTTATCTACCAAAAGCATGATGATATGAATACAATACATATACGAATATAATACATATGCCTGGTGATATGATTAAACAATGAAAACTAATGAGTTTTACCACAGAGTACATATAGAGGATTTGATTTTTACCTTCATAGTGTCATCGATCAGGTATCTAACATGTACTGGCTGCAAATACGAATTTGACGACTGTGATTAAAAATAATAAATCATAAGTCGAAAGCTGTTTGTCAATATGTTGGACGTTGAAATATAATTTTTATTTCGAATAGTCGAATATTAATTTGTAATTGTTCCTATTGTTAGTTTACTGTATAATAGAGCTAAGTATAAAAAGCGATGTACAGCAAAAAGAAGAAGATTAAATGTCACGATATGGTGTTTGATAACACCTCGAGGGACGCTGTTCCTAAAAGGGGTTATTACTCCGAGCTCGTATCGGATATGATGAAAGAGGAACCGTCTAGAGAAATGTGCGCTAAGAAGAGGATGAAGCTGATTTTACAGGTGATTCCTGTGAATTTTGTTATCTACTGTAAATGCAGGGGAACTGAGGTAAAAGCGGGATAAGATCTGTATTAATTTTATAATTGATGTTCGGGAGTTCCCTAAGCATCTCCGGGGTCCAAGATCCAATACCAATGTAATTATTATGGGACCACATGGTAAGCACAAGCTTTCAAAGAAATAAAGAATCATCAAAATCGGTTCACCCCGTAGAAAGTTATGAGGTAACAAACATTAAAAAAAAATTAAAAGTCGAATTGAGAACCGTTTTTGAAGTCTGTTGGACGAAGGATTGAAAATGTACGCATGGATGTTTCAGTGAGGTTCTCGCCAAGAAAGGGATAGTCGGAGAGAATTTTATATCTATCTGTTGTGTGGCTAAGCAGCAGCTTCGGAGAGCGGGCTTGCGAGAAAGGGCAGACTCGTCCAGGGAAGTACCACGGCCTCATAGGAGATTGGCGTGAAGTAGGCGGTAATCGGGGTTCACTTTTTACATGTTGGCAGCGCATCTGCAAGCCGTCAGGCGTTGTAGATGTCCATGAGCAGCGGTAGTCGCTTAACGTCAGGTGAACCGCCTGCTCGTTTGCCAAATTATGTAATAAAAAAACCAGGAGAGAGCAGAAAGAACTGTATTGTCGAGTCAGACATAAAAATTGTTAAATAAAAATTATTTCTCTATGGTCAATTTAGTTGGTTCGTCATTACTTCGATAAAATTCTTCATCGATTATAATCCTATAGAGTAAAGCTACTGTTGTCATAAAAAAAACATTTAATAAAGAATGTATACCATACCATATAATACCATCTCTTTTGATAATTTACATAAATGTTGGATAGCGAATTAGACTGAACAATGTTATTCTGATATTATCCTTCGGTGCGAAAATTACACTTATGAATCAACTAGTCTTTATTCCTTAGTATTATCCCTATACTTGGAAAAAATTTAGGCGAAGACAGACAAGCTGGCCCCGATGCTAATTTCGCTACCAAAACCTCAGAAGGCGAAGGTTTTATTACCTCCTGGACGCTGGACCACATATAGAGAGGACGAAAGCATCGTAAGCAGATATTTAAAAGCGTTTGTAATCGTAGAAAAATTTAAAAGATTCGTAAATAGACAGTACGACAGATGACTCGGATGCATAGTACTTAGTTGAAGCTATAAGCTTAAGAAATGAACCCAAAAAAAAATGGTCGAAAAATTTTCGACTGCGGGATTTGAACCTGCGTCTTCCGGGTCAATCACACTTTAACCAACAAAGATAAGCGACCGATGCGACGACACAAAAATCTCAAAATCCACCCGCTTTTTTCGACAATTTTACACCGAAAGTTCAATTTTTAAGTATTAAACACTTGATCTAACCAAAAAAAAACTAAGCGGCCTAAAGCTCAAAAATCACGAAATATATCTACTTTCTTTTTTTAATAATTTTTGTAGAAAAAGTTCCAATGTTGAGTATTAAATATTTAATCTAAAAACCATTGCGCCTATATAAGAATTCGTTTTCTAGCAATTCCCCTTCGAAACGTTCGTCCCCAAGTTGCAGTTTTTGAGTGTCGTGCTTCCGAAGGAGATGCCGAGACTGGTGAAAATCGAGAGGTTGCGCAGGAAGTTTCTTTCGGCCAATATAAAGGTACGCGATAGACTATTTCATATCGACGGACCGCTGCTCGGTCTTTTTCCGATGTGACAAAACCCTATATTGTAATATCTAAATAAATAAATAATAATAAATATTTTTAGGACACATTTTTAAACGACGTTCTCCTAATGGTGGTTGAGCCATGCAGCAGCCTCGGCCGTTGCACGAATGGGCAGGCTCGTCCGGGTAAGTACCACGACCTCACAGAAGCCCGGCGTAAAGTGGAAGTATGACAAATACTTTCGCGTTTCGTCTGGTGATTGAGGTAGCCGGATCCTCTATTTCCAAAAAGGTTGTCAACGCATCTGCAAACCCACGGGCGTAGCAAATGTCCGTGGGCGGCGGTATTCATTTAATATCACGTGAACCGTCTGCTCGTTTGGCACTTTTAAAAAAGTACATAAAAAGTCCCAAACTAAGCAGTGCTTGTAATATGGGTACTAGATAACTGATAAATATACTTAAACATACTTTTCTTTTGTAAATAAATATATATTATACAAATATAAACAACCAGACACTAGAAAAACACTATGTTCATCACACAATATTTTTCCTGTAGTGTGGATCGAACATACACCCTCTAGCGCAAAAGGCAGGTACGCTACCCACAACGCCATTCGGGTGGTCAATGAGTTTGATCTTTCGCAGAAAATGCTCCGTGAGCTGGGCATACAGCCTTACTGGCTAATACCGCCGTCGGAGTATCCGATCTCCGATACGACACGCTACGGCCTGTACAGCCCCTACCCCAAGTTGGATTTGGAGATTTTCGACAATACGGACTTCGATTGCCGGTGAGCGATGAAGGAACAGATTTTCCGAAAACATTTTTATCTAAAAAGTTAAGTTTCATCTTGAGTGCAGGGATCAGCACTGAAAGATTAAAGATTTAATTTCAGTAGCAAAAATCACATCACTAGATTTTCAAATATTCATTTTTAAAAGATTATTTGAGGAAACATAAGACACAAACTCATAAGATAACGCTGAACATTGTTAAAAAATCAAAAAAACGGGAGTAGATACCACCGTACCCACTCCAACCTATAACGTTGAATGGTCTAACAATGAAAGGGTTGTCTCTTATGCCACTTTTATCGCTTCCTAACTTTTGAACGGGTTAACTCCAAAAACTACACAACGTATTTTCACGGAGTGATTCACGAAAAGAAGGGGGTAGGTGTCCAATTCATTAGGGTTTTGTGTGAGTTGACTGAAATATTGTGATGATTGTTGAAGATGTTCGAAAAATAATGCCGTGTGATTAAAACTCGGTGAGCAGTGAGGAAAATGCAGACGATTCTAATGACATCACCAGGATCCCCGAGGAATGGTTAGCATTAGGTGACATCGATGGTGAGCGCCATCCGTGTCCCGGGCTGGCATTTGTCCCCAAAGAGGAGGGCTCCAACCGACCCGTGGTGGATGTTATACAGATGCTCAATAATCTTTACGAGGTGAGCAATTGTCGTTGTTGCGTTTAATAGCTCTGGTTTTACTAAAGTGGTCAGTGATAGTAGCTTGAGTATCTTGTTTGTCGTGTTCAGGTTCAAAATTTTTTACCAGTTTGTGTTGATAGTCATTCTAACTCAGGTTTGACGCGAAATTCGCTAGAATAATGGGGCAGTGGCGTTGAATGGTTCTATTGTGATAGGATCCCGCAACAGTCCTCGCCGTTGCACGAATGGTCAGGTCCGTCCGCGTAAGTACCACGACCTCACAGAAGACCGGCGTGAAGTGGAATTATTATACTTCTGCTTTTCATCTTGTGAGTGAGGTAGCCGGGGCCCACTGTATTAAAAGGTAGCGAAGCATCTATAACGCTACGGGTTTTACAAATGTCAATGGGCGGTGGTTGTCAGTTAACATCAGGTGAATCGTCAGCTCGTCACTTTTCACCTACAAAAAGAGAAAAGAGAAACATGTAAAGATTACATGGCTAATTTTAAAATAAATCAGTTCAATCATTGATGTCATTCAGAAGTCACAAATACACTTACAACGTATTTAATATGTTATTCTTCTTCTTTCTTTCAGTGGACTAACGTGGCTATATTTAGCTACGATAAGAGAACTGACAAGTGGGAGGTGATGACCTTGGATGGCTTGAAGAGACGGTTCAAGTAAAGTGATGATAATTGTTCTTGGCAATGCACTATTAACTGATATTAATTTTTATTGTGCTATTCTCCGCACTCAAAAAGAAAATTTAAAGTTTTTACAAAACGGAACGAAAAGTTTCATCTTTAGGGCAGAGAATTGCACTAAAAAAATTAATAACACCTCTACTTAGCAAAGGTCAGGTAGAGATGTAAACTAGTTTTAATTTTTTTTTTACTTTTGTTTCATTGTAAAATTTCAAATTGAAAAGTGCCTGTTATAAATTTAAACCAGGTTTGTTCTTTGGCTGTAAAGGAAAAACACTGGATGAAATCAAAAAGAAATACCAAACTGTTAATGTAATAAAAAGTAAAGTGGTTAATATACCTACGTTGAGATTTTTATCGGTGTGAAGATATGCCAATTAGCTCAGTGGCTAGAGCGTCGGACGCATACCGCAGGGCGCAGATTCAAATCCTCGTAGTTGCGATAGACTCTTCGTCTTTTTTTTCTACAATTTTAAATGAACCTTTATTTTATTCAACTTGAATTATAACTTTCTTGATATTCTATGCCATATGCTACCCTGGTAGAATCATTTCTATTGAAAGTTTGGATTCGGCGAACCAACCCGGCTAAAGCTTAAACGGATTTTAGCGATTTAATCCGCGAAAACCCCCGCAAGTGGAGTCTGTAAGTTGCTTTACAGTTAACGACATTGTGTGTATTATTTTTCAGCATTCCGCGTATCCGGCTGATGTTTAAGGCGGACGATCCCGAAACGTTCGCACAACGTGTCAAGTTTGCTGTGGATCTGCGCGATGAAGTTGAGAATAATCTTAGGTATTTTCTAAATAATTTGCCTTCTCTTAATTCAACCAGTGACGGAATAGGCCATATTTATAACACACATTGATAGAAAAAATCCGACGTCGAAACAAATTGAACCAGGGTTAATATAACTAAAAATTTTAAGTCATCATAAGCTGCTGCCATGATAAATAGAGACAGAAAAATATTACACTTTGGGGCTTTGACTATCTAAGAGTGTTATCGTTAGTCAAAAATCTAAAGATTTAATTATATCCAGATTGTAAGAAGTCATCTTAGTACCCTGATCTAGTTTAGATTGAAAGAGTCAGTGGTGTCCTGTTTTCAATTCCTTTGAAGTTTGAGGCAGTGTTTTCTTTTAGGTTCTACTTGTACCTGGATTGCCTAATATTGCACGGGTTGCCGCGAATGCCGCTGCACTACATGCCAAAGATATTAAAGATGGTCCGGATTCACAAGCAGGCCAAGGAGCTGGACGAGGGACATTTGGCGGAGCTCAAAATGGAGGTGTGTTTTAGAAACGGTGGTAGGGCCACGCAGTAGCCTCGGCTGTTGCACGAATGGGCAGGCCCGTCCGAGTGATTACCACGACCTCACAGAAGACCAGCGTAAAGTGGAAGTATGGCAAATGCTTTCGCGTTTCGTCTGGCGAGTGAGGTAGCCGGAGCCCAATTTTCAAAAGGTTGTCAACGCATCTGTAACCCTCGGGTGTAGCAGATATCCATGGGTGTCGGTTACTTACACTTACCATCAGGTGAACTGTCTGCTCGTTTGGCAAGTTTTCACATAAAAAAAAAGAATGTTAAAATTGATATTTATAGTTAAGTCTTCTGACTAATAGAACTTTTCAGTGCTCGATTCGTTCGATTTATAATATATTTTTTAAAATCAAATCAATGCGAACATTGAAAGTCTGAATATGGGATATTGTTTTAAAAATCATGTGCTATTCGATGAATTGCAGAATAGCCACACCCATGAACTATCTTTTCTTTGTATTGCAGTTCGGTAAAATATGTGATGGTAGTCTTCTAAAAGTTCAAGCGAACATTATCATAATTTATTAGCGGATGATTTTAATGACATTCTCATTTCAGGCGGAGTTGCTATATAGGAAGATGGAGGGAAAGATGAAAATGATCTACATGATACAGAAATATCCAAATATGTATAACTTTATTCGAGCTCCGTCGAAGGAGAAGGAGCCTCCAGTACCCGAATATGGTAAGGAGATATTGAAGAATGGTTATGAGTACAAATTATACATGATGAAAAAAGGCGCTGTTAACTTTATTTTCTTAATGTGAGGAACTTATTTGGGATTGATGACAATTATATTAAACATCGCAAGGTCATCGTAAATCGTAACATATTTAATACGATTAGAATACATCATCGCATCAAGATTAAAAACTAGTTAATACGACCTTTTAAAGAGCTGACGCTCATAATCGTGGAAGCTGACATAATAATAATAATAAAAAAATAAAAACTTTTTTTTTTCTTTTTTTTCATCTTTTACCTAACATATTGATAAAAAACTCAGAAAATACGCCTGACGACAATTGTTGTATTCACAGAAAAAATCGTTTTGGTCGTTTCTAATTACTTAACATCAGATGAACCGCCAGCTGGTTTGACAGTTTGCCGCATAAAGAAAAGGTTTTGCGCTAATGTACTAATCGTGGCGTTTATGACTATCGCAATTTATCAATTCGTTAGGGAGGCTGCCGTGTGATATGGAGGACTTCGTAGGACGTGTGAAGTACAATCAATGGTACTCTCTCTACGTTCTCACGGAGTCTATTTCGTGCATCCATCTTGTCGTCGAGGAGTGTCTCAAGGTAATTTGAACGTAGTTATTTTAAACAAGAATTGTAGAGTATTCAATTGGAGCCCAATAGGTCCAATGCATTCTAAGTCTGAAGCCGTTTATATCGTAACTGAACTGAATGATGTACTTAAAAAGTTCAGTGTATAAAAGTTCTAACGTTTTTACCTTGATTCTAATATGTTAACTATTATTGAACTTGAATATTAATAACTATTATAACGACAAGCAGCACTAGAGGTTATATCACCGTCCGGGAACGCAGTCGAAATCCAAGGGACCGCTGCTCCATGCGACCATGTGTCCCTTGGCTCGAGTAGATAACGTCATATCCGGTATACAGTTTTGCCAGCGCCAACAAGTGTACAGCCACTATTCATTAAATTGCCGTTATTAATAAAGAAGTAGATGTTAAATTGATTTTTTTGTAAATAAAGAGACGAAATCTTCAGACGCTTGTGGGATTCGAACTTGCGTCTTCTGGTTTTGCGCCCGTCATAAATAGATGTCTGTAATGTTAAGCTGTATAGGAGGAAAGAGATTGGTTATTATATCCTTTGAAAAAAAATCGAGGATAAACTCCTTAAAACCTGATGAAGTGTAAACAAGCGCTTTATACGCTTTAAATATTACTTTTATCCAGATGGTATAACTTCACAATAGTATAAAATTAACATGTGTCGTGAATATTTATATTCATAAATTGTTACCGATAAACACTTACATCTACGTCCAGGTAGATTTCTGAATGATACGTTTAAGCTTAAATAATTAAGTTTCGAATGTCAAGTAACCAGAATAATTTAAGGATAGCATAGAAAAACTGTATATATTGCATTCATAATTGTTTGTAGAACATAAAAGAAACAGTTTTTTATTAGCTTCCTGAGCTAATGTAAAGCCTTTTAATTCAAATTTTTAGGTGGAATCAATGTTATTCTTCACCACAAATTACGGCCGAAACGTTGGACTAACAGAGTTCGACGCAGCCCAACAGCATTGCACACAGATGGTAACGTCCAAACAAATTATTATTTGCCGACAATAATTTTAACTTGCCATCCTTAGAAACAATCTTTACCCTAAATCGTTCTAGAGCGAGCAATCGAAACGTAATTAAGCAGAAAAAGGTAGTTGCAATTTTGTCAAATACTTAGAAACAGATTAGCACAATAAATGGGAATGTCATGATTTATATTGAAATACTAGATGAAGGTAAAAATAAAACAGAAAGATTGAAAGGGATAAACTGTGTGATTATTAAATGACAATAGTAATAATAAATGACTTTAGTGTATTTTATTTTAATTGCAGATGCTGAAGTATCTGACCATAACTTGGTTAAACAATACCGCGCATGCCATCAGAATGTCGTTCAGGGATGTAGGCAAAGGGTAATAGTTTCGTAATGACATACTTATTCTATTATATTGTAAACTAATCGTTTTAAAAAAGAGCAACTGTTGAGTTTCTTGCCGGTTTCTTCTCAACAGAAACTGATTTCCGAACCGGTGGAAACTTACGAACGTATTTATTTTTACGTAAAATTTTTGACATTTCATAAGAACGCGCAAGCGTCTATGTGAATAAATATATATTTAGATTTTTGATTTTGTTATTTCAATACCATCTACGTTTTATATTTGTGAGAGGTCACAGTTTGTCCTTTTTACAATAGCTGGTTTAATATCTACGAGAAGCAATGGCAGTTCTACGAGGTCAGCAAACTATGCCGCTTCATGCAGCTAGTGCGGTTCCGTATGCAGGTAAAATTAATATTTTTTGAGGTAGACGATTACTTTATCTTAAATACTATCGACAGTTTGGTTTGTTAGATTAGTTTAATTTTATAAATAAATGAATAAATAATCATATCGTAGGACACACTTTTACACAACGTTCTCTAGTCCCAAACTAAGCAACGCTTGTAATATGGGTACTAGAGAACTGATAAACATACTTAAATATACTTTTCTTTTGTAAATAAATACATATTATAGATATATAAATTTTAATTATTCTTTATTGAAATAAATTACTTTACTTTTCTCCCAGCCAATCGAGGGCATCGAGATTAATTATGGTGTGTGCAATAATTACATTTGAAGTTGATTTGTTAAACAATTTTATTGTTATGGTGGTACTTAACTCATACTTCCATCTGTCCCGTTCTCCATCTAATATTACTTTTCAGTAAATTTTCTTTCTGTCAGTATGCTCTACGCCACTGCATCGAGCAGTCGATGCAGATGTTCGTGACTCTGTGCGAGACGCCTTGCCTCTGCACTTACGTTTGCGAGGATGACTACGTGTGGGACTCCAGCGACCTCATAAACTCACCGTTCCGCTCGCACGCGCCGACCCTCTTCTACTTCCACCTCATGATGAATGAGAACGGCCCCTACTACACTACGCCACCGGAACAGTTCGAGGTCAGATAGGCAGAGAAAGCCCTATGATTCTAATCTCTCTTCCACATCGATTACATTTTTATCTTACAGGACGTAGACGGCTAGCATGGTCCGAATATTTTACACTGTAACCAAGTTACTTAAATAAGCTCAAGACTTTAACCTTGATGATTGACAGAGTCAGTGCTGTTTGTTTCATGTCCGAGACTGTCAGTTGCTACATTATATAACAGCGGTTTATTTGACGTAAGATATTAGACAATGGTCTGTGAACATTTGCAAATGCAACTTGACATCTAATGAAATAGAATCTCAACTTTCAGTGATTTTAACGCATGAGCTAGATTATTGATTTAGAATATGTTTCAACCATGACAAGAATCGAAATTCTGAAAAAAAAATGTTTTATAGTGTCTGTGTTCAATGCACCCATGGATATTGGCAATTCTCCCATTCTCTTTTCATTTATAGCAAAATAGGCTACTCGGCTCAAATGCTGTACGGAATTTACCAACAATGCTTTTTTATGACAGATTGTGATTCAGCGGCTGTTCCGTGAGATGTTGTACCGGTGCCATTTCGTCTTGCAAGTGCATCCCATGATCATGACTGGTCTGGTGGGAATTTTCTAATAAGGAATTACTACAAGGTTTACTGTGTAACAAAGTAAAAAGAGATCCTATACAGGCCGTATAGGTAGATTTTATAATAGGTTATACTACAAAATGTACCTTCGTAAAATTTATAATATGAAATTTGTGTAATTGAATTAAAATAAACTACGATAAGCCCTACTTGTGAATAATTTTTACGTGGTAACACAAAATTAAGGCCTTCATCGCTAAGTATAGTTCTTTTTTTGAGAAAATATCTCGTAACTGAGGTGTTACATGGGATACAGAAAGCAATATCACGTTAAGAGTACGATGTTAAGCTGTAGATTCATGATGGAGTCTAGAACTATGAAAATAAGTCTGAAGGTCAATTAATTAGACTACCACTGCGGTAGGGCCACGCAACAGTGTTCGCTGTTGCACGAATGGGCAGGTCCGACCGGGTGAGTACCACGACGATAATAACAAAAAATATATTTCGAAGATACATGAAATCCTCGAATTCGGGGTCACGTGGTGGATTAAACCCTAATACCCCTATAGTGATAAAGCCTTTGCCCAGCAGTGAGATATATACGACCTGTTACTTTGCTGCGGTTATAGGACTAATGGAGCCAAACGTCGTTGAGTATCGCGAGCGACTACTGAAGGCATATCGGAAGGCAATAATACCGTTGATTGCGTATATGCACCAGTACGATGAGTACCAAGATATATTCAAGCTCAGCATCCAAGAGTACGTCGAGTAAGTATATTTGAATTAGAGAGCGTGATGAGGTCCAAACTATGGCCATCTGCTGCCATGTCCGTTGCGTCCCTTCTTCTGCACCTACGGTGACCTATTTAAAGCCAATTCTGTAGTGTGTAGATGTGGCTAATACTAATCTAAATAGCTATTTTGACTCTAAAACAAGAAGAAGAAGAAACTTTAGGAAAAAGAGGATTGTATTTTTACCACATTTATTTATTCTGAAACCGAAAACATTAACAACCGAAAACAATCACATGATATTTTGGGGTTGCGGGAGATTTCACAAAACGTAAAATCGTATCGTGTGTCATTTTTTTCGTTTTCTAGAAACTTCCGGGCCGAGAAGCATTCGGCCTCCGAAACCCGCGAAGAGATACAAGTTCACTACGACGCCAAGCAGAACTTGATTTGGCGGCTTCCGCAATACATAAGCATCGGTCCGTTTTCGATCAACGTGGATACACTAAAGGTATGGATGCAAATTTTTAAAAGTCCCAAAGTCTAACTCTGCCCTGCTATTTATAAAAGGTAGTTCTTGGTTTTGTCAGCACAATTAATATTTTATTTATTCATTTAAAGTTTATTGATACGCCTTAAGCTAAGGGCTTAATGTCTATTGGTATTTTCTACCAATCAAATCTTGTCAGTGTCAAACATTTGGCATCAAAAAGATGGCAGGTGCTCACCGAAGAATAAAAACCAAGTAAAGAAATTTGCTCAAAAATCAATGTCTGTAAGAAAACTATACATATATATTACGAGGGTTCAACTGAATTTTTTTTTTTTTTTTTTTTTTTTTTTTATGCTAGGATTTTTTGTTTTGTGAGAAAGTGGAAAACGAGTTCACCTGATGTTAAGCGATACCCGCCGCCCATGGCAACACCCGTAGGGTTGCAAATGCATCGCCACCTTTAAATAAATTGGGCCCCGGCTACCTCACTCACCAGACGAAGCGCAGAAGTGTGACACTTCTACTTTACGCCGGTCTTCTGTGAGGTTGTGGTACTTACCCGCACGGCCCTGCCCATTCGTGCAGCAGTGAACACTGTTACGTGGTCCTACCACACCAAAAATTGTTGTAATAGTGTGTATAATTGTATAATTGCATCAAATAAAAAATATATAACAAAAAGAACAAGACCGCAGAGTTTCTTGCCGGTTCTTCTCTGTGCAGGTCTAGTTTAGTGTACCGGTGGTAGATTTTTTGTTGACGTTCAATAAGAGATTAAGTCAGGCATATATTGAATGAATATACTTTGACTTTGACTTTGATTGTTGCATTGCTGATTCAGCAATTGCTGGTGACCAAACGTACGGACATAATGCGCGCCCTGCTGACGATGTGGGCGGAGGAGGTGCGTATACAGGTCGAGGACGTGATCACCGCATACAAGATCGTGATGAGGAAACTCGGCGAGAAGCCGAACACAATCGAGCACGTGTTCGAGATACGCGAGTGGATGGAGAGCATCCCGTTCGCTCTCAAGACACAAGAGGACAACATGAAGAAAGTTTTCACGGTCGGTAATTTTTGACTGATTGTTTTGTAAAGTCGAAACGTTTTCTACCACGAGATTGAAATAAGGCAGGTTTATTCAAGTTAATGCCTATAAAAGGGTGGGCCATGGTCACCTCTGTTACCGGAGGAATTGCGAAAGTACAATAATTCCATTTCACTTAGGGCCGAGGCCAAGGTACTTCCCCGGAAGATTCTGGGATTCCTATCGACTAAATTTCGAATCTTCAAAAGGCAATTTAAGTCAAAACATAAGTGATATTGACATTCAATCACAGTTCAGTCGATTTAAAAAAATGTTTAAAAAACCATAACTCACAAATATATAATACGTGCTGATGAATGTAGAAAAAAATATTTGTTACAGGACTACGAAGTACTGGACACTTTCTTTACGCCATTGGAAAATGAGGATTTCAAGGCTCTCTGGGAGGCCATCGGATGGCCTCTTATCATAACAAAACAGGTTATAACTGTTACCATGTTTTTCATTTTGTACCATAACGTCTATCATCATACTCCGTCTCGTTTTGCATTAGAAAGAAATTGAAAGCTTCAACGGTTTAGTTTTGATATGTTTCATAATAATTTTTTAAATGAGTTAGTGTTGTTCTCTTTATTTCTTTCTCTTTGACTTTTAAAAGTTTATGCTAGAGGGGACTGTAAAATGTTTTTTTCAATTCAGCTGACATCACACAAAGCTGTTGTGACGTAGCTTACGATTTATCATAAGCAACGTCACAAAAGCTTTGTCTATTTCATGTTACGGCGTGAAAAGGGAAAAATGCATACCATAAACGGCTGAACAGATATGAATAAAATTAAAAACGAGCACATCTTCAATCTCGTAAAACTCTACGAACCCATTTCGCACCGAAACACTAGAAAAGCTGTGGATGAAAAAAATCCTGTTTATTTGCAGGTCGATGCTACAACTGAATTCCTTGAAGAAGAACAGGAGAAGTTCTGGAAGCTACACCAACAAGACGAACAGGCGTTGTTTGACAAGATCGACATGTTTACATCGCAGTGTATGGCGTTGACGCTACAGAATGACTTGTCGAAGGTTCTTTTGGAAATTTTCGCTTTTAATCGATGAATACTTCACTGTGGTAGGACCCCGCAATAGTCTTCTCTGTTGCATTAATGGGCAGGTCCGTACGGGTAAGTAACACGACCTCACAGAAGACCGGCGTGAAGTGTTATACTTTTGCGTTTCGTCTATTGATTGAGGTAGTCGGAATTCACTTTATTAAAGGGTGGCAATAATATTTAAAAGGTTAAGGTTGAGTAGTGTTAGAAGAAACAGAGAATTATATATGATACAAAAATAATAGAAAAGACCCGTGATAGCTAGTGCTCGAGCGTTCGCTTTGCAATCAATTTATTCGAGCAACCCGAGTTCGATTCCCGGTGCCGGCACCAATGAAGTTGTCAATTTTAAGTGCTCATCACGTGATCCGCGGTGTAGGGAAACATCGTGAGAGAACCTCATATTTTAAAATATGTAGAAAATGTGCGAAAAGATTGTCGCCGCTGTGAGAATCGAACCCACGTCTTCGGCATTCGCGGCCTGACGCTCTAGCCACTGAGCTAAACGGCTGATTGCCACACCGACGAAAATCTTAACGCATTCTTCTACATTGTTTTCTTAGCATTTGAAGCAATGCTTGGCGCCATCTATTGATATATCCTTTCCAGCATACAAACAATTTCGAATATCATTTTACAACGATAATTCGATTTAAAATTTCTAAAAAAAACCTCATATTTTCTAAATTAATAACAGAAAAAAATATTTCAAACATATGTGACGCCAACCCGCTGTGAGGCTGCTTGGTGGACTATGCCCAGATAACTTTGTATGGAGGAGGCATTTGCCCTGCAGAGGGACATGTATAGGCAAATTTTACAAACATTAATGTGCTCATCAGGTGCACGAGATTGCGAACGACATAAAGAAGGCGTGGAAGGCAATGAGGGAGTCGCAGGATTGGGGTCGAGTTCTGAACCAGCGTCAGAAGCTGTTCGGGCAGCCAGTGGTGCTGTTCATGGATCTGAACCGCCTGGTCAAGGAGTTCGAGCCCTACAGGAACCTCTGGGTCACGGCCTCTGGTCGGTGGCGAATTATCATCTATAATGTAGTTTCTTTCTAATCCCTTCCGTATTTTATTATCTGTTATTATTTGTCAACCGACTTCAAAAGAGGAGGATGTCATCAATTCGACTGTATTTTTTATTGTTTGCTACCTCATAACTTTCTACTGGGTGAACCGATTTTGATGATTCTTTATTTCTTTGAAAGCTTGTGCTTACCATGTGGTCCCATAATAATTACATTGGTATTGGATCTTGGACCCCGGAGATGCTTAGGGAATTCCCGAACATCAATTATAAAATAAATACAGAGCGAGATATTTGAAGTCTGTTTTGTTTTTCGTTGATAAAATAGTCTTGTTAATCAATCTCTAACGAAAAGTAATTGGCTCAATGGGTTTCTTTTCAATCGTTCAACCATGATATTTTATATCGATTTACTAGACGACTAGTTTTGAATCATCCTTATAAAATAATTCTGTGTGTTCTCTATAGACTGCTGAATGGATATCCATTCGATTAAAAGGACACTTTTTTGAGTTTGTTTTGCATAAGCCCAGAAGGTTCACGACCCAAAAAAAGATTTTTATATAAAAATAAAATAAATTACAAATGCGCTGCACCGCATATCAGGCGTTAACTAGTATACTGTATATGTAGTTACTCGTATGTATTAGTTATTGATATTTGATGTACATTTTTTCGTACAGTTTGTTGTACTCAGCAATATGTATACCTGACGTGCTGAGTACAAAGCATATTTAGTGTCATATTTTTTTTTTCTTTTTTGAAGTCGTGTAAATAACTTTTTTCAAAACAGAATCATGCAAATGTTTAACGTAAGACCGTTCTTCGTTAATTTTGCGAGAGCCCTTGCTTTGTTTCCATGAAGTCCACGTTAAATTTTACGAGTTATTTACACGAATCATGTAAGTATTTGGGATCTTTCAGAGTTCCTCAAGTCGCGTGAAGTCTGGTTTGATAATCCGCTGATGTACGTCGACGCTGAAAGCATAGATCCTTTAGTGAATGAATATTATAAGACGATCATCAAATGTATCAAGACGTTTGCCGATTTGCCGAAAATACAAACTGTGGCTTTGAATATAAGGGTTAGTGTGGTCATCTATTTTTCTAAGCTTTCGTAATATATTTGCTTTACTAGTACGTAAACTTATATTCTTTCTTTTCACACATGAATTTCTATTTCAAAATAAACTGATAACTATTTAAGATGTAATAAGTAATTACGATTCGACAATGGAACTGCTATTTATTGAATCTACAGAATGACATTACTTTTTTTTATGGAAAAAGGGGCAAAAGAGCAAGAGGCTCACCTGATGGTAAGTGATCATTGCCGCCAATGAACATCTGCAATAGCGGAGGGCTTGCAAATATGTTGCCGGCCTTTTAAGAAAGAATATGCCTTCCGCTCAAAGGATCCCAGGTTGTAACCTATGTAATACTACATCGTACACTATGCAGCATATACACCTTGAAAAGCATTTCAAGTTAAATATTGCGTTAGAACACTTACAGTCAAAGAAATAATTTCCTTTGAAGCTACGTTAATACAACACGACTGGGCATCAGATAATATCGATGAGATAGTAGTGAATAAATAGTTGGTTTCTAGTGAAAAATCGAGGTTACAATGTTACGTCTACCATTTAATATTTAATCAATGATAAAAATTTATTTAGGACGGCATCGACGAGTTCAAGCCTCTTATACCGGTACTGCAAGCTGTCAAGAACCCCGGTATGAAAGAGAGACACTGGAAGGAGTTTATGGACCGTTCCGGTACGTGATATTCTTAGATAAATAAGAATATAGATAATGAATTCATGCCTACAATCGGAATGATTTTTAAAAATTAATTCGTGTCTCAGAATCGGTACGATTTATCAAAATTTTATTTTTCTTTTCATTCTGATTTTTTTATGTGGTTATTTAATCAACACGCTTTTAAATACTTTGTTCTTTTCTTTTCGATTAAGCTTGAAGTAAGGCGTAAGTTTTATATTTGTATGTGTACGGTACGTCGCATTTAGAAGGGTTTGAACAGAGCTCGATGGAATTGGGAAATTTTGCGTTTTAAACTGCAGGCATCACCGTGACCATGAACGAGAAGCAGACTTTCCAGATGTGCTTGAAGCAGGGTGTGGCTGCGCACGCTGAGCTCATCGCCGAGATCGGCGAGCTCGCCTCCAAGGAGTACGTGATCGAGCAGTCTTTGGACAAGATGCTCAACGAGTGGGCCAACAAGACGATGGAGGTTACGCCTTATAAGACGACCGGTCAGTAATATTGTAATGAAGAAAGTAATCACTTGAGATTGATAGCCATCAGTTGAGATTGACAGCCATCAGTTGAGATTGAAAGCCATCAGTTGAGAGTGATAGCCATCAGTTGAGATTAAAAGCCATCATTAAAATGCATGCTAGTTCTAAGATGAACCGGTGGAGAGTGAAGAAATGACTGGTGGCCGAACATCATCCCATGATACACATAGTTACATGACTCCACCTGATAACGACTTTTGGAATTGATTTGTCTTTCATCCTAATGATATTATGAACGCAAAAGCATTTAAACGTGTTTTATTTATTCTACGGCACAAGTGCTATATGGATTTAAATGTTATTTGATTTCTGGTAAAAAGTTGTAACAGGTTAGTTATTTTTTAAAGATTATTAGTATTCTATAGGAGATATTGAATATTTTATGTCAATAGGAGTAGGGTTTTGCATGTGATATCTAATATATAAAATTCTCGTGTTCGGGGGGTTCGAACGTGGGGTTCGGGAAAAAACGGGGTTCGAACTTGAACTCCTCCGAAACGGCTCGACCGATTTTTACCAAATTTTATATGCGTATTCAGTAGGTCTGAGAATCGGCTACTATCTATTTTTCGTCCCCCTAAATGTTAAGGGGGTAGTCCACCCCTAAATTTTTTTTATTGTTTATTTAAAACTTTTTGGGTCTATTTTTTTATGACACAGCATACAAAAATACATACAACCCTAAATTTTCACCCCTCTACGCAGACGTAGTCGCGGGCAGCAGCTAGTATGATATAAAAATAGCATTAAGGCAATCATTGATTGGAAATCCAAAGGCACGTTCATCATGAAGATAGCCGACGAAACACTTCAGCTGCTAGACGAACACCTGTTGGCAACCCAGCAGTTGGGATTCAGCCCCTTCAAGGCGGCCTTTGAGTTGCGGATTCAGGAGTGGGACGATAAGCTGCGACTCACGCAGAAAGTTGTCGACGAGTGGATCGACTGCCAGAAGTAGGCTTTTGTCGGTTGTTCTTTTGTTCTCTCTTTTGCACGTATGAGGCGACCATCTCTATGAGAACTGGTGATGGTGTGGCTTTGGTACGACTTCTGTTTCTGTTAGAATTCTACTCTAAAATAATGGCATTAGTGGTTTTAGTATAGAAATGCTCGAATGGTGTGAATTGCACTATCTACGCTGTATGTGCGATGAAGACGTCTGAGTTTGTTAACTAAATATCTTTCGCAATATTAATATTAAGAATTAGTGTGACTACTGTGTAGCTTTTTAAAGTGTACTTACATTTTTGAAATTATTGCTTGTACTTGATTTGAAAACAACGTAAAAATGTGTAAGCTTTTGTGTATTGCAGGGATTGGATGTATTTGGAGCCTATATTTAACTCGGAAGACATATCACGGCAGTTGCCTTTCGAAGCTAAGAAATACGGCACCATGGAGAGAATTTGGAGGAGGATCATGGGTACAGCTGCTGCTAATCCTAAGGTAACGTATACATTTTTATATTGTTCTTAACGAAAACTTTACAAATTTTACTTTAGTCTAAACATTTATACATTATAAAGACTTAAACCTTTTTTAAATTGTTTATAGTGCTAATCTTTGCACTTAAGATTGAACATTTTTCTACATATTTTAAGACTTAAACCTTATTAATAAAACATTTTATTTTTGTACACAAATGACATATAAAACAACTTTTTCTGTTTTTTTATATATTAGTTTATACGCAGTCAATGTGAACGCGACTTGAGCACATGACGCTTACTATGTTATATAGCATGATTACTGTAGTACCATATTTTTTATGTAAAGTATGATACCATGTAGACCATATATAAAAGAAAAACATTAAATAAAATTGTAAAAGCTTATCGCGATTGAATGACAGTTCGTAATCGATACAGAGAGCAAATCGCGTGTTCCTAGACATTGATGTCTGCCAGGGATTATTTTTTTATGTGAGAATGTTGTTGGTGTATGTTGTTGGTGAATGGTGTATGCTATATGTTTCGACCTGGCGTAGACATTTGTAACACCCGTATGATTGCAGATGCGTTGCCACCTCTTAATAAGTTAGGCCGCGGCCAGCTCTGTCTCAATGTCACTAAATTCAAAAGTGTGACATTTGCAATTCGCACCGGTCGCTGCCTATTCGCGTAACAGCCGGGGCCATAACGTGGCGCTGCCACAATTGGAAAGGGATTCGCTAGAGTCGGTGGCTAACGACTCGGCCGTTCGCCAGATAATGGTGACGTGCCCGGACAGCCGGCTGCTGGACAGCCTGGTGGAGGCGCGCCACCTGCTGGAGGTGGTGGCGCGCGGGCTCAGCGAGTACATGGAGGTGAAGCGGCTCCGCTTCCCGCGCCTCTTCTTCCTCAGCGACGACGAGCTCCTCGAGATACTTTCGCAGTCGCGGAACCCGCGCGCGGTGCAGCCGCACCTGCGCAAGTGCTTCGAGAACATCGCCAAGGTGTGATGTTTTTTGAACCGACTTCGAAAAGCGGGAGGTTTTTAATTCGTTGATTTTTTTAGGGTTCCGCACCCAAAAGGTAATACGGGACCCTGTTACTACAGTTGGAATTTTCACAGATGATCTATTTCTTTTGCCGCTGTAAACACAATTAATAATGAAAAACGGAATATATATATTTTTTTTAAGTTGGGCTCCCATACAAAAGACATGATTTTTGAGATTTTTTTTTCTTTGCCAGAATTCATTTTGAATTTAAAGCGAATTAAATTGCTAAACGCAATAAAATGTTTTCATTCTATCAGCTTAAATTTTAGCATTATGCTACATGTTACATTGGAATCAAAGGCAAAATAGGAATTAATTAAAATTAAAGTAATAAATCACAAAGATGTTTCGTATGATAATGTAACATTATTCATTTTAAGCGGTAAAAATGTATAAAGTATTTAATCATACGTTTTTCATAAAACTATACTAGCGATTCGTCCCCGCTTCGCGCGGGTGCAATGTATTATTCAAATAAACCTTCCTCTTGTATCAGTCTATCTAGTGATAAAAAAACCGCATCATAGGGACAGACAGACAGCGGGACAACTTTTTTTTATACTATGTAGTGATGAATAAAATGTAAAGATTGTTTCAATCATGACTTAATTTTGAGCGTAAAAGCTCAGAGAAATCGAGGCATATTTTCAGAAAGAAAAATTTGCGACATAATATTATTTACATTTCTAGGTAACATTTGAACCGGACATGAAGATAACAGAAATGCATTCGAGCGAAGGAGAGATTGTCGAATTGAAGTACAAATTTTATCCCTCGGCCAACGTGGAACAGTGGCTGTTATTGTTGGAAGACACGATGAGACACACTAGTACGCCTTTATTATGTCTGTTTAAAAACTAGGCCCCACTTGCGCCCGGTTTCTGAAACACTGATCATCGTAGATGACAACTAATCAAATAGACAGCTGTCAAATAGCTTTTCAAATGTCATTTGAATTGCCAAAAGGATTGTTAAACTATAAATAATAAATAATAAATCATCATCATTCTGATCATTAAGACGATCATTCAAAGACATGAACGATGAAAAAGACATCTACGATGTTCAGCGTTCCAGAAACCAGGCGTTAGGACAATCAAGGTTTTCGATGATTTCAAGATGTTGTCCTCTATCACAGTAATACATAAGACATCAAGAGTCGGCCATTTAATTAACATCATATAACAGGAAGAATCTATGGTGGTAAGATGGGTATAAAAACAACCCTTTATTACCATCAAGCCAAGTGGCCAAGTTTAATTTGTCCAGTGGTAAGGCCTCCGGCTGTTGTACGAATGGGCAGCATCGTTCGGGGAAGTACCGCGGTCTCGCAGAAGATCGTATTTGCGCGTTTCGTTTGGCGAGTGTGGCAACCTGGGCCCACCTTTTTTTAATGATGGCAACGCTTCTGCAACCCGTCAAGTGTTGTAGATGTCTGTGGGTTGCGGTAATCACTAAACGTCAGATTGTATTTCGATTTGATCCATAAATTGAAATTACCATTTGATTGAAAAAGACATATGTCTTTTTCAATCAAACGTTTTAACGCTCCTGTCGCTGTATATACTCGAGAATATCATGTATGCACGTAATAATATCTACCTTTTAACAAAAAAAACATTCCACATCACGTCGGGGCCGTGGTGACACTCTGGAAGTACTGAGGTTTAGACGGGCTAAATCCAGAAAGTCGTTTCTTGATAGATGCATTAACTTTATAAAATAGGTGACACTAACAACCAACTCAGTACAAAGAATTTCAAACATTTTATAAAAGCTACCCTAATGGCTATGGTCTATTATAACGTCCAATTATAATTCGAGGACAAGGATGTGTGGAAACGACTCTTGCTCTAAACTTGCAATTCCCCTGGCTGCTGCTGATTTTATACTTAAACAAGTTTGTATAATTGTGTCATTAAAAAGAAAAGGCATAACAAGACAGCAGAGTTTCTTGTCGGTGCTATTCTTGTCAGGTCTAGTTTAGTGAAATCATTGGTAGTTTTTTGACGTTCAATAAGAGCTTAAATCAAGCCTATATTGAATAAAGAAATTTGGGCTTTGGAAAACCAACTGCTCGTGTCTCAAATTTTAATATCAAAACAATTAAACGTGTTAATGTGGTTTGTGTGTCCTGAATTGCAGTCCGGCTGACGCTGGTGGCAGGTCTTCAGGAGTTGCGCGAAATGGAGCGTGATCGATGGGTTCTTCGCTGGCCAGGGCAAGTGGTGATAGCTGGCTCGCAGTTGGCCTGGACAACTGGTGTCGAACAGGCCATTACGGAGTATCGCATGGATGACTACGTCAACGAAATGTTGCAAAATGTATGTGCAGTGTGTTAAGGAATGAACTCTTGTATGACATACATATGTGTTTTACCAATGGTAGCAAATGCGCGTATTGAACTTCGAAGTAATAGCGACACTTAACTACTTATAAAATTTTTAGTTAATAATAATTAGAACCTGCGTGGGGAAATCTGTTCAATTATTACCTATAGTGAGCGAAAATTAGAGTGGCTTACCAGAAAGGATAAATAAATTAGGTTGACTCACGGTTAATGGAGACGGGGATCAGCTTCGATGTTGTCCAGGCTTCGGTCTTCCTTGACCACACTTCTAGGTGATATTTCAGTTTTTGCACTAAGCTGGGTCGACCCTATGCAGTCACTAACACGTAATTAAGTTTATTTTAAATTTAGAATCCACACACACGAAGCGACGTTACCGATGAAGTCTTGATTGTCTTGATTGAATTTTACGTATCAAAGGCGGGTATCGATCGCGTCGACTTCGCTTGCTCAAACTCTTCTTATAGGCCAACAGATGGCGTTGTGAGTTTTGTTTTGGATTAATTAATGTAAAGATGTGGAAGGATAGTAAGGAAGGCAAGCCAGTACAACCAATGAACCTCTTTTTTATGGTTTTAGTAAATAATCAAAACTATGATGATGGTACAAGTTTAACGATGATGCACCTTTTGCATGTTCAGTGTGAAAAAAAAAAGATCCCATGACATAACGTATTCTTGCATTTAATTAATAAAATATTGATAATAAGTGTGACTTAACTGTGGCAGGGCCACGCAACAGCCTTCGCTGTAGCATGAATAGGCAGATCCGTCCGGGTAAGTATCACGACCACACAGAAGATCGACGTGAAGTTGAAGATTTATACTTTTGTTTGTTTGGTGAGTGGGCTAAACAGGGCCCAGTCTGCTTATAGGTGGCAACATATCTGCAACCCTGTGGGTGTTGCAAATATCTATGAGCGGTGGTTATCATCTAACATCAGGTGAACCGCATGATCGCTTGACATCTTCTCTCATAAAAAAGAGCAAGTAATTTTCAATTGATATTTTCTCAGCTCAGCTTTCACTCTTACCCTAATGGCCTAATGGCATTGCAGCTGGACAGTCTGCGTGCCCTGGTGAAGGGAGACCTGACCTTCTTCCAGCGCGAGGTCCTCTGCGCTCTGATCGTGATAGAGGTGCACGCGCGTGACGTCACCTTCACGCTGCTCGACGAGAACGTGAAAAACATCAACGACTTCCAGTGGACGTGCCAGTTGAGGTAATCGTCCCACTGATTCAGATGTTTTAAGAGATTTGTATGAAAACTTGGCGACGATAATGGAGAGTGATTACTTCCCCTTAACAATATCTGTTTTTGTAAGTTCAGAGCTGCTTACCTCGGTCTCTGGACGAAACGCAGAAATGTAAATTCGTTTACTTGAATCGTCGTTTCATGTGAAGACTGTTACATAAATTGGCCGTTTTTCTTGCTATCTCTCTTCTTCGTCGCACTCTTCATTTCTTAATATCGTGTCTAAGACCTGAGTCCGTAGTCTTGCTGTTGATAGGCAAGGGTCGTTGTGTTTACCAGCTTCCGCCAGGAGTCTGTCTTCAGTCTGTTGCAGAACAGTATTATTGCTATAATACCTTGAAAAATGGCTTATGGGTTCTACGTGAAATTGAGAAAAACGTAAGCCTTTGCACGCATAGGCTGTTATCCACTCCTATCAGCCTGTTCTTCAGTGCGTTGTCTATTTAATATTAAATCCATTTAATAATACCTTCCCGCAGCGCCGAAAGCTTTTGTTCATTTATCCACAAAAATTTACAATTAAAATTTTCATTTTGAGGGCAGAGACTAGAACTAAAATAATAAATTAATCATAAAACAGTTAAGAGCAATGGAGACATCTCTCGTTACAAACATTCATCGTAGAATGTTGTTTTTAAGGTGTTGAATGCTGTAAAGGGTGCACACTAGATGGCGTTGCTAAAAATGCAACAGAACGAACGTAGATAGATATGTAGATTTTCGCGCCATAAGGTCATGTCGAAATGCGTGAGGTCAGGCCGCTTAGCGGATCAGAAGACGCTTTTTCGAATCCCGTCTCGCCGAAAGCTTTTGTTGATTCAAAAATTTACAATTTGATAATATCTTATCTAATGATCTACCGTCAATCGCAGGTACTATGAAATGGAGAGGGAAATGGTCGAGCTGGACGAGGGTGAACTGCCAGAGATATACCAAGACGAGGAGCGGTTGGACACCTCCGCGTACTACAGTCAGTTTAGCCAGAACACGTGCGACGTGCGAGCGCTGAACTCTGTCTTCACGTACCAGAATGAATACTTGGGAAACACGTTAGTCTTTTTTTTAAACGGTTGTTTTCTTTTTTTTTATGTGACAAAGTGACAAACGAGCTCAGCCGTTGTTAAGTGATAACCGCCGCCCATGGACATTTGCAACACTCGTAGGGTTGCAGAAGCGTTGCCACCTTGGGCCCCGGCTACCTCACTCATCAGACGAAACGCAGAAGCGTAACATTTCTACTTCAAGCTGGTATTCTTTGAGGTCGTGGTATTTACCCGGACGGACCAGCCTAATCGTGCAACAGTGAACACCGTTGCGTGGCCCTATCACCGAGAAAAGTGCGAGTCGAACTCTTACGCCGTTTTAGCAAATTTTTTGTAAAAGTTCGTGATTCTAGGTCAACGGCAACTTCCATATAAGTTTTCGACCCAAAACCTACATGGTACTTCTGGTTGACCTAGAGTTGTCAATTTTGGTTTAAAGCAGGGTCTTACAGCAGAAGAAAAGGGAAAATTCGGAAATATAAAAAAATTGAAATTTAAGAAAAATATTGGTACTTACAAGTTTTCGCGAAAATCTAAAGCCCATATCTTTTTTATCGTGTTGACCAAGTCAAGGAAACCTTTCCTCGACTTTTCGTTCCTGTGAAAATTGGTGGTGACACTCCGTGGCGTAGTTCCTATGGTATTGGCTTCGGCGTCGAGAGTTGTGGGTTCGATCCCCATACGTGACAGCTATTTGTGTGACCCACAGATAGTTGTTTCGCATCTGGGTGTCTGTCCACGTGAAATTTATGTTAATAATTCAGGATAATATGATCCTAAAGTGAGGGCATTGTTTTTTAAGAATAAACACAGAATTATAAAGACAAGAGAGTGATCTTATAGGGTTCCTGTTTAACCTTTTAAGGTATGGCCCCCTTAAATTAAGTGAAATTAAGAAAAATCAGATATATTTAATTTGAGACATTTCTGGATTTCATATTGCAGCGGTAGGCTAGTGATCACACCGCTGACGGATCGGTGCTACCTGACGCTGATGTGCGCGATGCACCTCAAGTTTGGGGGAGCACCGGCCGGCCCCGCCGGCACCGGCAAGACGGAGACCACGAAGGTGAAATATTACATATTTCCACTATGGCAGAGCTACGTAGCGACTCATTTTTTATATTATGTGAGACGGTGGCAAGCGAGCTGGCGGTTCACCTGATGTTAAGTGACAACCGCCACCCATGGACATTTGCAACAGCCAACAACGGAGACTGTTGCGTGGCCCTGCCACGGCTGTCATGCTGTATGAGAGCTTGTCGGGTCACATAAAAAAAATAACAACACTTGTGATCTATAATTCTTAGTGAGAGTAAAACCCGTTGCAGATACATTGCCACCTTTTAATATAGTGGGCTCCGGCTACCCCACTCACCAGACGAAACGCAGAAGTATAACACTTTCACTTCACGTCGGTCTTCTGTGAGGTCGTGGTGCTAACCCGGGCGGTCTTGCTCATTCACGCAAAGCCCTACCATAATTGATACAATCTGCTATCTCTCTTCACAGGACTTGGCTAAGGCGCTGGCAGTTCAGTGCGTTGTGTTCAACTGCTCGGATCAGCTGGACTTCATGGCGATGGGGAAATTCTTTAAGGGTTTGGCGGCGTAAGTAAAATTTGTCGCAAAATGAGAACTGTATAAATTATTGCAGATTCAGTATTACACCCGCTTAAGCATCACTTGTTTTAGCCTTATAGATCTTTTTATTGATACAGAAAAACGTTCACTGTGCGATAAAAAATGATGTGCGATGAAAAATGCAGAGATTAAACAAATAAAATTACATTTGTTTAATCTCTGCATGCAGTCATTACATTTTAATCTTAAATTTGAGCTGATACGGTGTGATAGTTGGTTTACGGAGTCGTGATAGCTCAGTGTCTAGGCGCTCGCTTTATATTCAACGCAATAGTAAACAGAGAGAAACGCTGCTGGAGGCACCAATTGCTTATTTATGATGTGCACTTCGATCGAGAAAAGCATCGTGAGAAAATCTGCATATTTTAGACAGTTATTAATACAATAAAAACGTGTTTTGAAGATATTTGAAGTCTGCCAATATGCCTCGGGGTCACGCTTGGAGGCCTTTGTTTAGTAGTGGGACAAATATAGGCTATTACTTATTACTTAACTTATTTCATACAATTTTGCAGTGAATTGAGTATTTCATATTATACAATGTCGTGGTGAATTTGTTTGGTCCTTTTTAGATCCGGAGCTTGGGCCTGCTTCGATGAATTCAATCGAATTGATATTGAAGTGCTTTCGGTGGTAGCGCAACAGGTACGTGAGTGTAATTCTGGTACATCTGTGATTTTAAGCACTGTATACAGTCATATACATATTTACATGTAATGTATACACATTACAATCTGTCTTGAAAGGGAAAAGAACCATGTAATTGCCTGAATCAAAGTTGGGTAGAGAATGGGTAGAATAATAGAAAATTAAATGTTTCTATACTTATTCTTTTCCATTATTCTTCTTCTTTTTACTACGCTTATCCCATGTATGTGGGATCAGGGTCGATATGTTAATTATGTTGTAAATGGTATTGGCTTGGTTTTTCACGATCTTTCGCCTGCCTCACGTCAACCTTCTTTAGAAACAAACACCCAGATCCGAAAAAATAATCTATGGATCACACAAGTTCTTGTCTCGTGTGAGAATCGAATCCACGACCTCCGTTGCCGAATGGTTTAGAAACTGCGCCACAAATCCATCTGTTTAGTTCCACAGTAATTATCAACATACATAATAAACAGATGACTAATTAATTACCTGTTAGTTCATCTGCTTCCGCTGCTTCCAATGCGTCCAGGTAAGTGCCACAACCTCACAGAATACTGGCGTGAAGTGGAATTGTCGTACTTCTGCGTTTCGTCTGGTGAGTGAGGTAGCCGGGGCCCAATTGATTAAAAGGTGGCAAAGCATCTGCAATCCTACAGGTGTTGCAAATCTCCACGGACGGCAGTTATCACTTAACATCAGGTGAACCGCCAGCTCGTTGGGCACTTTGTCACATAAAACAAAAAAAAACTAACTAGATTAAAGTTGGTGAAACGCTGTCACTTGCCACCTTCTCACATAAAAAAAATTACAAAAATTTTCCTTTTTTTTAAATCTTTCTCTTCCATTGTTCAGGTCGTCACAATACAGAAGGCACAAATCGCCAAGATGGACAGATTCATGTTTGAGGGTTGCGAGCTGCCTCTCAAAGCGTCGTGTTCAGTTTTCATCACTATGAATCCAGGATATGCTGGTAAGGGAGAAGAAGAAATTCTTCAATCTTATGCCGTGATAGCTCAGTGTCCGAATTGCTTTTAATTCATTATACTCGAGCAACTTGAGTTCAATTCAACATCATTCAGGCAACAAGGAAATTGCTAATTAAAATTTTATGTGCTGTCTTATCACGGTCTCAGTGGTGAAGGACGGACATCGTGAGGAAATCTGCATATTTTCGAAATTAAGAATGATTTTTCGATGATACAGATGTGAAGTCTGCCAATCCGCAGTGAGGTCGCGTGGTGGACTATGCCTTGACACCCTATATACAGGGGTTGCCTTTGCCCAGCAGTGGAATACATTTGGCAGTTATATAACTTGTGTTGTGAGTGTTATAACTTGATGTGTATACGTTTCGCATATGTAAATTGCAAATAGTATCTTAAGTTTTGTACAGAAAGGAAGTTACAGATATAGAGTTTGTTTTAAATTCTTCCGATTCTAATGAAAATTACCATGTAGCTCGATCTCTCTCTCGATGCTCTTCACTAGATAGTATGAAACAGAGTCGTCCCGCTGTCTGTCTGTCCTAAGTATCCCTAGATCTTTAAAACTACCCAACGGATCTTGATGCGGTTTATTTTACTAGATAGAGTGATTCAAGAGGAAGGTTTATACGTATATAATACATTGCACCCGTGCGAAGCCGAGGCGGGTCGCTAGTCCTTACTAATATTATAAAGGCGAAAGTTTATGTATGGATGGGTGTTTGTTACTCTTTCACGCAAATACTACTGAATGGATTTTAATGAAACTTTACAATAATATAGCTTATACATCAGAATAAGACATAGGCTATAATTTATATAATATTTTTATGTATATCTGTCTTTTTGTCTGAATGTTACGCCTTCAGCCTATTCTACGCAGGCGTAGTCGCGGGCAGCAGCTAGTTTATTATAAATCTTCTACTGCGATTTATTTGTATTTGTATTGGCCAGGGCGAACGGAACTGCCGGACAACTTGAAAGCCCTCTTCCGCCCCATCGCCATGATGGTCCCGGATTACGCGCTCATCGCGGAGATATCCCTCTTCTCGTACGGCTTCTTCGAGGCCAAGATCTTGGCTGGCAAGATCACCACGACGTTCAGGCTCAGCTCTGAGCAGCTGTCCACTCAGGTATGAGACTACTGTAGATCAGGGTTTTACATTACTTCTAGTTTTTGAGGTGGATCATTATGATTGTTACCTTGAATGTGAAAGGCACTTTAAGAAATGGAATTATTTCAATTATGTTTGTTGCAGAACGCTTATTGATTTTTGCTATTCTCACAATTTGCTTAGATCTGTTATTAATTAAAGAGTAGTTTGTATGTTTGAAATATTAACACTATATTAATAATTTATTGTATTTACGTGAATAGTGCACTTTGATTAATGAAACAATTATTACTGTATCATCGCGTTTGTTTTTAAATTTCTTAGTTTTAAACCAAACAAGTTTTCATTCTGTGAGCACATTCTGAATCTCCAACCACTATATCAGTTTCAATAGACCTAAAAATGATTCGTTGGGTCATTGAAATTAACAAACACCCTAATCAAAAAACAGATGGAAATTACCGTCAATTTGTGATCTTATGATTAATAAAATTAAATCTAGGTTCAAACTAACCAACAATGCAAGACTAGGCTTAATAAGCACCTTTTACATTTCAAAAACTGATGGTATCACGAGTTAACACCGATATTCAGACGTCTAACGCCTCAATCTATCCCGTAACCATTGCAAAGCATGCGAAACATCGGGAATTAAAACAAACGCGATAAATTAGTAAAAGCAGTTTCATTTAATATAAGTAATATAGTTTAATATACTAGAACCCTTTGATTCAAGACATCACTCAGCTAAAATTTACAAATGAAATACATGATTGTAGAATACAGTTAATGTAAACAAAGAAATATAACGGCAAAATTATTCGACATCGATTGACGATAGACTTTGACGCGTTTGATTTTTGGTACGGTATGCAGGACCATTACGACTTCGGAATGCGGGCGGTCAAGACTGTGATACTGGTGGCGGGCAACCTGATTAGGCAGATGCCTGATGCTGACGAGAGGCAGATAGTGCTGCGCGCTTTGAGAGACGTCAACGTGCCCAAGTTTCTAGCGGACGACCTGCTCCTCTTCAACGGTTAACTGACCGATTTCTACCTTTTTAGTATTTTTCTTCTTCTTCTTCTTCTTTTTCGTTCGTTCTTTGTCATGCGCCAGTTCAATGGATCGTTGTAGAGTTTCTCCCGTTGCCTCTACAATACTTTTACTTTTTTTAGTATTCACATGGTCCATTTTTTTAAGTGCGAAATTGAGTCGCGGTGAGCGATAATCGTCGCTCGTTGATTTTGCAACAACCGTTGGGCTGCCACCTTTTAATAAAGTGTGCCTCGTCTACCTCACTCATCAGGCAAAACGCAGAAGTGTTACACTTCAACTTTACGCCGGCCTTCTGTGAGGTCGTGATACTTACCCGGACGAGCCTGCCCATTCGTGCAACAGAAGTTCTGTTGCGAGGCCCTACCACGTTAAATGAAAATACCACGAAAAATGAAATGATGAAATCAATCATCTTCAACATTTTACGGACATAAAAAGAGGAGTCATATTAAATGTCATATTAGATGTTCAGACATAATTAGAATGAGAAACTGGTGAGTGAGGTTGCCGGATGCCCACTTCCCCCCCCCCCCCCCCCCCTTCTTCTATAACATGCTAGCGGTATCGGAAAAAAACCTACCCCAGGGGGGTACCAGTCCCAGTGGTTCTGGAGAATCCCCCCCTGGGCGGCTGCGACCAGATGGCTATTCGCTTTCTGAGCGTAGGCGCTCAGGCTGCCCCACGTATTCTGGGGGGGGGGGGGCAAATACCGCTCTCAACTCCCATTACTCGAGGCAAACGTAGCAGGCTCACTTCGGCAACCCCTTCCACGCTCTCCGTAGATTTGTGCAACATCAGGGGACTTCTTTACAACCTTAATGCCGTTCACTACCACCTAGAGACGGCAAAGCCGGCCTTGCTGTTCCTTACTGAGACTCAGATATCTTCTCCGGCTGATACCTCTTTCCTTTCCTACCCCGGGTACAAATTGGAACATTCCTTTGTACCGCGGGCGGGGGTGTGCGTGTACGTCAGAGAGGATATCTGTTCTCGTCGCCTCGGCAGTCTTGGAGGACGGGACCTATCCATCCTCTGGCTACGCGTAAACTGCGACGACCATCCGCGTATCTACGCGTGCCTATATAGGTCACATAGCGGTAATGCCGAAACTGACCAACTCATTGAGCACATCCAAATGGCTACAGACTCCGTGCTGCAGCAGATCCCATCCGCAGAGATCGTGATTCTAGGCGACTTTAACGCCCATCACGCCGAATGGCTCAGTTCACGCACCACCGATCATGCGGGGAGATCTGTTCACAACTTCGCAATAGCTTATGATCTGACACAACTGGTCACCTCGCCAACGCGAATCCCAGATGTGGAGGATCATACACCTTTCCTGTTGGACCTTCTGCTGACCTCGCATCCGGACGGCTACCTGGTTTCCGTCGATCCTCCTCTTGGTTCGTCGGACCACTGTCTTGTCAGGAGTACAGTGCCCGTTGCGCGCTCTACACGGCCTCGCTTCGCAGGCTGCCGCCGCGTATGGCACTATAGGTCAGCAGATTGGGACGGGATGCGGTCATTCTTTGCGTCCTACCCATGGGGGCAGATTTGCTTCTCGTTGGATGATCCAGACGCCGTTGCTGACTCTGTCACCGATGTGGTGCTTCAGTGTATGGAAATGTTTATTCCATTTTCTGCAATACCCATCGGTGGCAAATCCCAGCCTTGGTTTGGTCGTTCCTGCAAGACGGCATTACGCCGAAAGTGGGAATGCTACCGAGCCTGGGCTGAAGCTTCGGCGTCTAGTGATGTAAAGACCAGCGCATTAAAAAAGGAGTATAACTCTGCTTCTAGGTCCTTCAAAAGCGTTATTGCTAAAGCGAAGTTGGAGCACATTAGCAGAATTGGCGAGAGATTGGCGCGTCTCCCATCGGGAACACGTGCGTTTTGTTCTCTCGCCAAAGCTGTCTTAGGGAATTTCTGTAAGTCATCTTTTCCACCCCTGCACACGAGGATGATTTGTTGGCCCATGCCGCGAAGGAGAAAGCCGATCTTCTGGGCTCTCTCTTTGCGTCCAACTCGACTTTGGATGACCGAGGAAACTCCAAACACCATCAATCCCCCAGTGCGACGTTACGATGCCGGAGGTAAAATTCCGGCAAAGTGCAGTTCGCAAAGCACTTCTTTCCTTGGACATTCACAAGTCGAGTGGGCCTGATGACATCCCTCCGATCGTGTTACAGACATGTGCTCCAGAGTTGGCGCCGGTTTTAACGCGTCCCTTCCGGCACTCCTATACTTTAGGCGTAGTCCCGAAATCATGGAAGGCCGCGTTAGTGCACCCGATCCCTAAAAAAGGCAACCGCTCTGATCCGTCCAATTACAGGTCAATAGCCATCACCTCCTTGTTCTCCAAGATAATGGAGTCTGTTATCAACGGCCAGCTCCTGCGGTACCTAGAGGAGCACCGGCTGATTAGCGACCGCCAGTATGGATTTCGTCGGGGTCGCTCAGCCGGTGATCTTCTGGTCTACCTTACACATCGATGGGCAGAAGCAGTTGAGAGCAAGGGGGAGGCGCTTGCAGCCAGTCTGGACATAGCGAAGGCCTTTGATCGGGTATGGCACAAAGCGCTTCTTTCAAAGCTGCCTTCCTATGGGCTTCCCGAGAAATTATGCAATTGGATCACCAACTTTTTGGCAGATCGGAGCATCAAGGTCGTCGTCGACGGTGCATGCTCCGATCCTAAATTTGTCAATGCTGGTGTTCCACAAGGCTGCGTACTGTCTCCTACTCTGTTTCTTCTGCATATCAATGACATGTTGCAAATCAGCAACGTCCATTGTTATGCAGACGATAGCACTGTGGATGTCTCGTACACTGGCCGAGCCAACATTTCTCGGGAAAACGTCCACGAGTGTCGGAACAAGCTTGTGTCTGAGGTCGAGACTTTGTTAACCAAAGTCTCAGACTGGGGTCGACTAAACCTAGTCCAATTCAACCCCAAAAAGACACGACAAAAGTTTGCGCGTTAACCGCTAAAAAGTCCCCATTTGTCGTGACTCCTCATTTCGGGAACACTCCCCTACCTGCCACAGCTAGTATCGGAATGCTTGGCATCGAAATCTCGAGCAACGTCCAGTTCCGCTTTCAATTGGAAGGTAAGGCCAAATTGGCCTCAAAGAAGCTTGGCGTGCTCAGCAAGGCGAGACGGTACTTCACGGCTTGCTGCAACGCTTAAACCTGTATAAGGCGCAAATTCGGCCCCACATGGAGTACTGTTCTCACCTCTGGGCGGGAGCACCCTATTACCAGTTTCTTCCATTTGACCGCATTCAACGTAGGGCGGCTAGGGTTATCGGCGATCAAAGTCTTTCCGATCGGCTTGATCCTCTGGCTCTGCGTAGAGATGTTGGATCACTCTGCATCTTCTACCGCATTTATCACGGGGAGTGTTCTGAGGAATTGTTTGGATTGATCCCGGCGGCTGAATTCCACCATCGGACATCGCGCCAGAACCAAAAATTTCATTCACACCACCTCGATGTCCAGCGCGATTTTTAAGGCATTTCTTGCCTCGCACAACCACTCTGTGGAACCAACTGCCGCCGGCGGTCTTTCCGAACCGTTACGACCTGGGAACCTTCAAAAAGAGAGCGTACTCTTTCTTAAAAGGCCGGCAACGCATTTGTGAGCCCTCGGGTGTTGCAGGTGTTCGTGGGCGGCGGTAATCACTTACCATCAGGTGAGCCTCCTGCTCGTTTGCCCCTTTTCTCCATAAAAAAAAAAAATCAGCCGTAGGACGTCCACTGCTGAACATAGGCCTCCCCCATTGACTTCCACTTCGACCGGACCGTGCATTCAACGCGTCGATCTTGGCTAGGTCGTCCGTCCACCTTGTGGGAGGCCTTCCTACGCTGCGCTTGCCGTCACTATTATTTAGGGGACTTGATTTAGGGGAAGAACGAATAAAAATACCTATACCATTAACTTCAGAATACGAACAGTATATAATATTTATATTTTACTTGTAGTATTTTGTTCTATACATTAGTTGAAACGGGGGTGTATTATTCAAAATCTTGTTTTCATAGGTATAATTTCGGATCTCTTCCCTCGTGTCGAAATACCAGTAGTGGACTATGGTATAATGGAACAGTCTATCAGGAATATGTTGGTGAAAAGGGGCTACGACGAATTGTATAGTGAGTGTCAATTAATTTATTTTAAAAAAATGTATTGAATAAACCTAGTTTTCCGATTGTATGTAAATCTTTTAAAGCCATAATGTAAGTATGATATGTGTTTTCAGCATTCATTTTTAAGGTCATACAACTGTATGAAACCACGGTGGTGCGTCACGGTTTGATGCTAGTGGGTCCGGCCGGTTCAGGTAAAACTAAGGTAACGTTATAACTAGGTATTAATTTATATTTTATTAAAATTTGTAGAAAAAAATAACGAAAAGATTTTCGCCGTTGTGTGAATCGATCGAATCCCGAAGACGTGGGTTCCTTTTTTCTACAATTTATAATGTTTAATCTTAAGTAAAGAGATTAGCACTATAAGAAGTTAAAATGTATATTTTGTTAGCAATCGTTTGAGTTAAAAAGTTTTTGACATCTTACAACGTAACACTTAAGACAAATAAGTGTAACCCCTTTTAAGTGTGTACATTTGATGGCCACGCAGCATCTTCTGCGGTTGCACGAATGGGCAGGCTCGTTCGGGGAGGTACCACGAGCTCAGAACGCTGTGTGAAGTGGAAGCATCAACTTTCCGAGTTTCGCCTGGTGAGTGAGGTAACCGGGGCCCGCTTTTTTATTAGTTGACACATAAAAAAAAAAAAAAAAAAAAGTTGACAACGCATCTGTAGTCCATCAGGTGTTGTGGTCGTCCGTGGCCAGCGGTAATATCTTAACATCAGGTGACCGCCTGCTCGCTTGACAACTTTTCACATTAAAAAAAAAGATTAGAGCGCCATGTATGTATACATGGCGCTCTAATCTTTTTTAGAAGCAGAAAAATTGAGATTTGTAAATCTCAATTTTTCTGCTTCCATTTTTGAGCGTCGGGGCCGTGGTGACCCACTGGATACCGAGGTTAAGACTAGGTCAAACCAGGAAGTCATTTCTTCGTAGCTCTTAACTTACATTATAGAATAGAGTCCACAAACAATTAAGTGTATATAATTTCAAACATTTTGTAAAAGCTACCTTTGTACAAGGATGTGTGGAAATGACTCTTGCTCTGCACTTGCAAGTCCCCTGGCTCCTGCTAATTTTATACTTAAACCCTTTTGTGTATATACTTAACTCACAGAAAAAAAAATATGACCGCAGAAATTCTTGCCGGTTCTTTTCTGGCAAGTCTAGTTTAGAGAACCGGTGGTAGTTTTTGACGTTCTAGCCTAAATAAGCCTATGCTGAATAAAGAAATTTTGATTTTGACTGAGTAGGGTATGTACCTACACTATAATGTGATAGAGAATTTGTTGCCACCAGTGCTACGAGGTGCTACGCGACGCCCTGACGGCCATCAAGGGGAAGCTTGCTCCAGACGGGTTCCCCTTCACGCCCGTCCACACGTTCGTCGTCAACCCAAAGTCGATAACGATGGGACAGCTCTACGGCGAATTCGATTTGCAGACCCACGAGTGGTGAATTGATTTTTGAGTGAATGATTTATTGATGATATGAAGTATTTTTTTTATGCGAAAAGTTGCCAATTAAGTGAATACCGTCGCCCATGGACATCTGGTCCATGGTCCCGAGGGTTCCAGATGCGTTGACAACCTTTTTTAAAATTGGGCTCCGGCCACCTCACTCACCAGACGAAACGCGAAAGTATTATACTTCCACTTTACGCCGGTCTTCTGTGAGGTCGTAGTACTTACCCGGTCGAGCCTGCCCATTCGTGCAACAGCCGAGGCTGTTGCGTGGCCCTACCACCCTGACCAGTCGTGTATTTTGTCGAAAGTATTTACGGAATTTACATATTTCCACATTATTACGTCAATTTTTGTGTGACTGATTGTGACTGATTATAATATGTGGGAATAATTGGCTCTTGTCATGTAATTACAAATTACGAATTATTTTAGTTAACAGTTATTTAGTGGCCTTCAATTTTTGACGTCGATGTTTCGATACTTTAATTCTATTTCTTTAAAAAATTTACGGTCGAATATCTATCATTCCTATAAATATTCACCCACATTCAGACAACTGAGTTCAAGCAGACACATACGTAACACACGATTTAAAACCGGTTTCAATATTCTATCTACATATTGATTTGGTCACTGGAGATAGAATTTTAACTTAAGTATTACGGAGGTAATGTCATATACCTATCGCTAGTAACCAAATCTATTTGTAGATAGGATATTAAAATCAGCAGTTAGTCAAATAAAATATTTTATGCATTCACTTATACAGAGTAGATTCAAACAGCTTTATACTTTAAAAAACAGGTTGTAATTAATAGCAGCCCTGAACGTTAAACGGAGCAGAAATGATAATTTCCTATTGTTAATTATTGTTAATGTAAGAAGATGGCAAACGAGCCGGCGGTTCGCCTGATGTTAACTGATAGCCACCGTCCATGAAAATGAACATGTTTTATTGTTTATATTTATAGATGCGCTGCCACCTATTAATAAAGTGAGCCCCAGTTATCTCACTCACCGGACGTAACGCAGAAGTGTAACATTTACAATTCACGCGTATCTTCTGTGATCTGTGATCGTGGTACTTCCCCGGATTGACCTGCCCATTCGCGCAACACTGAAAACTGTTGCGTGGCCATACCACAGTTAAAATATAGTAGATATTCAATAAAGTTAAACTTCTTACTATATTTTTTAATCGTTGCTCATTAAGTTTGTTAACTGGTCTGATATTCGCTTGGATTCATTCATTATTAAGGCACACCAAATGTTATCAATATTATATTTATACCAGGACTGACGGGATCCTATCGAGCCTGGTGCGTGCCGGTATCGCCGTTGAGGATACGGACAAGCGGTGGTACATATTCGACGGGCCCGTCGACGCGGTCTGGATCGAGAATATGAACACGGCGAGTGCCTCCTTGCTTACTTTGTCACATAAAAAAAAACTTTAGTTTTCCTTTTATAATGGCTATCGTAATATATAGGTGTTGGACGACAACAAGAAGCTGTGCCTCTCGAGCGGTGAGATCATGAAGCTGACGGAGCGTCAGCGGATGATCTTCGAGGTGGCGGACTTGGCGGTGGCGTCGCCGGCAACGGTCTCCCGCTGCGGGATGGTCTATTTGGACGCGAAGGTGGTCGGTCTACAGCCGCTTGTGAACGCCTGGCTGAAGAGCAATTTGCCATCGGTGAGATGGTAAAAGTTATATATTAACAATCTGTGTCATTATAATCATCACTAGCCAGAAGACGTCAAAGTTTGAACAAAGGCCTCCCGCTTAGAACGATACAAACTAATGACACTTTGCCATTTGCAACCACACCGGTTGCCTGCGATTCTTACTATGAACTCCTATAAGTAAACTAAAGTATTAACGAGTGTGTATTGATATTTTTTATCAGCACCCTCCTGCCCTTATCCTACCAAGGTGGAGCCGGCACAACATGTGAATCATAATTATTGTAATCGGTTGTGGCTATGATTTTTTATGACCAGGCTAGGCGTTCGGTCACCAACATTCCTTGGCAATGTTGACGACCGAACGACTAGATCCGGAAAAATTATCTGTGGGTCACACAAATACTTGCTCCGTGTGGGAATCGAACCCACGACCCCCGATGCAGAAACCAATAGTTTAGATACGGCGGCACCGAGTCATCATATTTGTAAAAACTTGGATAAATATTTGATAGGTACCTATTTCCTGGTTCAAATGCCTAGAAAAGTTAATATCAGAGCTTTCAAAATGTATTTCTAATATAGATGGATTTTTCCCGTGTTTAGGCAACGCAGCAGTCTTTGCTGTTGCACGAATGGCTAGGTTCGTCCGGATAACTACCACTACCTTACAGACAACCGGCGTGAATTAAAAGTTATACTTTTGCAAGTCTGGTGAGTGGCGGAACCCACTTTCTTAAAAGGTTGCAACTCACCTGCAACTCTAAAGGTGTAAACCCTCGCATAAGAAAAGATCTACGCGTGACGTGACAGTAAATGTGGTTAAAAAATTTGTCCGACATAGATTGGCGACAGTATCCGCAAGCTGCTGCCGGTCTTAATAGAAACGTACCTGTATCCATCGCTGCGGCTACTGAGGGAGAGTCTCACGGAGCTGGTGCCGTCTATCGACTCTGCGCTGGTGCTCAAGTTCCTCGAGCTGCTCGACTACCGGCTGCGTCCGCTCACCGGGAAGGACGACCGTCCACCACCGGCTGCACCATTCCTGGCCCTTATGCGTGAGCTCAACCTATTTGTTAACCGTGGTAGGGCCACGCAAGTCTCCGCTGCTGCGTGAATGGGCGGGTCCGTCCAGGGAAGTACCATGACCTAACTAAAGACCGGCGTGAAGTGGAAGTGTTGCACTTCTGAGTATCGTCTGGTGAGTGAGGTAGCCGGGGCCCGTTTTATTAAAAGGCGGCAATGCATCTGTAACCCTAAAGTATCAGCCTATACATGTCCCACTGCTGGGTAGAGGCGTCCTCTGTACAGAGGGTGTTAGGGCATAGTCCACCACGCGGCCCCACTGCGGATTGGCGGACTTCACATATCTTCCAATTATTATTTTTTTGTTATTATTTCGGAAATATGCAGGTTTCCTCACGATGTTTTCTTTCACCGCTGAGCACGTGATAATTCAGCACTTAAAATTGATAATGTCATTGTTGCTGGCACCGGGGATCGAACTCAGGTTGCTCGACTATATTAAATTAAAGGTGAACACTCGGACACTGAGCTATCACGGCTCTATCCTCTATCTGTAACCCTAAGGGTCTTGCAAATGTCAATGGGCGGTTATCACTTAACATCAGGTGAACCGAAGGTATTTTGCCACCTTCTCATATTAAAAATAATAAAGAACACGTAACAACTATCTGTGTGGCCATCGGGTAATTGTTTTGTCCACGTGAAATATATGTATGTGACACGTCCTTACAACGCAGGATAATGTCACCCTACAGTAGGGGCAATGCTAAAAAAGTCAGCAGTCGTAGTCCTTAAAGCCGTTTGTAAAAGAAGCTTTTGTCTCGTGTGGGAATCGAACCCGAGGCCCTCAACGCCGAAGCCAATTCCTTGACGACTGCACCACGGAGTCACCAAAACGTTACTTCACTAACCTCAAATACCACCGGCAGCCAAGCTCGCGCCTTGCTGGGTGGTGTGGTCCGTGATCTGGTCTGTGGGCGCAACCTGCGACCACAATAGCAGGGTCACCTTCTCGCAGTACATGCGTCAAGTGATGATCGAAGCTGGTATGAAGCCACTCTTCCCCGCTGAGGGCCGGGTCTACGACTACACGTGAGCCCAAACCATTCGTTGACCGTAATCTTTTAGCTGGTAGGGCCACGCAACAGTGTTCGCTGTTGCACGAATGGGCAAGTCCGTCCGGGGAAGTACCACGAGCTCTGATGAGAACAGACGTGAAACGGAAGTGCTATACTTCTGCGTTTCGTCTCTTGAGTGAGGGGCCACATGTTAATAAATTCGCCGGGTGCCAATTTATTAACATGTGGCAATGCACCTGCAACCCAACGGGTGTTGCAAATGTTCACTGGCGGCGGTTATCACTTAACATCAGGTGAGCCGCCAACTCGTCAGCAGCGTATTGACTTGATATTTGTTCACAACATAACTATTGTGTATAGAGTGTTTATGTATACTTTTTATTCGTAAGGTTCAATGGAAATTAAGGAAAAAATTCACGGGGTCGCAGAGGTGAATGCTTGAAACAACTTAACTCGAATTGAAATATTTTGGAGCACAATTGTTGTATGTGATAGATAGACTTTGTAACAGCAGAAAATTGATTAACTTTGTATTACATACACATGCACAGTAAATAATAGAAAGTTTTTGGCAGGTTGCACGATGGAGGATTTACAGATCCAACTGACGATGGTGAGCCAGCTAGTCCATATTGGTACAGTTGGATGGCCAACGTGGAAGAGTACGAAGTGGATCCCGAGCGTCCCTTCTCCGGTAACTGAATTTATTTCTTTATGAGATGCTTCATATAGCTATGTTTATTTCTCTTCTTCTTCTACGTACTTCTTCCTTTATTTTGTTAATGAGCCTCTTCTTAAATATAAGCAATGGTTATTTTTCTTTACCTGCTTCTTCCGTAACTTTATAGAGTAAAATTTAAAGACAATAACAAAACATAATCGCCTTCGTCCTTCTTCTCCACTGATTTGTTTTACCTATTGGTTGAATTTCGCACACAAACAGATCGAGTAAGACTACAAATATGTTATATATGTTCAGGCTTCGTAGACTACCACTTAAACCGTGTTGAGAAATAAGAATCATTATCCTATACATTTTAATCAATTTTATGTAATCTATTTTCATTGGCAATATTTCTGATTTAATTCTTCTCTCGTGTATATTTATGTTATTCATATGTATTTTATATTTATTTAAGTTTATTGTTCTTTACATTTTAGTTTATTTTTTCTTGTCTTAAGGTGGTCTGGAAGAGATCGCTTTTTAACGATAAGACCGCCTTATTGTACATAGCTTTTAAGACTTATTTTATATTAATTTTATTAAATTCTTTGTGGTGTACAATAAAGTATATATAATAACAACTCGGCAGACATCGAGGTGCCGACCATGGACAACGTTCGCAGCGCGGCGCTGCTCGGCTACAAGGTGACCAACTTCAACCACGTGGTGTGCGCCGGCCCCACCGGCACCGGCAAGACTGTCACCATCACGTCCAAGCTCACCCGTGGCCTGCACAAGAAGTTCATTTGCGAGTTCATCGTGTTCTCGGCACGGACCTCCGCTAACCAGACGCAGGTGAGGGCTCGTTACACATTCATCATCATCATTATCATCAGCCGTAAGATGTCACAACGTTGAAATTTCGACATTGTTTTTTTTCTGGAGATTACAATATCTGCTGTTAAAACTTGTTATATTATTCTTTGCTACCACGATGGTACCCTAATGTTCTTTATGCAGTCGAGGATTTCGTTCATAATAGATATACAGCGTGTCGTTACCACCGCGACAATAAATGAACACACATATAGAGGATAACTTTTTAAAATTGTATTAAACATTTACATTCTTTAAACATCAATATTTACCGAGTTATTAAATTTTCCAAAACAAACAATTTTAGAACACCCTTACGTATAAAACTGTAACGTAAAGTTCATTTGTAAAGGTCACAAAGCATGTGAATGGGTTAAATGAATTTAAAAGAGACAAAACATACTGTTAGAAGGAGAGGCATGTAATGCGAAGCTGTGGCGCGAGTTGTATAGGATGTTACAAATTTTGTTTCTTTTTTACTTAATTAGTTTATTTGAAAAATATTTTTTTTTTAATTATGGATTTTGTTTAACGTTAATATTTTTTTATGATTATTGGCAAGTAGCGTTAGACGTGTGTTCATTTATTGTCGCGATGGTAACGACACGCTGTATGTATGTGCTGATACCTAGCTTTTGTGATGATTTCATACGAATAGGACGTGATCGATAACAAGTTGGAGCGACGTCGTCGCGGCGTCTTCGGCCCGCCGCCAACCAAACGTATGGTGTTCTTCATCGACGACCTGAATATGCCTGCGTTGGAGGTCTACGGTGCCCAGCCGCCCATCGAGCTACTCAGGCAGTTCATGGACTTCTCCGGTAAGCGGCAATAACCAAGCACTTTGACAGACACTTTTATTTGAAATAATTAAGCACTTCTCATCTGTTAGCTTCTCACGAGAAATGATGATATAAAGTGTGTATATGAATAGATATTTTTCGGTACAATATCTAGTCCCAAACTAAGCAAAGCTTGTACATGGGTACTAGAAAACTGATAAACATACTTAGACGTACTTTTCTTTCGTAAATAAATACATATAATAGATATATAAACACCCAGACACTATGTTCATCACACAACATTTTTCCAGTAGTAGGTATTGAACCCACACCTTGTGGCGCAAGAGACAGGGTCACTATCAACTACGTCAATTGGGTCGTCAATATATGACACCAAAGTCGATTTACACCACGGGTGTTGCAGATGTCCATGGCAAGAGGTTGTCAGTTAATATCAGCTCGCTTGCAGCCTCCTCTCATTATTTGTTGCAAAGGCTGGTACGACCGCACCAACATTGGCGAGTTCAAAACCCTGGTCGACGTGAACATCGTTGCGGCGATGGGACCGCCAGGTGGTGGCAGGAACCCTGTCACCATGCGCCTCATGAGGCACTTTCATTACATCTCCTTCACTGAAATGGAGTACAGCAGCAAGGTACATTACACAGACTCAACATGTCTTCTTAAATAATGTAGAAGATTGTGTTACAGTGTGAAGCTTCGATATGCGTTATTTTGATTCGATTGAATCAAAATTTAAAGGATTTTCCATCGCCTTTGTAGTTTTAAAGGAATGTTGTAGTTTTAGAAGTTTAAATCATGCCCAAGTTATTACTTCTTTACAATCTCTTTGAACACCAATGAAAGATAAATCCAGTGAATTGTTCAGCCTGTTCTGGCAATAGCATAGGATAGATGTTATGTATCAATGTAATATAAAACTTCTTTATGGGCAATTTCAAGTTGTTATTTCAGTATGCGATATTCAGTGTGATTCTTCATTCCTGGGCGAAAAACATGGCGAAAGTATCCATTCGAGAGGACCCCTTCCTTAAAAGTTCGATTGAGGTTTTTAAATCTCTAGTCGAGGAGCTACTGCCCACGCCGACTAAGTCACATTACACCTTCAATTTGAGGGATTTGAGCAAGGTCTTCCAAGGAATTCTGATGATGGATCCTCAGTCGATTAAGGTATATATTGTAGTACGTATAATAAATAATAACAACCAGAAGGTCGAAAGCAACGGTTCGACAAATAGTCTCATATGATTAATAAATAATAATAAATTTTACAATGTCATTATGCCCTCAAACAGAAGTAACCCCTTATCCATAAAATCTAATTTAAAGTTGCTCCGTTAGTTCTGAAAGAGTCAACTACAGGCTTTCTAACAGTGTTTTTAGTTTACGTTATCGAAATCACTTGCATCGCAAGTGTTTACACAATCATTTGATTTCTCCGTTTTATATGTGCCTAAAGTAAATGGGTATATAACAATTCAAAACAAGAATTTGACTAACGTTCTATCTTGACCGGTCACTGTTTGGCGTCGCGAAAAGTGTGCTGACGTTATAAAAATTTTGAACACAACTTGCATCCATAGCCTTTTTCAATCATACCATTTTATACAGATATAAAAATGTTTGAAGACGTAAGCTCGAGGAGTTGTATTTTACTTTGAATTTTAGAATTTACAAAACTATTTTAGGATGAAGATCAAGTGATAAGGCTGTGGTATCATGAGCATCTTCGGGTGTACCAGGATCGTCTTGTCAACAATGAAGATAGAAAATGGTTTATCAAGTAAGTTAATACAAAAGACTAAAGCTCTATTTATATTAGTCAAGGGCAGTGGCGCGTAGCGAGTACGAGTACGAGTACAGTGGACAGTGGCGCCCACCTGACAAGTGGCTGTTTGCACTAAAGCGTGGACATACAACATCAAAAAATATGTGTAATTTTGTTGCACTAATTTTACTGTTTGTAATGAACATAAATAAACATAGAAGCATTATTGTCGCTCCAAAATAACGTAACGATAAACTATACCGTGACGGCGGGGGGCTTATAAACAGTACCGCGAGGCTATTTTGGAGATTTAGATTTAGTAGAACTAACATTTCATAACTTCATTTTTGTTTGACGGCGCGTGATAACTGTCAGTGAGAGTTGTGGTGTTATTTATTAAAAATCACTTGCATGACCGTGCAGCTTCTGTATATTATTACCGTTCACTGACTGTTAGCACTACGGCAAGTGACGAGTCAAATAAAATAGAAATCGATTCTATTTCGACCTAGTTGAAAGGCAGCTTACAAATCTAATTGACTCGCTACTCTCCGAAGGTGTACAACACCACCACTTGGCTTGGGCTTAAGAAAAGGTAGGAAGCCGACAACTTGTTGCCAAGGGATACTTCAGCTGACACATCAGCTATCACAGTACTGCTGTTATTGTTTGTGAACCATCATCACTATCATGATGATAGTGATGAACCATCATCACTATCATCATGATAGGGATTATGGTGATGTTGATGACGATGATGAAGATAATGATGATGATGATAATGATCGCAATTCTATTCCCTTATCTATTCAGCTTGCTAAATAAGAAGGTTAAATCGGAGTTTGGCAAGAAACCGGACGACGTAATTGGCGGAAGGCTGATGCTGTTTGGAGATTTTATGGACATTGGTAGCGATGATCGCAAGTACGTTGAGATCGAAGACCGAGATGAGGTGAGTAAGCAATCAAAGTCAAAGTCAAAGAGAAATTCAAAGTTTCTTTTTTCAATACTGTTAAACATGAATTCGCCCGCGCTGTCAAAGGGAATTAACAATGTGTTTTTTATTATATTGCCAGCGGAATAGGCCGGGTAGGCCCGGGACTAGGGCGGCATAATTTAGGGGGCGGCAAATTAGAGGGATTTTTTTAGTAGTCGTACCTTAAGCCTCTCGCTCAGAAAATAATAAATCAAGCGGGCCGGATGAGTAGGTACCATTCTTCTGTTAAATGATCAGATATCATTTACCGACTTAGAGAATGGCAGAATTTTCTTCTACTTAATTGACACTTATCGTTATATTTTAGACAATTCAGGCAATATCTTTATAAATTATATCCTACATGTTATTCTGATATATTAGCTATGTTATTGTAAAGTTTCATTAAAGTCCATTCAGTAGTTTCAGAGTGAAAGAGTAATAAACAACCATACATACAAACTCGCGTTTATAATATTAGTAAGGATAAGGGTAGTAGTAAGTAGGAAATCCTCGTCGCCAGCTGAACGACATCCTGTCTCATTACCTGGACGACTACAACCTGTCTTCGACTGCACCCATCGACTTGGTGCTGTTCGAGGACGCTGTGTCGCATCTGTGCCGAATCGCGCGCATCGTCCGCCAGCCAATGGCCAACGGGTTGTTGCTCGGAATGGGTGGTTCTGGTGCGTAAGGATGGGGCAGTATATTTATGAAACGAAAATTCGATTCCCACACAGGGCTAATTTATGAGTGATACACAAATGATTGTTCTGGACCTGGGTGTTTGTTACCAAGGAGATTGATGTGAGACAGTTTGGCTCAGTTTTTCTAGGCAGGCAAGTTGCTCATTAGGTGATGCAAAGCAGTGCTAAAATGGACTCTGCACGCGTTATAGAGAAGACGCATTTTCGAATATTGACAGCGTCGAAAATTTTCGATAATCAATCTATTTAACTCATCATCCTCCTGCTGCCCGTATCCCAACTTTTTTGGTTTTTTTTTTGGTATCGGGGGGGAAATCTTCGTAAGATACCCTGTCATTCTGTGACAGGGTTATGTGGGGTTCTTACCCACTAAAACCCCCTCGGTGGCCACCTTCTGTACGTTTGGAGGGACTCCGGGATCTCCTACGGAACGCACCGGTGTCCCTCGGTACCGGGCGTGAGCACGCCTCGGAGAAGGATAAACCTTCCCCGATTCCCTCACCATCTTGCAGCAGCTCGACGCCACTTCGCGCTGCTGCCAATCCATGTCCCCTTTTAGTCGCCTTTTACGACAGGCAGGAGATACCTTAGTCCTATTCTAGAGCCAGGGACTACAGGGCTGACGGGGCAGCACGTCTGCCCCTGCCGACCTGGCGCCGCCGTCTCCGAGCTTGATCGGCCCTCTCCCTTTCCTGCTCGCCTTTATCCCACCTAGGTGGGGTCGGCATAACATCTCAACCATGTAATTTTTACCTACCTGACGTCAACCGTCCTTGAGAAACAAACAACTAGATGCGGAACAAATAATATTGTGTCACACAAATACCCGTCCCGTGAGGAAATCGAACCCACGACCCCACACGCCGAAGCCAATAGCTTAGCAAAGGCGCCAGCGAGTCATCTATTTAACTCATATTTAAATTAATCATGAGTTCAGATTAGCACTAATTAAAATAAATATTCTAAAATACTTGCATTATAATGAGTCTCATTACAGTGCGTTTTAAGTAATTTTGATAAATAATTAAAAAGGAAGCTCTTGGAAACGTCAAGTAATACGAAGCATATACAAGTAAGGTCTAGAGGAAGTGAGAGAGCGGACTTGACGGCTATGAGTAGTGGAAGTCAATTGACATCGGACACGGGGTGTGTTCTGAACGTGCTTGGACACTTCACTTTGCAAAGGGACGGCGGTGCGGACGGTCATCTTCCTGTAATCCCGTTTCCATTCAAGTAAATCAGTGTAGTTAATAGTGATTTAATGGAACAAGTAAACTACAATGCTACGTGATAACTTTTATTTTGCGCGTACGACATGTCTGAGGAGGGATCTGACAACGAATTGTCCTATGTGGTCAACCTATCTCCGACATATATATATGTATATAAACACTCAGACACTGGAAAAACACTAAGGTCATAATACAATATTTTTTCTAGTAGTGGGGATCAAACCCACACTACCCACAACGCTATTCGGGTCGTCATATATAGTCTTCAATAGTCTCCAATATTATATAGGTCACTTTGTTCGTTTCCAGGTCGCCAAAGCCTTTCGCGGCTGGCAGCGCACATTGCCGAGTTGACGTGCATACAGATCGAGATCACGAGATCGTACGGTATGAGCGAATGGCGAGATGACATCAAGAGCACCATGATAAAGGCGGGCGGCGAGAACAAAGGGATCGTCTTCCTGTTTTCTGACGCGCAGGTGAACCTTAAATCCCTTTGATTGGAAAGTAACGCCCAATTACGTCCCACTGCTTTGCAAAGGCCCACTGTACAGAGGGTTTTATACATATTCCGCTACGCGGGAACCCTCTGCGGTTTGTCGGACTTAACATAGCTTCGTAATATTTTTTTCCGTTATTTCTTTGTTGTTATTGAGTAATTACTTCTAAAACATGCAATTTTCCTCACGATGTTTTCCTTCACCACTGAACACATGATAAGTCAGATAAAGTAAAATTTCCGAGCTGTAGTAGCTAATGGGTTAATTATAAAAATAGTGATGAAAACGAAATGACAAAGAAGTTACCAAAAATATTGATAAGAATTTATTCAAGATGTGGGGTAGGTTCTAATTAAGCGGTAAAATTATCTATATACGAAAAACTATATAGGTGTTAACGTTAAGAGGTTAAGGTTATAGACCTTAATAACCATGGACATAGTAGCAGGATGATTATTCCTTGGCTATAGCTACTTTTAACATTTGTTTAAAAGTCTCTTGCAAACAGCTCTTTCCCGTTCGTTCGTTCAGATAAAGATGGAGTCCTTCCTCGAGGACCTGAACAACGTGCTCAGCTCCGGCGACGTGCCGAACATCTACGAGGCCGAGGACTTGGACCGGGTGTACCTGCTGGTGCGCCAGGCGACCATGGAGCAGGGCCTGGCCCCGACGAAGACCAACCTGTTCTCGTGCTACCAGCGCAGGGTGCGGTCCAACCTGCACGTGGTCATCGTCATGAGCCCAGTGGGCGAGGTGATCTCCTTTGAATAGACGGGCTCTTGCACACACACATACATACACACACACACACACACACACACACACACATCCACACGCCGTTGACGTACTCAGAGAAAGGCCTTCTTAGGTCCATCCAGTCCACGTTCAACCACGTGAGGTTTATTTTGTTCGAAATATACCCGTATAGTTAAATGCCAGTACCTTGTCCCCGTAAAACCTAGTACATGATTGTCAGATATTTATAACAGCAATAGTACTTTGCTATTATTTTTAAATTAATAAATCACTGGTTTTGATTTCTCCGTGATAATCGAACCCCTGCAGAGACAAACGAAGAATCACTTTTGGGCACGTCTATGGGATACAAACTCAAATCGCAAAACTCAAGTTGGAGATTAGGTTTAACATCCATTTTTGATTAGAGTTTTTTTGTTGACGTTCAATAAAGACGTTTACAATAAGAGCTGTTGTATACAATTTGAAGCCTATATTGAATAAAACAAATACTTTGATTCAATTTGCTCTTGTAACAGAAAATGGCAATAAGGACAAACAAGTCAGCAAGTATGGCAGATTGAGGGTTAAAAAAAACTTTTTATGTTAAAAGTTGTCAAACGAGCTAGCGGTTCACCAGGTGTGAAGTTATTACAAGCGCCCATGGACATGTACACCGCCGGACGGGTTGACAACATTAGAAAATTTGGCTACGGTTCTCTCACTCATCAAACGCAACGCGAAATTATAATATTTACACTTCACGCCGGTCTTCTGTGAGGCCATAGTATTTCCTCGGACGAGCTTGCCTGTTCGTACTTCTGCCGAAGCTGCAATTAGCCCACTGCAGTATCTTTTTTTTTAATTCAGAACTGCCCAGCGCTTGACTGCCATCCCACCTAATGGTAAGTCGCGATGCAGGCTTTGATGGTAAGCGCGCTAGCTCAGTAAAAACCTATTCACTCTTAACTTGAAGACGCCTACGTTGTTATCGGACAGAAAGACGGACGCCGGCAGGTTAAATAATTAGTTTTAATATTTGCCGCTTTAACCACCAGATATTCCGCGCGCGATTGCGCCAGTTCCCGTCACTGGTGAACTGTTGCACCATCGACTGGTTCAGCGAGTGGCCGAAAACCGCCCTGGAGTCTGTCGCACGCCACTTCTTCACCGGAATGGTCGAGCTGGATACCAGCGAAACGGTCATGAACGCCATGGTTGTGAGTGAAATCACTTTCCTAGGACAAAGCTTGACCACGTCAGATCCAAGCTTGGACCAAGTTTTTACGCCAGCCATTACGATATTGTAATGTTACTCATCTCAAACGGAATTGATTCATATAGGTGACAAGTATTTGTGTGACCCACACATAATTGTCTAGATCCGGTCTTGTGTGTTTGTTCCCGAGGATTAGGTTAGGCAGGCCTGTTTTAAAAAGATATCTAGGCAAAACCATTCACTATACAATCCATATGTTGTGTCGACCCTATCTCGGTTGAATAAGAACAGTAGTATTAGGATGATTATAAACAGGCAAACTGAATTTATATAAGTATTTTTTTAAAACCACAATAGAATTCAGATCCAAATTGACATCCCGTTATGATGACATAAAATATACTGCCCTGCAGTGTCTTTGAATCATGACAAAATATATTTCACACAAATGAAAAACGTTAGTTACTTCTCTTTTTTGTCTAGCGAACGGAAATTTCAAATAAATCTAGAACTATTATCACACCCTCAGATGTGTTTTTGTTATCCTATTTTCCAGTCGGTTTGTTGTTACGCGCACCAAAGTGTCGTCGACGCGAGCGCCAAGTTCTTGGCGCAGCTCAACCGCCTCAATTACGTCACCCCCATGTCCTACATGGAGATGCTGGCCGCGTACGCAGAGATGTTCAGGAAGAAGCAGGCCGCTATACTGAAGGAGTCCAACGCTCTTAAGACGGGTAATTATGACGACGCCGACGTGTGGAATTAATACTGTTGATACTCACGTAGGGTAAAAAAGACTATTATACATGTACCATGCTATATTGTAAACTGATATTTTTGAAAAAGAGCAACTGTTGAGTTTCCTGACAGTCTCTTCTCAGTAGAAACTGCATTCCGAACCGGTGGCAGTTTACATACGAACTTCATAAGAACGCTCAAGCGTGTATTTGAATTTAAAAAAATACTTTGAATTTTGCGCCTGTGTATTCGCTCCAGTGGATTACGATTCGTCATCATTCGTCATCATCATCGAGAGAATTTTAGTCTCGTCTCGCAAAAACTCTCTATGCAAATGATTCCGTTGCTGCGTGAATAAAGGTTAATTTACAAACACATGTTCATTTAATCTATACAATGTTAGTAGGCACGTTTCAAAACATACCATAAATAATTTCAATTAATTTGTAAAAAGGCATGTCGTTGTCATTGGAAATGTATCTTCAAAACTAATAAATATTTTACACTTGCCAGGATTGAACAAGCTGAACCAAACGGAAGTTGAAGTAAAACAGTTGCAAATAGAGCTCGCCGAACTTAAGCCGATGATGGAAACCGCTGCGGAGGAGACTAGAAAAGTGATCGAACAGATCGCCACTGACACGGTCAGAATTGTGTTCAATCATTTCAAAAATACTTTGGCAAAGTTTTTTTTATCGAAATTGTGTTCTGATCTTTCCAACCGACTTCAAAAAAGGAGAAAGTTTTTATTTCGGTTGTATTTGTTTGTTTGGTATATCAGATCTCCGTCATTTATGCAATTTAAAATCTGGAGAAACATCAGGGAACTACCGAAAATCAAATAGAAAATGTATAGTGACTGAGATATTTGATCAGAATGACAGGTAGCGTTTAGTGTAACAGTTTTTTCAATTGAAGCTAATAAGACATAATTTTCTAAATTATAAATGGTGAAAATAATTATGCTCAAATTAGCAATGAAAAAATTGAATCATATCTTTTGAATATAACAGGTATATATTCTCTTATTAGTATTAAATGATTAGGCAATTGCGGAGGAGGCGAGAATCAAAGTGGAGAAAGAACAGGCGGTGGCTGAGAAAATGGCTGCTGAAACCTCGGCTATGGCTGAAGACGCTCAAAGAGATTTAGGTATTAAATTACACGGTAAAGTAAAACATCAGCCTATAAAGATCCCACTGTTTCACGATCCCATTTGAGACACGATCCAACATAATTTCTTCTAAGTATATTGCTAATTTACTATAAATATTACAGTACATGCACTACTTATTAATTTAATGTTATATTATTCTGTTTTAAATCTACTGCTACTCCAAGAATAATTCGTCAAGAAACAACTGTTCAAGTTTAGACTTCAACACATTTTTACTGCGTTGCGGACTCCCCCTCAAAATTTGTACGAGTATGTACGGGTATGCGAATATCTTAATAGTTAATAACAGTTCTTTAGCAAGAAGAGAGAAACTGTATCGACCAAGAGGTCTGATAACGTTTTTTTAACAAGAACAGAATACAGTTTATAACATTATCCAGTTTGTTTGCGTAGACGAGGCGATGCCAGCGCTACTGGCCGCCGAGAAGGCTTTGAAGGAGCTCAACAAGAACGACATAGTTGAAGTGAAGGCGCTCAAGAAACCGCCGAGTGGTGTGATGCTCGTTGTGGAGTCGCTCTGCGTGGTATTCGACATAAAACCGATTAAGGTAAGCCAATTCCTTTTTCGCCGAGAATTTAACGGTGTGAATATTCGTAGTAAAGTCCTTTTATAGATGATTCGGTTCTTATAATCGTGGTTAGATTTCTATCTCTACTCCCAAATTAAGAAACACTTGACTTATGGCTACTAGATAACTGTTAACATACTTTTGTTATGTAAATATATGCACGTTAAAAATTCAAAATATCTGTATTCAAATAGACGCCTGCACGTTCTTATGAAACGCCGAATTTTACATAAAAATTGATACATAAGTTCGTAAGTAAGTTAACAGCGGTTCGAAAAGCGGTTTATGTTGCGAAGAGAACGGCAAGAAACTCAAAAGTTGCTCTTTTTTAAAAATATCAGTTTACAATATGACATGGTACAGGAATAATAGTCTTATTTTGAATATTAACAGTATTATTAGAGTATCAAGAGTATTATTGTTTTTTTTTTTAAAAGTGTAACTTTTTTTTTAAAAGTTCAGATTACAATATAACGTAGGTATAATATTCTTATTTTAGCCTACGTGATTATCAATTATTTAAATAACAATTAGAGCAATGACGAAAAGAAAGAAAGAAAAAGAAAGAAAATACATTTATTTACCAAAAAAAGGACGCACACAATAAAAGAAAAAAAAAACTAAAATTAACAAAAAAATAAAAGATATCAAAAAATTACTTATAAATAATTCGTTAAAGCAAAAGAACATAAATACACAATTAAAATTGAAACAAATAAAAAAGAACTTTAACAAACCAAAAATCTTGTACTCATGCTATGCCGACGACGCATATCTTCTGTCCTTGCAGGAACCCGGGAAAAATTTCGGCGAGAAAGTGCTGAACTACTGGAAGCCCGGCTCCCAAATGCTGGCCGACCCCACCGCCTTCCTGGACTCGCTGATGAGGTTCGACAAGGAGAGCATCACCGAGGACATGATCAAGAAGCTCAAGCGCTACGTACAGAACCCGGACTACGAGCCGACGAAGATACAGAAGGTATATTATTAACTGATCCCTATTTTGTGCCGGTTCCATTTTGATGTATTGATGATGCACATTTTCATCCGTTATAAACCACTTCTTATTCTATGCATGTATACTAAACTATAAACCTTTCGCTTGAATCACTCTATCTATTACTGAAAACCGCGTTAAAATCTGTTGCGTAGTTTAAAAGATCTAACGTACAAATATCGTTAGCTACTTTGTTTTACACTGTTTAAAGATGTAGACGATAACAAAATTTTGGCAATAGTTAAAAATTCATTGATATTGATGTTATGGTATATCACCTGAACGGTATCTGAATTTTGTATCTGTAGAGTAGAACCGGTTATTTAGTTTAACTTGTCTTCGTATCGTTGCTTCGTTCAACTGGAAGGTATTGCAGTGAGTTCAGTCAATCCTATCCAATCAGCCTTTTGCAGTCCACTGTTGGACATAGGCCTCCCCAAGGGCACGCCACAAAGCACGATCTTCCGCTTTCCTCAAAAGCGAAGTGAGTTCAGTACCAAACAATCATTATTTTAAACAAGCGGAGTTTTAGTAATAGTTACTGTTTTCCCATTTGGGTTTGGAACCCTAATAATTTAAAATAAAACTGAGCCGTGATAGCTCAGTGTCCGGGCGCTCGCCTTTTATTCAATATACTCGAGCAACCTGAGTTCGATCCCCGGTGCCGGCACCAATGAAGTTTTTAACTTTAAGTGCTGACTTATTACGTGCTCCGCGGTGAAGGAAAACATCGTGAGGAAACCTGCATATTTTCGAAATAATAACAAAAAATATATATATTTCGAAGATATGTGAAGTCCGCCAATCCGCAGTGGGGCCGCGTGGTGGACTATACCCTGATACCCTCTGTATAGAGGAGGCCTTTGCCCAGCAGTGGGACATGTATAGGCTGTTATTATACTTTAATAAATAATTTATCAGGTGTCGAAAGCCTGCATGTCGTTGTGCATGTGGGTTCACGCCATGTACAAGTACTACCACGTGAACAAAGCGGTTGCTCCTAAGAAGGAAGCTCTCAAGCGCGCGACGATGGAATTGGCCGCCGTAGAAGGTTTTGTGAAACTTTTCCTATTGATTAATTTCTTCTATTGCGACATGTAGTCGTTGAATAGTTAGTTGAATAGAATCATGTCGGCATACTTCGGGGATATTTTTACATAACGTTATCTAAAATAATCCCAAACTAAGAAACTTGTACTACGGATACTTGGTACTTAACTGATTGATAAACATAGTTAAACGTAATTTTCTTTTATAGACACTCAGACATTAGAAAAACACTATGTTAGAAATACACAATATTCTTCCAGTAGTAGGAATCGAACCCATGCCCTCTAGCGCAAGAGACGGGTCACTATCTAATACGCCAATCGGGTCGTCGAAATCATTAAGTAAATAATCAGTTTTATTACTTCATTCGTACTAGTGAAGTCTACTAAAACTATTGTAAGAACACAATGCTTTGGTGCATTAGTAGACAACTTTTTTCAGAGTGCTTGGTTTTGGCTTTCAGAATGATCTGTATGATCATTCTCTCAGCGATACTTTCTCTCGCTGAAGCATCTATTATATAACACCTAATAGTGTAAAATGAATTTAAACTGCTAGTTTACTGTTTTAAATGAGAAGGTGGCAAGCGAGTTGGCGTTTCACCAGACGAAACGCAGAAGTATAAAATTTCTACTTCACGCCAGTATTCTTCGAAGTATTTCCCTGTAGGGACCTGATCATTCGTACAACAGCTAAGACAGCTGCGTGGCCCTACCAGGGTTCTAGATCTGAAGAGCTTACCAGTAACCGTAGGGTCATATATAAAAATATATTAATTGTGATATTAGAGAAAGCACTAGGTTAAAAATGAAATGTTACGACCGTAACAAATGTTGTAGCCATGCTGGCAAACGCCAAGGCAAAGATGCAGGCACTGTTGATGGGCATCGCTAAGCTTAACGCATATTTATCGGAGAAGGAGGAAGAGAAGAAGAAAATGGAGGAGGATATCAACCAATGTCTGGCGCGGATGGACCGGGCGAACAGGTTGGGCCATCTCCTCTGTGTAGTTAAGCAAATAGTGGCCAGTGGCTTCAGTGCCGGGGATCGTCGGTTATATAATAATAATAATAAAATATCTTTATTCACATAGACGCTTGCGCGTTCTTATGAAACGTCATAATTTTACAAGAAATTAACACGTTCGTAAGTTACCACCGGTTCGGAAAGCAGTTTCTGTTGAGAAGAAACCGGCAAGAAACTCAACAGTTGCTCTTTTTAAAAAAATCAGTTTACAATATAATAGTACAGGTACAATAGTCTTGTTTTAGCCTACGTGAGTATCAACAGTATTAACCCCACACATTGGCGTCGTCAAGATATTCGGCAATAGTATAATAGGCTTTAGCCATAAGTTTACTTTTAATTTTTCGTTTAAATTTATCAAGGTTCCATTCTCACACGGGACAACCGTTTGTGTGACCGACAGATACTTGTTTCGGATCTAGGTTATTGTCCATATGAAATTTATGTGTGTAAAACGTCCTCACAACACGGGATAACGTTATCCTACAGGAAAGGCAATGATTTTTTAATAAAAAAAATCGTACCTGCATGTTCCGTTACCATTACCATTTACTCTAAAAAAAATAATACAATGTATGTTGGGTTCTGTTGGGTTACATCATTAACTTCTGAAATCAATATGAAACTTTGAGACCATGATTGAGCCTGCCCATTCAACGACGCCCAACAGACAAAGCTGTTGCATGGCCCTACCGTGTATAAATTAGTTTTGTCTCGCGCACTGACCATCACTCGACTACACTATAACTCCATCCAATCCAATGATAATTGATGATGCAGTCACACTGGCCTTAGGGTTACGTACTTACATTATTTTCCAGATTTGAAATATATTTGCAACATTATTCCGTAGGTTACTCAATGGCCTGTCCAGTGAGCGTGTGCGCTGGATCCAAACGATCAAGGACCTGGGCGTCGCCATCGTCAACTTGATCGGGGACATTCTTCTAAGCGCGTGTTAGTAAATTAGATGCTCTCAATCTTCGACATGTCTGGTAGGAAAAGACAACTAGTTCCTTTCATGTCACTGGTTTTGTTAAGTTATAAATGTGGCGAAGTGTCAATGGTAGCTTGTAATAAGGTATGCAAAGGAGGTTGTGCTAACGCACGTTTTTAAGATGCCTTCAATGTAGAATTATTCAGAGCGAGAAAACTGTAAAGGGAAAACTCGTCACATTGTCTTCGTCATTGTTTCACTTCCGATCTTGCATCTAGTGATTCGTTAGAAGAACCCAGAAAAGTAACATTAATATGACAGTAGATATAGTAAGATCTTGATTAGAAGACCCCTCTACTAATCGCTTAACATGTAATAAAATTATAATAATAAAAACGCTAAAAATAAAGCAAAATCATGTTCTGGTTTTAGAACATGATTTATACCGCCTTATTTGGTAATAACTTTTTGTAGAATTGAGACAAAATTGTGCAAATGTTGCTATAAAATTATCAGTTGTGTTGACTGTGTGACATCTATTTAGGATCTAACTGCCAAAATATTTGACTATATACAAATATAATTATTATTGCAAAAGTTGTAACGAATTAATCAATTTGCAGGTGCTGTTGGCTATATTACGCCATTCACTGAAGAATTTCGGAAAGAGCTACTTGATCACTGGATTGTGCATATGAAGGTAAATTTTGACATTGTCTTTTTTTTTTAAACTTGTTTTTATTATACAAATAAGAAATCGTTATATTACAAAAAAAAATATTGAATTTTCTACATTTAGAAAGTTGGAGTTCCACATACAGAAGATGCGACACCCTTATCGATTCTCGGCGATGCAGTTCAAATTAGGCAAGTTTTTCGACTTTGTTTTTAAAGATTTACACTTTTCGTGTACTGTATGTTTTTAAGAAGTAACAGGTGAAATTGTTCCCGTCGGGGGAGTTATTATTAAAAATTATATTGTTATTAAAACTTTCCTAAGTTCCCAATTTTAAAGAAAATTAAAACCAACTTATGAGAACATAAATGTCGCCGTTTAACTGTACCACTACCATCTTATCAGAACCTTTTCTACTAAAAAAAATTAGTAATGCTATTAAATGGAGCAATTGAAAATATAGTTAATAATATTTGAATAAGTGAAACGGTGGTCAAACACTAGCCTCTTTTTTGGTTTAAAAAAAATAAAGTTATTCGTCTGAACGGTGGCAGGACGTGGCAGATGTATGGGCTGCCACGGGACCCCCTCTCGGTGGAGTCTGCGGTGCTGATGAGCAACTCGCGCCGTTGGCCCCTCATTGTGGATCCGCAGACGCAGGCCAACAAATGGATCAGGGCAATGGTGGGGCTCCATTTTAATTTTGCTGTGATGATCTTGTTATTTCTTAAACTCATCATTTGAAGTGCCTGTGCAAATTATTGTTAAAAGATGTTTAAATATTTATTTGTCCTCTTAGTAAATGAAATAGACACAAAAATACGCATATTATGTTGTATAATCAAGCACGCAGTCAATATTTATATTAATTCACAGCAAAGTAACAATAATAATTCCGAATTCCGAATTTTCGTCACTTTGTTATTTCTATTTAATTTTAAATTAGATTTATGAGACCTCACCAAACGAGATGCTAAATTACGTATGAAAATAACTTTTATCTCTAATGAAATATGTCTAATTCTTTCTCAATCTACAGGGTAAAATAGAGGGGCTGATTGTGTGTAAACCAAACGATAGGGATCTTTTGAGGAGCTTTGAGTCGGCGTTAAGATTCGGAAAACCGATTCTGTTGGAAAACGTTGGGCTGGAACTTGATCCAGCATTGGACCCAGTGTTGAAGGTATTTGGTTTTATTATCTTTTCTTCAATTATTGTCACTCCTACCTCCACTGGTCGATAGTCATAATATAAAAGAAATTGTGTTATCAAAATTAACTCGAAAAGGTACTATGCTATTAAGCAATATAGACAGATAATTATTCATAGGTGCAGTATTGAAAGATAATATATTTCTTTACAGCGTCAGTACTTCCGACAAGCGGGTCAACTGGTTCTAAAGCTTGGAGATTCACTGATACCATTCACTCCAGGATTCCGTCTATACATCACCACTAAACTACCGAACCCAAAGTACACACCCGAGACGTCGGTGAAGGTGCAAATTGTTAATTTTGCTCTCGTGCCCAGGTTTGTAGATAATGTTATACCTATCATATTTTACCATAATAATTATGTTTCCTCCATCATGTCGTTTACTAATTAAAGGACCGATTTGTCGTCGTGAATTGGTGCGGTACTAGTGAGAAATTCGTTTCTTATAAGTAACATTATTTACGGAGTTTCTTTTGCCGGTTTCTTCTCCGTAAGATTAGATTTAAAAAATGATTATCGATAAATGAAATGTATATTTCTTATTTCGATGAATAAATGATTTGATTTGATTTATTTGTTGAAATTTATTTCGATTTCCTTCGTCTGTCGAGTCGGAATTGGGAATTGCTGGTTTCTTTTCTTTTTATGTCCTTCACTATAAAGTCATTTGTGCACATTTGTTCGGTGTATACACGTGGTTTGGGTCCAACTAAGTTGGTTTTTAAATCACCGAGGGACTAGTGCTAGACTATTGGTGTTCGTAAGTTAGCTAATCTTTCGCTATTGGTGCTAAAGAGGTAAGATTTCAAGCACTACGCCAAGTAAAATTAAAGTAACTGCTACGGTCTACAAATGGGCAGAGGCCCTCTCTGTAAATATGTAGATTTCCTCACGATGTTTCCCTTCACCGTTGAGTTCGCGATAAGTCAGCACATAAAATTAATAATTTCATTGGTACCGGCACCGGGGATCGAACTCGGGTTGCTCGAGTATAAAATACGAATTAAAAGCGAGCCCCCGGATAATTAGCTAACGCGGCTCTCTAGAGGTACCAAGTACTGTCTCAAAAGTGGTGATGGCAGTTAAACAGTGTTAGGCCCACGCAATAGTCTTCTCTGTTGCACGAATGGGCAGGTCCGTCCGGGAAAATACTCCGACCACATAGAAGACCAATGTGAAGTAGAAGTCGAGGCCCTCTTTATTAAAAGCTAGGAACGCATCTGCAACCCTACTGGTATTAAAAATGTCGATGGGCGGCGGCTATCACTTAACAACAGGTGAACCGCCAGCTCGTTTGCCACCGTCTCACATAAAAAAGAGTAAAATTTCCACTTTTATTCAAAAGCTGCAAAGGTAAGCAAGCTTTACATTACAGTGGTCTGGCAGAGCAGTTGCTCTCCATAGTGGTGGCGCAGGAGAGGCCAGATCTAGAGGAGCTGCGTGGCCAGCTGATTGTGACGCGGGCCCAGATGGCCGTGCAGTTGGCCGAGATGCAATCGGACATCCTGTACGGGCTGTCCAACAGCGAAGGTTCGCCGGTCGATGACCTCCCCCTCATTCTGACACTGGAGGCAATCAAGATCAAGAGCGCCGAGATTATAGTGAGCATTAATCGTTTGTTGCTTCTCAGATTTGATAGTGGAACAGACGGCTTGGTGGAAGTTATTTTTCCGTAGACAATAGCTCAAACTTTTTTTAAACTGGAAGATTGTGATTTAACCCTGCCGTATAAAGGCATTCAAAGACTCAAGATCCGCTGCACCAGCGACCGTATGTATACTCGTAGAAAGGTGAAGTCAATGTAGGCATGGAATGTGAAGTCTGTTAAAGTTTGTACCCTCTTTAATTTAAACGACATTGATGTCAAATCAAAATTGTTTGGGTTGATACCTGCTGGTGAATTTCACCATCGTACAACTCGTCCAACCGCCATGTACCATCGACCTTGATGGTTGATTTTTCGCGAAATTTTCTACCACGCACAACTACTTAATGGAACGAGTTGTCGCCAGCGGTATTTCCAGACCGATACAATTTAGGGACCTTCAAGAAAAGAGCCTATTCCTACTTTAAAGGCCGGCAACGCAATTGCGACTCAACCGATGTTGGAAATGTCCATGGGCGGCGGTGATCACTTACAATCAGGTGACCCGCATGTTAGTTTGCCTCCTTTTCCCATAAAAAAAACAAGGAGGAACAGAGCTTGGTTTATTATTCGCAAATGCTTTTAAATGAAAATGTTATAAGTACATTGATACATTGAGACGTAAACCAAGAGTAAGACCAAGAGCAAGAAGATACCAGAAGACGTTTACCAGAAGTAATCGTATTCACTAGGTCCCCGCTGTTTACAATTAACAGTTAAAACTTGAATAATTTCCGTTGTTTTTGAACGAACGAAACCAACTTCTTATATTTCTTTTGTTTTTATTGGACAGATCAAAGTGGAAGACATTGAGAAGACATCCAAGGAGATCGATGACGCCCGGCTGGGATACGTGCCGGTGGCCAATAGGGGGCAGATCCTGTTCTTCTGTTTGTCTGGCATGGCCAACGTGGACCCAATGTACCAATACTCGCTCGAGTGGTTCGTGAAGCTCTTTATACGCAGCATGGCCGAGACTGAACAAAATGGTAAGATGAAGAAAATGGTACATTTATGAATTAATTGCTGTCCTAATTTTTTTTCTTAAAACAGGGGATTGGGCATATCTGAGAACTAATACGATCGTAAAAGAAATATTGTAATGAATATATGAAAATACGAATTAAAGATTTGATATGTTTATCATGTGGCTGTGGCCAGGGCACATAGCTCGAAGAACCGATGGCCGTTGGGGCAAAAAGGTTCTCGAGTGGAGACCACGTGACGGCAAGCGCAGCGTAGGATGGCCTCCCATAAGGTGGACGGACGACCTAGCCAAGATCGACGCGTTGAATGCACGGTCCGGTCGAAGTGGAAGTCAATGGGGGAGGCCTATGTTCAGCAGTGGACGTCCTACGGCTGATATGATGATGATTATTTAAAAGCCAATGTTTAAATGTCGATGAATCAAACGGAATATAAGTGTCTTCATACTTGTTGCCTTCATACGGGATAATGTGAGACGTCAGCAGATTATTTCTTCCTTTGCTATACGCATCGCTTAATAGATTTAAAAACTTCGTATAAATGATATCAATTCAAAAAAGGAGCAGGTATGGAACTGTGAAGCAAGTGAACAGAAATATAGTAATGTTAACGGTTTTTCGCCGCCCACGAATATTTACAACGCTCGTGGAGTAAATACGTTGCCAACCTACAATAGAGCTGGGTCCGTTTGTCTAAAATCTATTTACGTCCTCGGATTTGTTAGCCCGGCGAACACAATTGTAGTTATACAGTAGCGATATCCTGTGAAATTAAACTATTTAATGGATTTTGTCGGGTTTAATTCAATTTTTAACCGACTTCAAAAGGAGGAGATAAAATCCTTAAAATAGTTTCATTTCACAATGTGTAACATATGCCTGAAACATTAAATAAATACAGTAACGATATCTATTGACGATGCTATGCATCGTGTATTTTTTTCTCACGTTTCCCAGTTCTCAGGTCTTGACCACGTGATTCGTTATATCTTTGCAGAGGACATACTGGAGCGGGTCGAGATCATCATGACAATGTGTAACATACGCGTGAAACATTAAATAAATACAGTAACGATATCTATTGACGATGCTATTCATCGTGTATTTTTCTCTCACGTTTCCCAGTTCTCAGGTCTTGACCACGTGATTCGTTATATCTTTGCAGAGGACATACTGGAGCGGGTCGAGATCATCATGACAATGTGTAACATACTCGTGAAACATTAAATAAATACAGTAACGATATCTATTGACGATGATATTCATCGTGTATTTTTCTCTCACGTTTCCCAGTTCTCAGGTCTTGACCACGTGATTCGTTATATCTTTGCAGAGGACATACTGGAGTGGGTCGAGATCATCATGACAATGTGTAACATACCCGTGAAACATTAAATAGATACAGTAACGATATCTATTGACGATGCTATTCATCGTGTATTTTTCTCTCACGTTTCCCAGTTCTCAGGTCTTGACCACGTGGTTTGTTATTTCTTTGCAGAGGACATACTGGAGCGGGTCGAGATCATCATCGAACATTTCACGTTCCTGTTGTACCAGAACGTTTGTCGTAGCCTTTTCGAGAGGCACAAGCTGTTGTTCGCCTTTCTGCTATGTGCACGCATTCACTTGGACAAAGGGATCATTAGACTGGCGGAGTTCAATTTTCTGCTTAACGGTGCCAAGATTGAGGAGGTACATTATTTTTTAATCTTGCTGTGCGTACTTTAGCAGTAGTAGGCAATGATATTTGTATATTACATCACTGCCTACTACTGGAAACACGGCTGTTTTTCTAGTAGTAGGCAATGATATTATATACAAATAGTAGATATGACTAGCGCACCGAAACTGAGCCACTGAAATTACGCCAATTGGTGTATTTAGATTGCAATTCGGTGGACTACTATCTCTTTCCGTGTCATACTTTCTATATCATATGTCATGTAATGCTTAAATATAAGTGTCAATTTTGTATATTATTCGTTATATTATTTTAATGTTCTTCTTACATTCTTTTTCTTTCTTTGAAAAAATAAAATGTTAAGGAATTGGAAAATCCCGAGCCCAAATGGATCACCGAGCGGATGTGGCTGGATACCCAACAGCTTGCATCATTGCCCACCATGAAGAAGTTTGTCATAGAGTTTCCGGAATACGCAAAGTTCTTCCGCACTTATTACGAGGCGCTGAATCCACAAAAGTACGTACAGAACAAAAGAAACTTCAAGTTTTCACATGTCTTGTCAGGGTTTCAGTTATAACTGTGGCAGGGCCACTTAATAGTCTTCGCTGTTGCGCTAATGGGTAGGTCCAACCGGGAAATTCCCATCACAGAAGACCAGCATGACACTTCTGCATTTCGTCTGGTGAGTGAGGTAGCCGGGTCCACTTTATTAAAAGTTGCCAACCCTTCTGCAACCGTACGGGTATTGCAAATGGCCACGGCGATTATCACTTAACATCAAGTGAACCGCCAGCTCGCTTGCCAATTTCTCACATAAAAAATTTGATGTACTTCATTGACATAATTTTTTTTTCATAGATTACCTTTTCCAAAGCCGCTCGACACTCAGTTGGACGCGTTTCAAAAGTTACTTGTGCTAAAATGCTTCCGTCCAGACAAAGTGATAAACGGTTTTCAGGTAATAAAAAAAAATAAATGTTTACAAAGTAGGAGTATGTTTAATTATGTCTATCAGTTATTTCGTACCCATAGTACAAGCGTTGCTTAGTTTGGGACTTGTTGTGTAAAAATGTGTCAAAAAAATATTGACAGGAATACGTGGTGGTGGGTTTGGGGGCGCGTTTCGTGGAACCCCAGCCGGCGGACCTTGCGGCTCTCTACGCCGAGTCCGACCCGCTGGCACCCATCATTTTCGTCCTGTCCACCGGCACGGACCCAGCCGCTGGTAAGTCAGCAGCAGCTCTCAGTCTCCTTCCATTCTCTGTCTTTGTCTTACAGCTTTTGACTAAATAGTCCGGCGCTGCATTTGTAACCAGGTATTTCTTGTTACTATGCAAACAGATACGTTGGATACAGAAGAGCATTTAAGAATGAATGACTGTCTTGAAGCTATTACTTATGTTTGTCGTTCGTGGATGCGATTAACAATATAATGATCTCCATGTCATTTTAATTCTACTCTAGTAGAATCAAATGATAACTGTTATGACCGGCAATGCACTTGTAAGCACTCCGGAGCCCTGTTGCAGATGTCCATGGGCTGCGGTGATCACTTAACATTAGGTGAGCCTCCTGTTGGTTTGCCGCTTTTTTCCATAAAAAAAGTTTTAATGGCCTTCGATCAAGCTATATTCATATTCAGATAATGAAAATTACCCGGGTACTTCTATCTACATGTCTTTTTCGATTAATTAAATATTTTCTTCGATTTATATTATAGATACTAGAGACTAGTGATAATCTGTAATCTTTTTACAGATTTACTCAAATTTGCGGACAAGATGAAGATGGGAAAACGTTTCGAAAGCATTTCCCTCGGCCAGGGCCAAGGTCCGATCGCAGAGAGCATGATGAAAGCGGGCTGCGAGTTTGGCTCGTGGGTTTTCTTCCAGGTGAATGATGAAAATTGAAGATAACTGAACGTTCCACTTCATTTATTATCCAACTATTTTATGTTTGATATTTTTTTAAGTGAAAGTTGTTCACTTGATGTTAATTGATCACCGCTGCCTATGGTACAACACCTGAAGGGTTGTAGATGCGTTGACAACCTTTTAAAAAGCCGATACTTTGAGAAACACGAAACATGAAAGTGATCTTTTGATCTCTAACCTAACGTTTTTGGACTCACGAACGTATAATTTAACGGAGACTATGCATTCGAGGCCTTCTGTTTTTTAATCTTCCTCCCGCTATTTTTACTTTAGTACGTTCAGTAATTATTTTTAATTTAGTAACGTTCATTACAACTTAAATGACTTGGTATTGTAATTGGTATATTTGAATGCACCAAGTTCTATTAGAAAAAAATAATATTTTTTATGGTGGTAAGACCATGCAGCAGCCTCGGCTGTTGCACGATTGGGCAGGACCGGCTTAAAGTGGAAGTATAATACTTTCGCGTTTTGTCTGGTGAGTGAGGTAGCCGAAGCCCAATTTTCAAAAAGGTTGTCACCGCATCTGCAAACCCTCGGATGTAGCAGATGTCCATGGGCGGTGGTATTCACTTAACATCAGGTGAACCGTCTGCTCCTTTGGCAACTTTTCACATAAGAAAAATGCATGATAGGCCAGATTGTAATAATCGTCTACTTTTCACCATGACAAGGGTTGACTGGTAGAGAATGCCATTGGACATTAAGTCCGCCCATTGTAGGCCTTAGCTTAAGGTTTAGCAATGGAGCTTACATATAAATAAATAAATATTGACTCTGTGTTCTCCAAGAACTGCCACTTGTCCCCGTCATGGATGCCGGTCCTGGAGTTGAACGTGGAGAACATCCAGCCGGAGACCGTACACAAGGACTTCCGTCTGTGGCTCACGTCAACGCCTTCGCCCTTCTTCCCAGTCGCTTTGCTGCAGAACGGTAAAACTCTAAGACACCACTCACCGAGTATTTCAACGTTTGAGTGAGATAATTTACATCAAATCAAATCAAATACAGTTATTCAATATACTTAGAAGCATTACACTTACTTATTGATTGTCAAGACGGTACCACCGGTTCGGAAAGAAAAGCCACTGACCTGAGAAGAACCGGCGAAAGAAACTCAGCGGGACTCTTTTTATTTAACCATTAAAAAAAGACATATTTAGAAATGTATTGAAGTCAACTTGAAAGAGCCTGGAGCGATCACTTAATTTCCAGGGTGTGTTATCATTCAAATTATCACTAACATTATATAAAAAATAAAAAATAAAAAGCCTTTATATTTCTTGCAAAAAAAAATACATTAGAACAAAAAAAATCTTATAATCTACTACGCTAAATCTACTTACTGATTTCTTTTTTTTTTATAATATTATTTATTTATTTTTGTTTTTAAATATTACTTTTTTATGTTTATTTGCAAGAACCCCTCCTCGGGTGAAGGCCTCCTCCAAAGAAAGCCAATGATCTCTATTTTGGGCCACTTGTATCCAGTTAGGTCCCGCTGTCCTGATGATGTCATCCTGCCATCTTGCATAGGGTCTTCCTCTGCATCTCTTCCCTTTTGGACCGTTCCACGACGTGATTTTGTTGGTCCATCTTTCATCTTGCAGTCTCGCTACATGGCCCGCCCATTTCCACTTTAGCTTTAGGGAATAGTTTAGTGCGTCGGTGGCTTTTGAAATACTTCGTATTTTTGTGTGTCATATCTTTTGTCTTTTATTAATGTTCAGCATGCTACGCTCTATGCCACGCTGGCAGCTGGTAATTTTGTTCCTTACCTTGTACCCATATTTCCAGGTCTGGCATGCATAAGTTAGGCATGGCAGAAGGCATGTGTTCATCGCTCTTGTTTTAATATTTACTTCCAAGTTGTTTTTAAATATTTCTTTCATATTCCAGTATTTATTCCAAGTGTTTTGTATTCTTCGTTCTACTTCTAGTTCGTTATTTTTGCTATTAAAGCTAATTTGTTTCCCTAGGTAAATGTATTTTTCAGTGTAAGGTAGTTCTTCGTTGTCGACAGAGATTCTTGTTTTTGTGCTGTTTGTCATGACCATTGTTTTGGCTAAGTTCATTTCTAGACCTACTTTATGGCTGGCTTCGTTAAGTGAATGGATCATAAGTTGTAATTGTATACCAGATTCTGACAGCAGCACCAGATCGTCAGCGAAACGGAGGTGACTAAGGTAGTTACCATCAATATTTATCCCGTATTGTTTCCAGTTCAGTTTTCTCATTATTGCTTCCAAGACGGCAATAAATAGTTGCGGAGATAGAGGGTCACCTTGCCTTACTGTTGATAGGAACTCCTCTGTTGATAGGAAATCGCGGGCCGATTTTATCTAGTTTCACTCTTCCTGTATTGTTGTTATATATGTTCTTTATTATTTGTATATACACAGTCCCACTAACAGTATAATAGCCTTTAATACACAAACGTTCCTTTACAATTTTTTGGAATTTAGAAATTGGGAATTTTGGGATATTGTTGTAAAAACGTATACATTGTCCCATAAAAGAATTAGTTATTCTACGAAGTCTAGTTGTGGGTAGAATTGATTTGTGTTTGTTCATCATCATCCTGCCCTTATCCCATCTAGATGGGGTCGCCACAACATGTGAATCGTGTTGTAACCGGTTTTCGCTATGTTATTAGACCGGCCGCCTTCTTGACGTCAACACTCCTTGGGAAACAATTTACTGATTAGTATGATTCCCAAATATAGCTAATAGATAGTAAATAAATTTGATAAATATAGGTTAGAGAGTCTTCTTATTGCTTTTTTGTTCGTTTTCAAATCATAATGTCTTCATCGTCCTCACTAGATATCTTTTACATGTTCCCATTACACCACATTTCATTTTGAAAGTTATTTCTAATATTGTTTTCTAATTTGCACTTCTCCTAAACATCAATTTCCTTGATATCATTCTAATTTATTGACAACGAATAACAAATATATGATCATATAATCTAAACTATTGTCTAGGGATTCGTGATTGTGTAGCTATTGTGACACGAAAATATATTTATTACGTAATGGTTTGATACAGTAAACATATTGATCTCATATTAATCAATTACTCGGATATCGTGGTAGTTCAAATATGTTATAGTGACTTTCATAACAGGGTACAAAATGACAGTGGAGCCGCCGCGGGGCATCAAGGCTAATCTGTTGAAGGCGTATATGAATCAAGTTCCCGATTTTGGCGATTATTTCAACTCTAGTGAAAGCAAAGTTCCAAACTTCAAGGTACACATTTTGTAATTAACGGTTTTATTGTACGGACGGTATTTTAACCACCAAATTTTTTAAAGTTTGTATAACAAAGTTTTTGCGTCATAATTTTACGACCAATTCATATATTATTAGCCATAAGTAACATTTCTGAAATAACTATTTCAACGCTGATGATTTGACCGCATTTTCAATTGTTAAAAAATGTCTAAGTTTTGGAATATAACACTGGAGACATTTGAAAAAAAGAGGTTTTGAAAACCTACAGAAAAACGTTTGTAAATCCTGTGTTGAAGTGAACTTTGGGCAGTTGGTGCGAAAATATATTTTTTTGTATGTAGCAAAAATTGTGAGCGTCATATACTTTGACTGACTGTTTTGAACATTTCAAAATTTCGATCGATAAAATAGCAATCTGTCTGAAATCCGAAATGAGAATTATTGCACGGTTATAGAAGAAAATCATTACAGACAAATTTAAAGTGGCTCCTTATCAATCAGACAACTTGAAGTTATTACTCTATCAAGCCAATAAATAAGTTGCAACTCGTAAATTCTTAGACAATGTTTAAAAAGCTTGTCCGAAAGCGTCAAACTGTAAAGGGTTTTTTTTGTGATATTTTCATGAGATCGGACAAAAGGAAACTGGGTTAGCGTTTGAAAAACGTTCATTGTGAAAATGTCATCGTTTTTAATCGCTCTCGGAATTATTGCTATTTTAATTTCAATGTAGTCTTCTATAATAAACCATCATCAGCCAAATTTGCCATTTGATGTTACATGATTTCTTTATGAGAACTCAAAGTTAAAGTCAGAACAACTTTTGAGGTGGTTGATTCTTTATGTAATATCAAAATAGATCTAATAGTTGGTTACGGGCACAACAAAAACCAGATCGATGTATTGCATAAAAACTTTTTCAGTACCTCGCTCTTAGCGTAGATATTTTTATATCATAACATTGTTTTGTCATTTCTTGCTTTGGCTGACGTTAAACTATTGACGACATTCTGCTGAAGAACCCAAGGGGCATCCTTAGGGATTTTTACGATCGTAAATTCCTTTCAATGTCTGTGTCAACACTATATGGCACTCGATATCGCATTATAGAGATTTCCTCGCAGAATGCTGTCAATCTAATAAAGTGATTGATGACAACATGTAAAAATAGAGTGAAGTTGAGGGATAGGAGAATAACAAACGATGGACTATTTACCTCAGTTTTGAATGTTTTTACAAGATTAGCACTGAAAATGTCTTAAAACTGTTTCAGCAATTCGTTTCCATGTGATTTTTATATAAAAATCGAACCTGGGTTTTATAAGACAGATCGGTACTTTACAATGATCAGTTCGTACAAGTGGACAATATAGATAATCTAGGCAATATCTGTTTTAAACAATTTAGATAATAAACAATAGCTGATCGTTTCAAATCAACACAAACAAATTAAATTTACACGACACGTAACATAGTTACAGCAAAATAAAATAATAAGCTTTAAAATTGATGGTATGAATGAACAGCTTTTTGTATTGATAATTTTACAGTACTGTGTATTTGTTTTTAATAATACACCATATATGCATTAACAAAGATTTGAAACTCTTAGATAGTATATTTAGTTTCATCATCATAGTATAAAACAAAGTCGTCCCGCTGTTTGTCTGTCCCTATATATGACTATATGTGCTTAGATTATTGAAACTACGCTGCGGAATTTTATGCGGTCTTCTTTAATAGATAGAATGATTCATGAGGAAGTTTTATATGTATAATTCATGCATAATTTAGTAGAGAAACACTGATAATTTTAGATGTTTCTAATGCGACGCGATGCGAAACATTCAGCATTGCACCCGTGCGAAGTCGGGTGCGGGTCGTTGGTAGTTTCATATTTGGGAATGGATCCACGTGCTGCGTCGTCTAAGCTTAGTGTTTAGCAACATAGCCAATGGTTTTAGATGTTGATTATCATGTTAACGTTCCTGTCTCCAGTGGCTGCTGTTCGCGCTGTGCTTGTTCCACGGCGTGGTGCTGGAGCGACGCAAGTTCGGACCCCTAGGCTTCAACATCCCATACGAGTTCACTGACGGCGACCTGCGCATCTGCATCTCGCAGTTGCACATGTTCCTCACCGAATACAACGAGGTGCCGCTGCGGGTATGTTTCTTGAAGTCTTCGACAATCTTCGTCAATCGGCTGGTAGGCGATCGATGCCCTTGATGACGTTGTGCTATTCACGAAGATGTAAATTTATATATGTGCGAAGACATAATGAAGATGTGATTTGCTTTTGCCTGGAAATATGTTTCTAATTCTTCTGTGCGTGTGTATCCTCCTAAACGGTTGCTTAGTTGCTGTCAGATTTAAGTCGTGTGTATTTTCTATAAATAAATAAAATCAGAATTTGTCAATCTGCTATGATACAATATGAGATCAACTGGTTTATTTATGTTATAGGTTTGCTCCTATCTAGCTCAAATATTCATAGTTATTAGAGTATTTCTCTCTTTGTTTTCTCTTATGACTTTCCTTAATTTTCCCAAATGCCATGGTGATTTATTTCATTTTGTTTACTGAGCTTCTCCGACGGCACTAACACAAGTAAAGAAAGTTAATGTTTTTAATGTCTGTTTTACTCACCCTTGCAAGGGAAGGAAAACGTCCCAAAGCCTCTATAGGCTCTTGTTTAATGCCTCAGCTTGCTTAAATCTTTCGATAGGTTATTAAATATTTCAAACATGAGAGCGAGTGAACTTTATGAGTTATGTTGTTCCCTTCATATCATTCACTAGTGTGGGGCAAGTCGTAAAAAAACCACTACCGCTAGATGCTGACGTACACCGCTGGCCACATAAACTACGGTGGGCGCGTTACCGACGACTGGGATCGGCGCTGCCTCCTGTGCCTCCTCGCCGACTACTACACACCGGCCGTGCTCAGCGAACGTCACTACTTCGACGAGCAGGGCGCCTACCACCAGGTTCGAATCCTTAGTTGGGGACCTCAGACTGGGACAACATCAACCTCTAACCCTTTGCTAAGATGGTCATATTTTCCCTAGACCACATGCCCTTTGCGACGAAGGTCGTGTCATGGGATCCCCGGAGCCACCACCTGAATTGTACGGGCAAAACTAATGTGGAGTATCCAGAAAATTGGTTTATAAAAAGAAAATAGAAAGCTATCCATGTATATCGTTTCTACAGGCTTGGCCCACATACAGGTTTTAATTTTGTTCCAGCGTAGTTTTAATGTGTTAAGGCAACGCAGCGTCCACCTAACAGTTGCATTAATTTTACTGAGGCCCTACCACAGGCAACGATACACGTTGCCTGTGGTAGGTTGCAATCCATCGGGTCTTGCAAATGTCCATGGGGACCGGTTATCACTTAACATCGGGTGAACCGATAGGGCGTCTGCCACCTACCTTACAGACAGATAAATTGGCGAGTACTAATACTTCATTTTTCATCTATTGAATCTGGTATCTGTAGCAACTAGTAGGTTGGTTGTAATCGTAAAGGGATAAAGGTCATCAAGTTCCATTTTTGTTTCATTTGCTTAAATCTGTTATTAATGTTATTTACAACAAATAATTCTGCGCTCTGGACGCTATCCAACCGTGGGGCCTTCGCTTCAATCTTCACGAATGAGTTGGGAACGAGTGGACGAGCAAATGAATGAGTGAACGAATGGAAACTTAAGTGACACCGGTTCACAGCAACCGGCGACCGCTTCCCTGGACGATTACACTCGCTACATCCGCGGCTTGCCGCTCAACGACGAGCCCGCACTCTTCGGGCTGCACAGCAACGCCAACATCAGCTACGCCGTCTCCGAGACTAACTACTGCATCGGTGTGTTTATGTTCAGTGCTAGATATTTTTAATGGAAAAAAGGGGCAGACGAGCAGAAGGCTCACCTGCAACACCGCTATGCAATGATACATTTCTCAGAGGTGAACAGCGTTATTAGGTATGCGACAAATCACAAATTTAACAGGAGAGGCACACATTTTTGATTGTGATGTCATATACGATTGGATATTTTATTAATTAGGCGTCTTAGGACTTCTTGCGATTTTAATGGTGTAAGAAAAATAATTGTGAAAAATGTGGAGTTACTATCGTATGCCTCTGAGGTACAGAATTGACACTATTACAAGTAACGTTGTGGAGGTTATTTGGAAGTTTTCTTTTTATTATATATGTTTAGAATTAAATTTTCTGTGAGACAGTTGATTATTTTCTATTTAAGTTTGGTTTGATTAACTATATCATACCATATAATTAACTATATTATTAAATCAATACATAAATATACTTTAAACTATATCTATGCGTATTTCACGCGTAGTATATCTACGCGTGAAATGCAATGGTAAATTATAAAACTGAATAACTCTGCAATTGCAACGCTTTAGCCAAAAGTTTCTAACCGCATTTTCGATAAATGGAAACCGCTGTTTGCGTGTTAATTTAGCTTTCAATTAAAAGATAAATAAGTATTCGAGTATGCATTTGATTGTGGTGAATTAGAGAGAGAATCCACCAAATAATTAATATGTAATAGGTAGTTAATGAGTAATACAGTTTTTTTATCGGTTTATAAATTTGAATTAAACAGTGGATTGCAGCAAATTTAATTAAAGTTATAGTTCAGATTAACTCTGGGAACAACAAGAGCCACTAATGTTTACAGAAACCAAACAAACAGTTACGGTTAAGGCCATTGTTAACTCCATATCCGTTTCCTGATTATATTTTTACTAAAATCAATTTGGTTAACCGATAGTTTGCTAGATTATTTGATATTATTTAGTTAACTTTAACTTTTGCAGCCCGCCCTTAGATCTTAGTTTAAGAGAGATAATAAACATATATATTTAAACACTATATTTGTTTCCTTAGGTACGCTTCGTGATCTTCAGCCGAAGGAAGTGAGCAGCGAGGGGGGAGTATCCATTGAGGAAATGACGGACCGGGCCGCCAAAGATATTTTGGAAGTTTTACCTGCCGTACTGGACGTGCCCTTTATATCCCAAAAGTGCGTTGTTTACTCTCCAGATGCAATACAAGCTGAGATAATTGCAGTAACCTATAGCGAAACGATATACAATGAAATTAATATGTTTCTGTGGTGCACGGCTTTTTGTAATCAGCTTTTGTAGTAGTTCAAAACGATACAATTTTGGGACAAGAAGGCCTATGCTTTTCAGAAAGCATTTGCAACTTATTGCTCCTGTTGTTTTGTATTGAGATGATCTACAGAAGTATAATCCACAATCTATTGTAGTGATATTTTAAAGTCCATAATAACGTTTTTTTATGTGAAAAGGTGCCAAACGAGCTGGCAGTTCACTTGATGCTAAATGATAATCGCCGCCCATGGACATTTACAACACCCGTAGAGTTGCAAATGGTATGCCAACTTTTAATATAGTTGGCCCCGGCTACCTCACTTACCAGAAAAAAAGCATAATTGTAAGACCTACTTCAGGTCGGTCTTCTGTGAGGTCGTGGTTCTGGCGGCCGGACGGATGTGCCTATTGGCCCTACCACAATTAAACTTGTTTTATTTACACGAGTTTCACATTTTAATACAACTAATTAACGGATTTTATTGCGGTTTATTTTAATTTTACCATGCCAACGGTTTGTATGCTTTACAACATACGTGGTCACGGACTGGACTAAGATGTCAGGCGTCCATGCGTCACTGTTAATTCGGTTTACTGTCAGTTCGAAAATTAAAAACTTTAGGAGGCCTTTGCCCAGTCCTGGTATATACAATGAATAGGTTTTATTTAACTTTTTATCCCTTAGGTGTAATACTGACTTAGTTCTCCTTTTCGTTTCCATACCTAGCTATCCCGTATCTTATAAGGAGTCGCTGAACACGGTGCTCATACAGGAGGCGATACGTTACAACAAGTTGTCAAATGTGATCGATAGTACATTGAGGTTTGTGTTACTGTCGTCTGTAATAAAGCGGTAGCAATAAGGTGAAAAAAATCGCAGGGGAATGATAGTATCAACGAAGTACTTATTATATGGGGAGATTGATAATGAAAAACTTATTTTCTTGTAAAGTGTGCGTTGCATCTATCAAAATTAAATCAGTTTCTGGTACTTATCGTTTTGGTTTTGAATCGGGGTTGAGACATAAAAGTTAAAAGTTTGTCTTTGAAATTCAGACAAAGGTTGCCTTTCATGGCTATCAATTTAAAACGAGTGTTATTTTTATTTCTGAATACATCTTCTCAACTTTGGTATACCAACAAAAAATGAAGATGGAAATGCAGTGCGGTCTTGCACGAATATTATAAATACATAAGTTTAAACAAACTGTCGCTCAGTGGTCGAAATTTGACCACAATTAATTATACATAGCAGTTTTTTTTATTGATTTAATGTATTTTTTATGCATAATTAAAATATATTAGCATTCTGTACCACTTCTCTATATAAAGTATAAGTGTGAGATCTCATACTCCTCCGTCCGCGCAATTTTCGTAAAAAGGAGTACTGAAGTGCACAATATATTACTCTGATTTTATTAGTTCTTTTTAGACACAGTTCAATACACTCTGTATCTTTTTACCAAAGTAAATCATTAATATCAACTGTGTTGCTAAACAGGAAACTGCTAAAAGCGGTTTACGTGTAATAAACAGTTTCACACAAAGCGTTTAAAGTATAATACACACGATACAGTGTAAATATGGTGTTGATGTTTTTACCGAATGAGATCATTAATATGAACGGTGTGTTGCCAAACAGGGATCTGCTGAAAGCGTTGAAGGGGCTGGTTGTAATGTCGGAAGCCCTAGAGAGCATGGTCGGGAGTCTCATAAGGCAGGACGTGCCGTCCTTGTGGAGCGCTAGGGCTTATCCTTCACTGAAGCCTTTGGGTAAAGAATAACTCGCTTTTCACAATACTTAAGTTTTTTTAAACCTAATAAGTTCATAGGAACGGTGCAACCCACGCTTTACTGACCTTCATCATAAGTTATTTTTTTAAATGTACACAGAAACAGTGCAATCCACGTTTTACCGACCTTCATCATCATCATCCTTTCAGCCTGTTTGAGTCCACTGCTGAACATAGCCCCCCCCCCCCCCCCCCCCCCCCCCCCCACTGCCACGAAGCACGATCCTGAGCCACCTGCATCCATCGACTTCCCGCACACTTGCACAGGTCGTCACTGCATCTAGTGGGGGGTCGTCCCACACTGCGGTGGCCAGTACGAGGCTGGCATTTGAGAAGCTTTCTTTCTCATCGTTATAGTTTCTACGAGCTATATGGCCGCATTGCCACTTTTCTGATCTTATTTGGTTCAGAATCATAAATGTAGTTCAGGATCAAGACAAAACTTAAGCTCCAAGCTATTCACGATTTGAGATCGGTGTTAAACAGATTCGCCTTACGGCCGTTTTCAATATTCTACCTATCTGAAGATTGGGTTACTAGCGATAGGTACCTTACCTCCATAATACTTACGTCAAAATCCTATTTCAGTAACCAAACCTACAGATATATATTTTCTGTTATTAGTCAGTTATTCTACTACAAGAATAACTTCTTATGTTACTCTAATGGGCAGGCACGTCCCGGGAAAGACCGGCGTCAAGTGGAAGTATCACACTTTCCTGTTTAGTCTAGAGAGCGATTTAACCGGGGCCCACTTTTTTGATAGTTTATCTATATATTGCATCTGCAAACCCTTAGATGTTGTAGTATCAGATGAGCGGCGGTATTCACTTAACATGATATGAGCCACCTGCTCGCTGGACAGCTCTTCCCACGAAAAAATCTGCAGGTGCCTGGGTGAAAGACCTGTGTCAGCGCGTCCAGTTCATGCGCGCGTGGTCCGAGGAGGGTATCCCGCGCGTCTTCTGGATCTCGGGCTTCTTCTTCCCACAGGCCTTCCTCACCGGCGCTTTGCAGAACTACGCACGGAAACACGTCATCGCCATTGACACCGTCGCCTACGCTTTTGAGGTGTGTCCGTCTCCGTCGTTCTACTTTTCAAACCTACTTTCTATACTACTTGTACTTGGACAGATTGAAAAAGTAGAAAAATGGCGAAGGAAGTTTAGTAATCCTCATTTAAGTATTGTCATATAAGTTAGCAAACTGTACTCGTACAAAAACAACTTGGCGAATTATTATTAGGTATTTAAATTACAAAATCCACAGTCGGAGGATGTAAAAAAAATGCAAAACACACTTATAAAATATTTTATTAAATAAAATTGAAATTTAAACTAAAGCTAAAGATATGCGATTACTCCTCGAACTGTGCCTTTATTTTAGGTCCCATAATCCATTCCTTGGTGCTCGCCATTGTTTTTTTTTTTTTTTTTTTTTTTTTTTTTTTACTTTATTGTACACCATTATAATACAGACAATCGGAACAAATGACAAAAACAGGTACAAAGGCGAGCTTAACCCTAAAAAGAGTTCTCTTCCAGCAAGCCCTTGAGTAATACTACATAATTAGGGGAAGGTGTGTACATTATTAAAGAATTTACCAAAGTAATTGTAAAAATATACAAGAACTAAATACTTAATATATATATATACATATATATGTGTATGTATATATATATATATATATATATATATATATATATATACATATACATATCTACATATACATTTATATATAATAATAAAATAAAGACATATATACAAAGTTTAAATTATATATACAAATACATACCTACATACAATATAAATACATACAAACATTTGTTGTCAATCCTAAGTAGATAAGTAGTGTCTCTTGATTCTATTACGAAAAATGTTTGTTTTCATTGTTCCGCGATTCTTGTTAAAAGCCTTTGTGTATGGAATCCGCCGAGTGGATGGGACTGAACATTGGCAAACATGATGGTTGTCGCTTACGCCGTTACGTAATGACATGTGCACAATAACACTAGATTGTGATATTATTGTTTTGGAAACTCAACAGTCTTTATATAATAGACTAGCTGCTGCCCGTGACTTAGTCTGCGTAAAATAGGCTGAAGGCGTAACATCCAGACAGAAATACTATATAAAAATATTTATATAAACTATAACCTATGTTTTATTCTGATGTATAAGCTATATTATTGTAAAGTTTCTTTAAAATCCATTCAGTACTATTTGCGCGAAATAGTTACAAACATACAACCATACATACAAACTTTCGCCTTTATAATATTAGTAAGGATAATGGTTTCAGGCAAAGTAGAGAATGCACATTTGCGATTAATTATTTTGATTAATAAATATTATAATTTGAACGTCTGTTGGATGCTATAACAATAGTATCTGTTAAAAAGTTAATTAAATAAGGTCACACTGATGCCTGTTCGAGTTGCTTTTTCTTACAACGCCATCGAACAAACGAATAAGTTTAGTTGACCTTTGTTTGATTAATACTCAATTCATTAAGAAAAGAATTTCATTGGTCGCGAGCTGGTGACGATTATGTTGTTATGTTGCAAGGGATCTCTTCCCGTAGCCTCTAGCAAGTCCTCCCGCCAAGAAGCCGGAGGACGGTTGCTGCGTTCGCGGCCTGTATTTGGAGGGGGCTCGCTGGAACGTAGGCGACATGGCATTAGAAGAGAGCCGCGCCAAAGAGCTGTACACAGGTGGGCTTTCACACTAAAAAATCCCACTCTCTAAACTAGGACACACTGATGCCCTGCAATTCACTTTATGAATGTTTTCCATAAAAGTCTATCTCTACTTATTTTTTGATTGGTTATAACGATTTTTGAAGTTATACTTCTTTGGGCGCGTTATGAAATAATTATGAGAGTGAAATTGTATGATGCGCGCGCATCACTGTAACACAAAAGTCACACGTTTGAAGCTGTCTGCTAATTTTTATAGATGGCAGCATATTCTCAATCACATTCGCCCGTTACAGTTCTCGACTAAAATGTAGATGGCGCTTTCATAATTTTATTATTTATAACCTTTTCCAGTCATTTCATTATTTTATAGTAATTAATTATTTGCATGCAATTTAAAGCTATTTTTTAATGATGCCAAAGAAGTATAACTTCTCACGCATGTACATAAGTACACGGACTCATTTTTTATTCATTGTAGCATTATGTAACAGTTTTCATTCATTAAAGCTGCACCACAAAGATAGTGACTAAAATATACGACCGCTTGGTCAGCTTCATATATTTTCCAAGTCTAAATTATCAGTAATGTATCAAGTTTATATTACACGAATGCGTTATGAACACATGTCGATTAGCCTTTGTTTATGATACGTGATACATTTATAACATGATAAATCGCTCTAATATCAGAGGGAGAGTTTCCAATAGTAGTGGATTGATGATTTACTATTTTTACGCGAATACTAAATATTAATAAATAAAATTACTTTTTAGGATTACTTGTTTTAGAAACTTGAATTTAAACTAAATGGAAAATTGATAAAATCCATAAAAATATTCTCATTTAATAAGCTGTTAGGTCGCTCACTAAGTGGGACTTTATTGCTAATCGATGGGCTGTAACCCTGAGAGTCGTCGCTTCTCGAATTGATCGCGAAACTATTAGTACAACACGATTTGGATGTTTGTTAGCGTCAAATTTGTTCATCATCATAATTTGTTGCAATGTTCTGTAATCTATAAGATAGGGCTTTTTAATTTTTTTTTATAAAATACATTACATACTTGCTACTCTATGATGACTCCGCGGCGCAGTTGCCAAGTATTGGCTTCGGCGTCGGTGCATAGGTTCGATTTCCACACGAGACAACTATTTGTGTTACCCACAGATAATTTTTTCGGACCTGGGTGTTAGTCCACGTGTTGTTTATGTATGTAAAGCGTCCATATAACATAGGATAATGTTATCCTACAGGAAGCGGGCAGTGTTTTCGAAGGGGACTACAATAAATCTTTCTAGATCCCTTCCACAAAAAATACACTACAAATACTACTCTAAAAGCCTATCACACATTACTTTGACTGTGGTAGGGCCACGCAACAGTGTTCACTGTTGCACGAATTGGCAGGTCCGTCCGGGTAAGTACCACGACCTCAAAGAAGATGGCGCAAAGTAGAAGTGAATCAGGAGATATATTCCATCAGAGGCTGACTTCATTCAAACGAAGTCTTCGAGGCACATGTGTTTATTTTAATTATTATTTTTACTTTAACATTTATTTACCTTTCATTAGTTTTTCATAAGCTTTGTTTTTTATTTAAAATTTTATAAATGAATATTGCCCAATGATATAGAAACATGCAGTGTACATATGTTTTTGGCGGACTGTATGTATGAAGTTGCCCTTATCTAGTTTATGGTTAAGATTACTGTACTGTTTGCTTGCTTTTCTGTATACCAAATAAAAATATAATGAAGAATCAAAAAAAGACTACCTCAAATCACAGATGAGGTTTTAAACACGATTTTATATTAGATGTATAGTTCAATACAAAAAATAATTGATTAGTTACAATATATTAGAAATTATTCTGTTTATTATATTTATATTAATTAATGGAACATAAAAAGGAATGATAAAACAATTTTGATTTTGATTCTAGTACGTAAATCACCATACCAAAACATCCGATTAGGTCATTCTTGTCGTAATGATCCATCATACGAATATTCTTTACGGTGGTAGCCACGCAACACTGTTGCACGAATGGGCAGGTCCATCCGGGTAAGTACCACGACCTCACAGAAGACCAGCGTAAAGAAGTGTTACACTTCTGCGTTTCGTCTGGTGAGTGAGGCAGCCGGGGCCCCCTTTATTCGATGGTGGCAACGCATTTGCGACCCTACGGATGTTGCAACTGTCCATGGGCGGCGGTTATCACTTAACATCAGGTGAACCGCCAGCTCGTTTGCTACTTTTTCACATTAAAAAAACATTCCAGTAGTTGTAGGAACCCTATTCCTAGAACAGTTCCCTTAATGTCTCCATTTTTATAATTTCTTTATTATGCTCAGTATTGAAAATTGCTTTGTTCTCATCGGCGTCGAAACTTTTTAAATCCAATTTAACTTTCGTTGTCTCGCTGTCGTTCGATTTGGAGAAAATCGTTACACGAATCAAGGTTTTTTATTAAGAGGCCAGATCTGTATTCTCTTATCGTTCATGACTGAAGCTAAATCTTCTTTCAATGTGAATTACATAAACTTGGGATTCATGTAGAATTTTGTATCATACAGAAGGTAGGAATCGAGCCGGTGGTTCACCCGATGTTAAGTGATAACCGCTGATCACCGGTTGCAGATGCGTTGCCTTAATAAAGTGCTTAATTAATAAATAAGTAGGTACTAAAAAATAAATAAGTACTTATAATAAAGTGGGCTTCAATACAGTGTAGAGTTTAAGTTGGTTAAGAAACCTTTTATTGATTGCCATTCTAGGTTATTACTTTACACCTGCAGGCGGTTCACCCGATGTTAAATATTCATTTACACATTTACCCAAGGACATATACAAAACCCGATGGCATGTAGATGCGTTGACTGGCCTCGGCTTCTTTACTGACGAACCGCTAAAGTATAACAATCCCACTTCACGTCAGACTTCTGTGAGGTCATGGTACATACTGATGGACCCACCCATTCGTGCAACAGCGGATACTGTTGCGTGGCTCTACTACAGCTTATCTCTAATCATCATTCGTTGCAGAGATGGCAATCATCTACATGAAACCGGAGCAGGGGCACAAGTTGGCTTCAGGTCTATACGAGTGTCCCACGTACAAGACCTTGGTGCGTGCTGGCACTCTATCCACCACAGGCCACTCCACCAACTACGTGATGACCATCGAACTGGCCACGCACAAACCTCAGGCCCACTGGATCAAAAGGGGCGTAGCTCTCTTCTGCGCTCTGGATTACTAAACACTCTGTGTTTCTGCCTTCTACCAGGTCTACTGTACACTCAGAACTGGATGTATAGCTTCTGCATTATGTTTAACTAAAGCCCCTGCTTGTTTGGGACTTAGCTACTTATAGTATTCTGACCATCAGGGCCCCTGCTGAGCTATGCTTCATATTTGCTATCTTATGTGTTGCTGAACTATGATTTAGTTCAGCTGTCACTGGACTACTAATCACTCTGGGGTGATACTGCCTTCTATCTGGTCTACTAGACATCCAGAAGAACAGGATATATCGCTTCTTTCTTTCTTCTCTATTCTGCTTAACAACAGCCCACGCTTGTCGGGGCTTTAGCTACTTACAGCGTTCTGGACCATTAGTGCTACTGCCGCTGAACTGGGTTTTGTTCTGCACTCTGGTCCAGCACACCTGTGGTACTGATTATATACACGCGACCGTTTTGGTACTTGATTATTGTAAACTTTCTTTGGTATAATAAACTATTGAACGTACTCTTTTTCTCTTTCAATTGTCAGCGCCGTTAGCTGTTCTGTAATTTGATTATAGAGTAGCAAAACAACGATTGGATTCCGTTATAATTTAATTCATTAAACTAGATTCACACCGAAGCAACACTGAATGAAATTTTCAAATGCAATTTTGCTGCGTGAGGAATATGCGAAACGTGTGAATTTATAATAATCGGCACAGGCGTGACGGATCTTGCTGAGAAGTACTAAAATAAAGCAGGATACGACATTCACATGTACATAAATTGTCAATATAATCATTTCATTGCATACCGTATTATGATTTTTATTTTTAGTAATGACGCCATGTCATGATAAAAATGTTTGTCGGTCACTTTGCATAATGGTGGCCCATGTTATGACTATTTTAAGGTAAATGACCCAGCAAAGGTAACATGACAGTGTACTTAGATCCACTTCCACAGTTTACGGACCACAATTTATTAAAAAATGATGATGGTCAATAAAATGGATGGCTTTGGGTTATTAACCTTCTTACCCTTAATTTTTTTTGAAACACCTGCATACAAAAGTGTACAATTTTTCCATTATACTGGAAAAAGCTAATAATTCTGTACAAAAAATTTATTTTTACTGACTGTTCACTCTGGGCCAACATCCGTATAAAATGGACAATTCCCTTTACGTACTCACACCATTATCTCTTCCGAAAGACCTGCTAAGAGGCCAGAAGCATTTGCAACGCCCGTAAGATTGCAGACGCGTTGCCACCTTTAAATAAAGTGGGCCCCGGCTACCTCACTCACCAGACGAAACGCAGAAGTGTAACACTTCCACTTCACGCCGGTCTTCTGCGAGGTCGTGGTACTTACACAGAAGGACCATTAGTGCAACAGAGAAGACTGTTGCGTGGCCCTACCACCGTAGCTCTTTTGCAAAATCGGGAGACTGGATTCGTCTCCACCCTTCAGCCTGTCTCCTACGAACTTCTTGCACCAATACGGAGAAGGTTTAATAATGTTCGAAGAGGATGTAGGTCACCCTGATGTGGGTTTCTCTTGGCTTTAACGTGGGGAACCATGAGACGGCCACTGATGCCCTCCGTGACGACTAAGCCGAAACCCATGTTGACATAACGGTGGACTCTGAAATGTTGAAATTATAATGATGCTTGTTTTTGACTTTGATTCAGTTTTATGAACCTGTTTGATAAATCTTAGTTTTTGAATGTTTTTGTATTTGATTCAGTTTTATGAACCTGTTTGTATATTTAAAAGACGAAAATATACACATTTAGTGATAACACTAAATGAATAATCATTCACATTTAAAGACATTAGAGAAGTTTAAAATTTGTCTAAAAAAGAGTCCTCTTAACATTAACAGCGTTTGGGCGTTGCCGAAACGTTGAATGCGCAAATAAAATTGAGACCATTTTAAATGTGAACTCGAAAATAAATTTCGAAAAAAACCTCACCTCCTTTCATAGCCATCATAATCATCATCTCACCTCCTCTGTACAGAGGGTATCAGGGCATAGTCCACCACGCGGCCCCACTGCGGATTGGCGGACTTCACATATTTTCGAAATATGTATATTTTTTTTATTATTTCGAAAATATGCAGTTTCATGATGTTTTCCTTCGCCGCTGAGTCAGCACTTGAAATTAACAATTTCATTGGTGCCGGCACCGGGGATCGAACTTAGGTTGCTCGAGTAAATTGAACTAAAGTAAAAGGCGGGCCCCTACAGTATATAACATATGGGAATCGCCTGATAATTGGCGGATAATCGGATATTTGGGCGTACATTGTAAGGTCACATCCCTAACAAGTAGACAACTGTTTTCTTATTCTTTTCTCCTTTTTATATAGCACTTCGACCCACTAAAAGGGCAACGACCAGACGAGTAATTACCCGACATTGTTGTGCAAACGATACGCCATTTTTATATCGCCTCATAACATTTTCATTATGCCATATTCAAATTAGACCCTGTCGCGTCCGTTCGTATCTCTTGTAGGTACTTCAATTAACTTCCACAACACAGCATTAATTAAGTTCCTATAATAAAAGCAATAACGTAATTAACTTGTAAAATGGTTGAACTACTTATTATTTCCTTTTAATGAGATTTTAGGTTGGAAAATGGATTCACATATCCATTCGTCTTATTTATGGTATCTGAGAGTGGTAAATCCCTCTGGTACATCACAGTCTTTCTAAACGGGTTGCACTAAACGAGGATTTAAACTTGTGACCCAGAATAGCGTATTGATCCTGCCAGCTACTAAGCGAATCGTACTGTTTGATTGCCATGGTAATATAATAGTAATAATATAATTTACGATTATTGGCATTAAAAAGACATGACAGGAAACTTAAACGTGACGTGATTTAGGGAAATCAACGAGTTTCATTGATATTTAATGATAAGACGAGATTCAACGGTGGTAGGGCCACGCAGCAGCCTCGTCTGTTGTACGAATGGGTAGGCTCGTCTGGGTAAGTACCACGACCTAACAGAAGACCGGCGTAAAGTGGAAGTATAATACTTTCGCAATTCATCTGGTGAGTGAGGTAGCCGGAGCACAATTTTGAAAAGGTTGCCAACGCATCTGCAGACCTTCGGGTGTAGCAGATGTCCATGGGCGGTGGTATTCACTTAACATCAGGTGAACCACCTGCTCGCTTGGCAATTTTTCACATCTCTCTCTGCCAAGGCCCGCAGAAGACCGGGGTAATCGGGACTTATCATAATTTCGATTTTTGTCTGGTGAGAGAGGTGACCGGTGCCCTCTTTTAAATATGTTGGCAAGGCATCTGCCACCTACCAGGTGTTGTAAATGTCCACGCTGTACAGGTCATCTGCGCTAATGTCTACATTCAAATAGATGTATACATCAAGATCATACCTCACTGTGTAATATAAACGTTGGCACGGCCTTATAGTGGCCGTCTTTGTTATTACTGTCAACTTCAATACTCGTGCTCTCATTGACGTAACTAGCATCAGAGTCAAAGGCCTATGTTTGTTTGAACCAGATTGTTGTTTTAAATAATAATTATTATGTTTATTGTTTTCTCCTATTTCAATTGTTAGTATTCTTATAAAATCATAATAAAAGAAAATTTAGATTGGCAGAATTGAATATCCGCCCATAATAAACCTATGGTAAAACAAAGCCTGTGACAGACTTGTGTCGGTGTATAGATTTTTTTCTGTAAATAGATCCATATATTTCATCAAGAATAATTTGATGTCACTGAAATACATATTAGATGTTTTTATCAGCGCTACTGTCAGGTGATATAGCTCAGTGGTAGAGCATTCGACTGCAGATCGAGAGGTCCCCGGTTCAAACCCGGGTGTCCCCTAAAAATAGTATTTTGTAAATGGAATCTTGTGAAAAATGTTTACGCTTTTATCACGGTTTTTTTTTTGTTTTCATTTTCGACTTCGAACCCTTTACAGCGTTCATCGGCACGGGACAGACAGGCGTTGGACGTCCGAATGTCATCGTTAATCCGGGCTACCGTCAGTTTTTAATTGCCGAATCCCTTGAAAACGAGGCCAAATCACCCCAACAGTGATGAACCAACAAATTCTAAACATCTGAACCTATAGCTTACTTTTTTGCACTCTTGAAACATAAAACCGGATATATATACAGCACAATTATTAACAAACTATGGTTTCGGCAAAACATACCTAAAAAGGTTATATAATCTTGCCAGAAGATAACATAAAACACTTTATAAGAGAAAAAACAAATCCTAAAACTAGTACAGGATATAAACTCGCACAATTATCGTATTCAGTCTAGAACAAACTTTCAAGCCCGATATTCGAATACGTATCTAAAAATTCAAAACACTTAAAATAATTAATCATTAAATTATCCTCGATTTATAAATAAAAACTTCTCAAACAAATTATAACAACAAAATAACGTAATGAAAATATGACTCTACAAGCTTTCATCACTATTCGAAATACTCGGCGAGCATATGTTTAAGTCATCACTTCAATTAATTTTATCAAAAATTTATTTTTCTTGCTCAAAGCTTAACCATAATCGGATCTTAACCAAATTCAGCGAGGAAATGCATCTAGTGTTCTTGGCGCTATACTGAGTAGACTAGATTTATTAGATGACATGAAATTAGACTTAATTTTGCAAAATATTGTTTATATTAATTAATTAGGTACTATAAAAAAACAAAAAGAAAAAAAAAACAAGAATAAAAACCAAAAAGAACGGAAGGGGACACCCCACCCGGGTTTGAACCGGGGACCTCTCGATCTGCAGTCGAATGCTCTACCACTGAGCTATATCCCCTTGGGTGCTAATGGTTGAAAGAATGAATCTGTTGAACTGTTAACTAATACTGACTTATGTTGAAAGGACAAGAATTACAAGAAACTCCTAATTAGGAAGTATATGCCGATATCGCCCACTTTTAACTATGCTTAATTTGGCATAGTGGCGAATTTAATGGCTATATATCATTAGAGATCTTAG